AAAATGTAAAATATGATATATGTCAGCTTATTGCTTTCTGGAAAACAGTCAAGGTTTAAATTTGGTACAATGAATCGGACACTCATGTAAATCGACATGGTTATAACATTGAACTCAATGCAGTAAATTAGTTATTTCTATGAATCACAGCGGGATTGGTTTCATTTTATATGATTGCCAACTCTGGCGGTTTTTTGTAAATGCTTTTGACCGCTGTAAATGTGAAACTGATACAGTATTATTCAATTGTTTTATGTCTTGGTCACATTTGCTCCGATTTTCACTACGGCGCCCGGCCGATTGAGTATTGTGTTCAGAAATGTATTCAATTTTGAACAAAATACTCGCAGCAAATGTGATCCAGGCATTACACAGCGGTATTTCGAACATACTATTGTTGCTTAACCACGACCTAGCCAATTTTAAAATCATACTCCTTATTTAAATCCAAGTAAACGATCAATGTCTAGGTATTTGGCGTTTGATGATACTATGGCCCTTGGCGAATTATGATTAGATGAACCGAGGTCAACATTAATGTTTCTTGTACAAGGTCATCCCAAGGTCTAAGATAAATATTTAGGTATTTTACGTTTCAAGACCTTTGGACGAATTCGATTCAACGATGTATTAAAGTTAAAATGTATACAGAGATAAAATAGGTTATCTCCTATCGTTTCCTTGTGTATACGTTTATGTCTCTGCGTAATAACGCAGATGCGAGCAGGTAGTTACCAATCTCACCACAAGGTGGCTCGTTCGGGTCAGATAGCATGGCGGGTATGGTAGAAAGTTCCCTTTAACTTAAAGTACATCTGTTTTCGTGGTTCAATTTTCATATCACCCTTAAAATGTATCTAATAGCAATGCAATTAAAATATGTCCAGTGAACGAAAATGCAATACAAGAATAGATATTTCACTTTTTGTGATTTTGTAACAATGGTGTTATTTGTGTATATGTAACATGGTCATTTTCACATTTTATATTATTACTGTTCATATTAATCAATCCCTATTCATCTCAATATAACAGGTCCCTAAGTAGGTTGTTTGCAGTTTTACTCTTTTAATACCATGTTCACTTTTCACCTTGAGTTATTCAACTATGCAAACTGTGTCAGTTTTATATATCTTTTGTTCCCCTATATGGTCTTTCTCACTCACATGTAGCTGAGTTTGCATTGGGTGTTGGCTTGTCAGTAGTTGCTGTAAGAGTTCATGTTGTACATTACAGAGCATTGTATTTTAAACATTGAAGTTTGAAATATACTATTTTATATATATTTTAATTTGAAGTTCGAGTTATTTTATTGCCACCCACGGGCCTTCCACACGCCCATTTACATATAACGCTTTGAAACAACTTTAAAAAGTGAGCAATATCAGTGTTGTGATAATAGAGAATTTTCGTTATAAGTTGTTTCAAAAACTTATACGTATACTTATAGTTTAAAGGGTCTTGTCGAACTAAAGTCAATTCAAATTGATTTTCATAATCTGTACCAAGTGGGGCATAACTATTCCCGATATAGTCAAGCTTCATCATCAACTAGGGACTGCGAATACAATGTCCTTTGCTAGTGTCAATTATGAACACGATAAACTAAATTCTAGTTGACGGGTCCTTGTAGTGTACGATAAACAAGACCCTTTAAAGTGAATCACTACACGAACGAGTCGATCATTTCAAAGTTCTCATGAAATTATAAGGTCAATTTTTAAGTTTTTACGTATAAAAGGGCCTTTATACGCAGATTATAAACTTACAGAGTTGGATCTCCGCATAGTATATGTGTGGACCTACTGACCAGAATGGCTTATTAAAATTAATTGTCTGAATAGGCATAGTATCCAATCAAATAGCTCGACTCATTCATTAGCTGAACTAATTCTCCCTTCGTTATTTCTACAAGGTGATTCAAAACGATCATCTACAAAAAATATATTTGAGAGTAGATAAATCTGTAAAACCCGTGTGCTATATCAGCCTATTTGATTCTAGAAAACACATATGACACAACTAAACATGCTTTACATCAAGGGGGTACGGATGGTATGCCATTGGCCCTTTTTATTACCGTCCTAGGTTATATTTCCCGACGAATTAGGAAATTATGAAACACCTTGTTTATTGGGTTTATAAGTATAAGTATACGTATAAGTTTTTAAAAAACTTATAACGAAAATTCTCTAATAACGCCCCTCATACCTATTTATTACAGGTCGTGTAGACCATTGTTGCCTGATTTATAGCAAAAACATTGACTTTTGCATGTTGATGATGATGATGATGATGATGCGCCTTTTATAATAGATCTCATATCTTAGAAGCGTATCAGTTCAAAAAATACTAGAAGACCTTACATATTTTGCCATGCACTGCGCCTATTCATTTGGCAATTCAGTTGTAAATTTTATCTTGAAAAAAATAAATCTTCAAAATTTGTTGAGTTTTCTTGCAGAAATCGCCTACCCCCCCCCCCCCCCTCCATCCATTTTGTATGATCACAAGGCGTGATTTAAGCTGCTGATATTCTTCTTTAAACGAGTCGGATTTTCAAAATCTATAAGTTGGACTCCCTTTATAGAAGCTTTGAACTGAATGTGCACTGCTTAATGCTGAAATTTTATTGTTTATCCATACATTTTAAGAAAAAATGTATAAAAAAGATGTTAAAGCCAAATGTTGCCCTAAAAATTCAGAAAATGTAAAAAATTTCGAATTTTCTATGTACAGGCCTTGTTGCCCCTTTAAGAAGCTTAATATGTAAATTATCTAATCAAACACTTCGTCCACCATTTAGAAACACTAATCAATCCAATCTGTGCTAGCGATTCATAGGGCGAGCCAGTGGGATATTTCCAGGGTTCATACACACCTGGAAATGTCAGGGAAATTGACTTGATTTTCCAAGTGCTGGAAATGTCAGGTAATTTTAAAATTAGGTCAAAAGGGCCAAAGATGACCGGGAATTTTGAAACGGTAGACATGTCAGGGAAATGTCAGGGAAATTTGTATCAGTGTTGAAAAAATAATGTTCCAGAGATTAATGTTTCCAAACTGTTTTGAAACAAACTAACGTCTTGTTTTCAACCTACACCTTGCTCCTTTCTGTCGTATTTAATAAAACAAAAATAGTATATCACGGAGGGATACGAACCACTCACCTGGGACTTGGTTATTCACTAGCGCCATAGGCGTTCTACTATTCTGGATACAACTGACGAGTCGTATTTAAGTGGAGACAAAAGTGAGGATCATTTTGAATTGACGCTCGGTATAAATATATAATACTTTTGTTCTTTCATATCGGTAGCTCGTTGGCCTAATGGTTAGCGTGCCTGGCTTCCATAGTCTAGGTTAGTTGATCGAGACCCGTTCATGTCGAACTTTTTGATTTGCTTGTTGTCAAGATATAATAAGTAGGGCAAAATCCAGAAAAAGTAGATCAAAAATACTCCAATGGAGTATAAAATTGTCACCAGGATTCCGGAATGAGACGAATGTTAACTCGTGAAATCTCGGTAGATAAGGTAGGTCAGAAAATCCGGATTAATCCGAACAAGGTTCGGGAATTTCCGTCATAAGAAGTAGGTCAAAAATACTCCAATGGAGTATAAAATTGTCACCAGGATTCCGAAATACGACGAATCGAATCGGTAAACTTCGGTACAATAATGAAGTGCATAAAAATCGTGAAACAGGTGTCAGGGGCTTCCCTCATCTTTCCATAAATGGTTCTAAAAGCCTTATATGGATCTATCACGTGACATTCAAAATGACGTTCCTATATGGTTCTATGGGCCTTATATGGATCTTTCGAACACGTGACCAAATCAAAATCAAATTCAAAATTTTACCTTGACCATTGGATGGGATTTCATAGAAAATATCAAAGAAAACATATTCTCGTGATCCTTAAATCACTTAAATTCGATCATTTTATCTTCACCCCTTGATGGAATTTTATGAAAGAAGTTATGAAAACACATCATCATGTAAGGGTTTTCACCTAAATTAGCTCGTTTTATCTTGACCCTTCAATTGAATTTCATTGAAAAATGTTTCATGAAAAATATCATGTTATGATTTGTATTTAAATAAGACCGTTTCATTTAAATACTTGCTGGATAATATTTCATAAAAAAATGCACTTTAAAAATATTTCAGGATTTGCCTTAATTTATCAATGTAATGTAAGTATTAGATTGACTCTCAAATAGGGTTCTATTTTAACTTTTTTATTGAAATTAATACTAGGCAGGACTCACTCTCTAAATAGCTAATAAAAATTCAACCCTTGGATGGGATTTCGTTGAAAAAAAAATATGACAAGTCCAGAATCAAATGATTTGTCCAGAACCTCTTAAGATCCTGTTCAATACATAATGGCATAACCTAAAACCATTATTTACCCATTATTACCCATTATAAGTCATTACCAAAAAACTTAGGTTGGATAAGGCATCAATTACCCTTAAGTTATGGGTACTTGGGGGCTATGGGTAACAATATGGGTAGTTATGTGAAACATATGGGTTACCCATAACATTTTTCCTAAGGGGATGTTAGTTCTAAATTAAAAAATTATGGGGGATGGAGAACAGACTTATTTGATGCCATGTACATTGTATTTATGAAGCTCAGATGTGTTTTGTGGTTGCATAAATTGTAAATTACATAATTTTGGACAAAATACCTCATTTTCGGCAGCTTTTGACCGTTTTTAGGTGGTTCCTAGGCAGGTACATTTTATTTTGATGCAGAGTGCCCGTTTTGAACACACACATTGGTATTTCTTAGATTATAATACTAGTGTCTGAATCTTAAATGAGTGTTTTGATAACATAACCTGTGAGTAAATGGAAGAATACTGAATGAACTATCTCATTTTTTGGCAAACTTTAGAACATTTCTATGTGGTTTCTAGGCAACACAGCTGACATCACAATAACCAGTCTACAAAGACAGTGATACACTGTAGGGTCAATGCTGAGGGGTGATTCTTTCTCCATATCTAGATGTTTTAGTGCCTATACAATGATGAAACTAGGGCAAAATGGCCATAATAAGGCGTTTTAATCCATTCCTAAGTGGTTGCTAGGCACCAAGATGACATCACAAGTTCTTAACCACTTTATATTCAAGGGGGGTACTATACTGGACATATGCGCCACGTTTTGTTTTCTAACGTCTTAATGGTTTGGTAGCAAACAGGCATAGACATACACACACAGATAGACAGAGAATCAGTAAATTGTAGTAAAATGCGATTAAATATGGATTCAGCATTTTACCATAGTGTAGCCATGGGTTTAAGAGGCTCTAGAACAAAAGTGTATTAGTGTTATGTAACATCAAAGGTATCACTGGAAAGAGCACATTAACGTGAACAAAAATAATCTCATTTTATTTGATAAGAATATTCACTAAGGTATTTAATTGACATTGATGTGGAGCAATTCGTTAAATATACCTTAAAATGGGAATTTAAGGATATTATGACGTCATAATTGCCGGGTGAACAATTGAAACCGACTAAATAATACATAGGGTGACGGGAAATTTTATTACGTTCAATATGGTACCAATATCATTAAAAATAGTTAAAAATTAAAAAAGTTATGGCCAATATTGTGTTTATCATTCTTTATGGCTAATGAAAAGTGGGCGTGGCACTTTGCATCCGTTTCTATGGTAACGGGCCATTTTTCAAAACTTTTCATTGTCATATTTGGAATCTACATATCAATATTATGAAAGTACAACATGTTTTGAGCGGTTGCAGTCAATCTTAATTAAAGTTCCATATTTGACCCTGCTCCCACTCGCCTAATAGGTCACATTGTATTTTCCGCTATATTTGCAAGCCGCTCTCATCACGGCCATCATCGTGGTGCTTCCACATTTTGGACTTCTGCTATAAAATATAAGATTTTCATTTCGATTTTTTACCTTAAATTCCTTGCGATAAATTATGCGACGTGGCAGAGTATCATGACCAAATCCATTATGTCCAACAAGTTTTACACGTTTTGCAGGGGCAGGCCTGTTTACTTTTGATATACTCCTAGTCCATTGGAAATTAATCATCAGAGCAATTGTTGCTACTACTGAAACTACTATAAGGCATATTCTTATACGCTGAGAAGTCATAAGTTCTAATCCGTGACAGGGTTGAAATATGCAAGCCCCGTCTAGCTGTCGATGTGGTAGTTCACTGTCAACCACCTGTGCACGCGTCAAGGACAATTACTACTTGCGTCTCATCATAATGTTAACTGGGAGGCGTGTACACGGGAACGCGGCCCCGTATTTATTGATAGCTAAAACGCGTGCATTAAAGAGAGAATCAGATATAGCGAGCAGGCTAAACGAAATATTGTCTCAACTTTAGAATATTTTTGGCTCATGTCATTCCTTGTCATGTCTATTTTCTAAAAATCACAGAAGTGCATACTTTATTCAAGGAAAACTTAAGATTTTTACAATAATGTATTATTTTTCTATAAGAATGGTTACCATTCTTATTATTTGGGCGCATTTCAGCCATTTTTACACTTTGAATCATGAATAACTTCACCAATTTATAACATATTGGGAATCTTTTGGGAGATATTGTATTTGATATTGTAAGGCATATATTGGTAGGTCAATTATACAAGTTGCTTGTAATTTTATCACCCCCTATAGATCTGATTCTGCCTTTAAAAAGAAAAGGTTCATCAAATGTTATTCGTCATTTAATTTTTCTCGATGATTACATTATTACGTGTAAAACTAAAAAGACAACTGTTGGAAAAAGGTATCACGTGCTCTCGTTCTGGGTCTAGATATTTAAGGGATGGAGAGAAAGTATCATCTTGAATCTTTATCTATATTTTTCCATGTGTTGTAACTGAAGAGCGTAGTTTCCCTGCCATTGAAATATCATGTAGTGATACGAAATAAAGTTGTACTGAGTATCATGACAAAGTTTCATAAAATATTTTTTATTTCAATTCCATTTTATTATATCTCGAGAGACTTGCTCCTGTTTTCAGCGGGGCCCCCTCATGATTTTAGCGGAGCTTCCTCATGTTTACAGTGTGACCTTTTTAAATTAGGACTAGCTTCAAACATGAGAAATGAACAAAAGGTCACACTGTAAACATGAGGAAGCTCCGCTAAAATCATGAGGGGGCCCCGCTGAAAACAGGAGCAAGTCTCTCAAAAAGGGGTCAACCCCGATTATAGCCTGCAAATCTTCCACTATTGTACAAAGTTTGATCCATTGCTTTACCCAGTTTGATGGTAGAACTCACCTTATTTCTTTGTACCATTGAGATGCATGTTAAATTGACAAAGTTCAAATTAGTATTTCTCAAATCGCAGTTCATCGATTTTCAAAGAATTTCAGAAAAATACAGCAAAACATCCCACCTTCATGTCAAAAAATGTCAACAAAAATATCGAACGAAAATCTAAAGTTCTGCTCTCTTACATAGCTGGAGTACCAAAACGTCATCATATTTATGTATATTGACCAATTTACCACTACCAATTAAGCTCATCCATCCACAGAAAATAATTCAAAATATTTTACCGTTCACTGTTATGATCAGATGTTTCCCATGCAGTTATTCTGGGCATTATGTGTCTGCAAATTAGAGTATTCTATCCAAAGATGGTGCTGTAGTATATATAGCATTGAAGTCCCAAACAGGTTTTTAAACTACTTTCCACATACCACGAAATAAACAAACCGAGTAAGGATAGTACACTCGATGAGTACGTTAAAGTAAGGAAGGTCATCTGAGAAATGCGATGAGTACAGTATTAGAAAGGTTTAACCCCGCCAATTTCCATCATATAATGCAAACAATATAAATGTTTACGCAACATATTCAGCTGAATTTCATCACACATGAGAAATCAGCATTCTAACATGTTGAGCCGTGCATTAAAGGGTCAACAAACCTGTAGAAAAGCCGAAAAGTTAGATTGTTAAGTAGAATTTTGAAATCCATCAAGATAACAACCATGCTCAGATCTTAAGACTTGGCGAAAGATGTCGCTTTCAATTACGGAGAGTTCCTACGATCAACTATGTAGAGCTGAGGCCCAGGAATATGTTTAAATAAAAATGTTTAAAAAGTCCCCTAGTGTACTGAGTTGGTAATGTGTGGTGTATACATGTATATAATCGTTTACTATATTACTATATTACTTACATTGAATACGAATAAGACTGATTTGATAAGAATAAGACTGATTCTTTATTAATGACTGTATACCCGGGCTTCAGATGTAGAGCGCTGAAAAATACACAGGGAACTGTCAGTGATTTGAAGTCCGAAGATTTCACTAAGCAAGTCATAGCATCACGAGCCTGTGTGTCATCTCAAGTTAAAAATGAATTAAGATACCACTTCCCGGATGAGCAGCCCCCGGGGAGCAGCCAAATATCGTTGAAGCATTCAAATTGTGACAACACTTCCATATGACAAGTACACTCTCGGCGAGGTGGATGATTATCCCGGGATGATTATCTAACTTTGAAGAGAAAGGCAACATTTACTGCGCCAGAGAATGACGACAATCTCATAATGTTATTTCGACACTACCACCTTAAGCCAGAAGGTGGTAAAACATTTGGCCAGTGGAGCGTACGTCATGGTCTACGGTGATGTCAGAAGTGGACGCATTGCTTAAAGATAACAAAGACAGTTGGGAATTGCTTAATTGCCATCTATTTTAACGCAAAAAAGTTCTCCTTGTGCGTCAATCAAGCCAAGTTTTGCATGGCATAAATTAACAGATCATTTAAAGGGTGATTACACAAATGATGTCGATACTCAGGTAAAGAAATTAATTAGCGATATTTCCAAGCTTAATGTTATCGATAAGGTAGTAATTGATGCCTACTTTTCCAGGTTAGAAAATCTCTTGTCAGAGAAGTCAAACCCTATACGTGCCAATTAAGCAATTTTGCAATCACCAGAAACCCTTCTGGAATGTGGAGCTTACTGAACTTGTGCGTAAAAGGAAGCTTGCTTTGCGCGAATGGGTTCGGGCTGGTAGGCCCAGAAATTGCTCAAATGTGTTTAGACGTGCTATTAAAAATGCGAAACATGCCTTCCTTTTCAAAATTGTATAATCTAATGAAAACTTGATGAGAATGAACTGGCACAGATCAGATAAAAAATGGGGTAAATCAATCAGAAATCATAATGGTCAAGTAATTACGGATCCAGTGGAAGTATGTCAAGAATGGAAATTTTATTTTAGTCGATTAGCTTCTTACGACAAAAGAGACATCTTTAATTCAGACTTTGAACAATATGTAAATGATGATATTTCAAGGATGGAATTGAAATGTATGAATAATTTTGATGGCATTTTTGATAACGGATATGAATGTGATGTTAAGAAGTCAATAGGGAAACTAAATATGAAAAAAGCAGTTGGCCACGACAGTATCAATTCTGAACATGTAAAATACACTGGTGAAAATATTGTTTCTTTGCTCACCATTTTATATTTAATGCAATGATCGCAAATGTTCTGCTTGGGGATCTTACTGCCATTACTCAAGTCTGGTAACAAAGACTGTCTTAATAAGGATCACCATCGTGGGATAACCCTTATGACAATTTTCGTAAGATTTTTGATAATATTGTTCTTTGGAAAATTACTGGTGTACTGCAAGGTCGCATTCCGCAAATACAAGGTGCGTCTATTAAAGGTTGTTCATCCTTGCAAACATCTCTAATAGTGCAAGAAGCCATATCTCATCAAGAAAATGGCACACTTATGGCGTTAATGGACATTTAAAAGGCCTTTGACAGTACATGGATACGAGGCCTGTTCCATAAGTTATATAATTGTGGAGGCTCTTGTATCAATCATACAACAAGTATAAATGTAAGGTTTTTGTAGATGATATTTTTTCGGATACTTTTCCTGTTAATAGAGGTGTTCACCAGGGCGGGATATGTTCTATGTTTCTCTACCAGTTCTTTATAGCAGACATTTTGCAACGAACTGGTAGATTCGGCAAAAGGAGTAAGAATTGGTGAAACGTCTGTATTATGTCCGGCATACGCTGATGATATTGCCTTATTGCAAACACTCCAGAAAATCTAAATGCTCTGTTGAGCATTGCTGACATGTATACGGTAAAAGATGGAGGTTTGAAGTTGTGCAAAATCTCATGACTGCACCACCTTCATCCTGAGATTGTTCCTCAGAATCACTCATTGTTTATGGTTGTAACTATATAATATGTTCTAGTCCTAAATATTTAAACTAATATGTGTTCACTATTCAAAAACTTTGTTCAACTGGCAATGATTCAACAGAAATTGATGATTTAAAAACATATATGGCATTAGATTAAAAACCATTTACACATATAAATAATCAAAAATTGAATATGAACTGAAATAGCCTATTAGATATCTTGTCCAGTGGAAAAAACAAGTCCCAAACCTCTAGCCAGAAACACGATGCAAAACATTGAAAGTAAGTCCAAGGGGAAATCCCATTTCAAATTTCCCGCCTTGTACAATGACGTCATTTGAAAAGTAACATGGCTGCCATTTGTTTTTGTTTTGACGTGATGCAAGATTTTTGTAAATTTTCTCAGATGTGCTAGACCTCCGGTGAATATATCCATAATCAAGATGCCCTGGTACTTCCCATGGTCCGATTCAATCAAGAAAAGAGCGTGCAGGTATTTGCTACAACATTATGTGGGGCAATTTCTGAAAGAAAAATTGTCTCTCGATCAGCTGAGCATCGACATTTACAATGGAACAGGGACGATTGAGGACGTTCTACTCGATGTTTGTGTGAGTTATATCTCTATTTGTGTACCGTTGTATGTAGATAATAATATTATCTTTCATTTGAATCCATGTTTATTGAATAAAATAAGCCCTTTGTAGAAACATGATAGACTACTTTTTACAGATAAAAATTATGATGATGTTTCAGTTCTGTCCCAAAATGAGGTCAAGTTCATCCATCAGTGATTCATATGAATGCTTCTTTTTCAATCAATCTTGAAAGATAACCAGATCTCATGCAATATCTTAGTATTCTTCTCGAAAATTAGCCCCACGGTGCATTCAAAAAAACTCTTGTTGCGTGTCTCCCAATCGGGCAATAGAATCCCCGGCCTACTCAGAAATGTGAGTTAGCTCCAGTTGGTAAAGGATGCACTCAATATATATTGGTATAAGTTGCTACAGTTACAGGGTCTAAAAAGAACTTACACAAGAGTACAGGGAGGCAATGTTGTCCATGTTAGGACATTTTATGTCGGTCAATAGCGTTTGTGCTAATGTTTATTGTACAAAAAATATCCGATTTGAAATAAATATTGATATGATATGATATTGTCTGACACTCCATGTACGCAGTCATTTGTCCCAGTTGTCCGACAATTACCTACATCATGGGCTTTCAAGATGTTGAAAGCCCATGCCTACATGGACGACATTGCCTCCCTGTCCTCTAACAGTAACAACATTGAATTCTTACACAGCCTAGAGTCTATTTTGTTCCGTACATTGAAACGAACATTCGCAATTCCTAAATTCGTAAATATTTAAATAATTATGAATGAGTTACGAATCCATAAAGTATTATGGACCTGAGTTTACTATAGAAGTTCCTGTTATTTTTGATTTCTTATAGGCCCTGAATGAGGCACTAGACAGTCATAATGTCCCAGTACAAATTGTGGATGGATTTATTGGAAAGATTCAGATGACGATTCCCTATAAATCCTTAAACGCTTTAGAAATGTTGGTGTAATCAGAATTGCGATTTTGTAAAGCATCTTCCAGTAAACATTTTAGTGGATTTTGTGGTGTAATTCCAGCAATTGTCTGACACACCGTGTGTGCAGTCATTTGTCCCAGTTGTCTGACAATTACTTACATCAGCTTTCAAAATGTTGAAAGCCCATGCCTACATGTATGACACTTCCTCCTTGTCCTCTAGCAGTAACAACATTGAATTCTTACATAGCCTGGAGTCTATTTTGTTCCGTACATTGAAACGAACATTTGCAATTCCTAAATTCGTAAATATTTAAATAGTTACGAATGAGTTACGAATCCGTAAAGTATTATGGACCTGAGTTTACTATAGAAGTTCCTGTTATTTTTGATTTCTTACAGGCCCTGAACGAGGCACTAGACAGTCATAATGTCCCAGTACAAATTGTTGATGGATTTATTGGCAAGATCCAGATGACGATTCCCTGGTCTGCACTGGTGAATGACAGCACCCTTGTAGAGATTCATGGGATGGAAATCACTATACAGCCGAAACAGAGGAATGAGAATGGTAAGTTATTTAGATACCTGCTGATGATGCAGTGAAGGACTCCCATTTGTTTCCATTAGACACTAACCACCGTTTTGCATATCTCTGTTAAATGTAAGATGGTATTCAGCTTTAATATATAAAACACGAGGATTTTTAGCCACTGTCAAGAACTGATGATCCTTGCATGTGATACACTAAAACAAAAATTTCATTCCTTTTCCCTCGAGTAACTTTGGAACTTTCACAAGGAGAAAAATATTACTTTAAATTGAGCCTGTCCCATTCCCCATTACATCCATTTACATCATCTTCTCTAAGTGGAACTCCTCTAAAGTGGAACACCATTTTGTGGCACCAAATGTTATTCAGGTTTTACTGTATTTGTATAAACAGCAGGCCTGTAGCCAGAATTTTCCAAGGGGTGGTTCACTTTTCCAAAAAATTCTAGGGGGGGGGAAGGGTTCACTTTGGCAAATTTGGCCAAAAAATTGTCAGAATGGGGAAAAACTGCATGATTTTGAGAGAAATTTTGGCCAGCACTGGGGGGTGTTTGCCCGAACCCCCCGAGCCCCCCTGGCTAAGGGCCTGCAGGGATACTAGCCAGACCTCAACATACCCTCAGCATTTTAGGATCCATGTTGACCTTAACATGTGGCAAAGCTCAGTTATACATAACCCTGGCTCATGTCATTCCTTGTCATGTCTGTGGGCGCAGCACCCACCTGAAATTTTAAAATCAGCCTTGCACCCACCTGAGATTTCATTTGTGCCCACTTGAAAATAAGAAAAATCATATGCATATTTTGACCAATTTTTGTCTGAATCATGTGAAAGTAAGATTTGCACCCACTTTAGAAAAAATCCCAGGGAGAACACTGGTCAATACATGTAGTAAATACCTGTGTATGAAAATGTATACATGTATTGTTCTTTATTCTGTTGTAGACTCCATCATGATAGATTCAATGTTTAGCAGTATGACAACAAGTATCCAGTTGGCCCAAGAATGCCTCAAACAGCCCTATAAAAATGTATTCATGTATTGTTCTTTATTCTGTTGTAGACTCCATCATGATAGATTCAATGTTTAGCAGTATGACAACAAGTATCCAGTTGGCCCAAGAATGCCTCAAACAGCCCTATAAAAATGTATTCATGTAATGTTCTTTATTCTGTTGTAGACTCCATCATGATAGATTCAATGTTTAGCAGTATGACAACAAGTATCCAGTTGGCCCAAGAATGCCTCAAACAGCCCTCTAGTGAAGGAGAGAAGGATGCCTCAGGGGCGCAACCATTTGAGGGACTAGAGAACTTTGCACAGACAATAGAATCTGGTACAGAACAATTTTCGATTTTGTCACCACAAGATATTGTTTTGTTATTGTTATATTTACCATTTTGTTCATCTGATAGAGGGAGATACCAAATTTCCTTCATAATAATTACAGGCCCGTAGCCAGGATTTGCCAAGGGGGTTCACGTTTTGAAAAATTTCAGGGGGTTCACTTGTGACAATTTTGGTTCAAAAATGGCCAAAATGACTTAAAAAGTGCTCAGAATGGTGAAAAACTGCATGATTTTGAAAGATTATTTGGCCAGAGGGGGTTGCTCGAACCCATCGAACCCCCCTGGCTACGGGCCTGAATTAGGAGGAAATAAATGAAAGAAACTTTGCATATGAGTTGAAGTATGCACTGGAGGATCTGGCCCAGGCCCCCACCCCCTTGGGTGGGCCCAGAAAAAAAAATTGGGCCAAAAAAGGCCTTAAGGCCCCAAAAAGTAGGCCTTTTTGGTCATTACTGGGCCTTGTAAGGCCTTGTTTTATAATTTCATGCCAAATTTTTAAGAAAATGGGCCTCAAAATTTCAAAATATTGGCCAACTTTTGTGTTTTAGGCTCAACACTTTTTTGCGCGCAAACGCGAAAGTTTTTTTCTCTGATCTGAAATTTGGCCCCCCCCCTTGTTGCTTACCAGATCCGTCCCTGCTATGTATATGAGTTGAACTATGTATATGAGTTGAACTATGTATATGAGTTGAACTATGTATATGAGTTGAACTATGTATGGTTGGACAGTGTGTGGTATTTGATATGAAAAATCTTTTTTCAGTGCTGTCTAAAATTCGTGTTAATTTTACGGACACAATCATCAGAATGGAGCACCTTCCATTGGAAGCAGAGGCTGGAGTTGCACTTGAAGTTAGGATTAAGCGGTGAGTCCTTCAGTGGGGGCACTTATTGCCATAGTAACCAAAAAGCATACCAAAAGTAACCTGGGGGTCGTTAACAGAAACTTTGTAAAGTTAAGAATCCTTTAAGTCCATTGTTCGCTTACCGTGATGTCATTACATCCACGGTTACAACAATTGATTTACGAATTCATTACTTTATGAAGTTTCTGTTAATGACCTCTGTCAATTTACCAGTAAACTGGCCTTGAGCTTAAGCCTTGATCTTGCATAAAAAAGGAAAAAAAGTAGAAAAAAAGAAATGAAATGTGCATTTGTAACAGAGTTTTGATAAGATTAACTTTGAAACAGTAAGATTTGGTAATACAGAGTCCCTTTCATTTGTTTTTGAATGTTGCCCAAGGTGCACATTAACATGATTCAAAAATTAGCTAACAATTTAATCAGTTGGCTCACAACTGGCAAATAATCTTATTTTTCAGCATTGAATATTTTGACGACATGGTGAATGATGATGGAACCCCTGTTGACCAAATGTCGAACCCACAACCCCGCAGTATTTATGAACCAGCAGCAATAGCTCACAAAAATTTCCATTTGATGGGTGTCACTATTTTTAGTGATGAATTCCCGAAAGAAAACCGAACATTTTCCCGACAGGGTTCATCCTCACCCTCTCAGTATGAAGCTCCTAAGGTAAAATGTTATGTTTAATTGTAAATATAATGAATTGTAAATAAAATGTATTTTGAAACCAAACTTGAGTTTTAATTGGTTACATTTTCTAGATTCCTCTCTGCTTTATTAAAATATACTTCTTGATTAGATTTTGAGAGATTTGCATGTATATTCAGTTCAAAAATTGCAAAAACATTGATTCATTTAAAAATCACACCCTTTCGCCACGACCAGTTAAAATAGCGATGAGATATTTTCAGTATTTCTTCCTAAAGAATATCTATACTTTTTACCCTTATACTTTTTCAGGGTTTTGATGCTGATGAGGGACTAAGCCCTGTGCAGTTTCATGATCCCCATAGTCAAAATCAGCAACAGTTTCCACATCCCCATGAGACAGGTCATGCCCCCTATAGTGCAGGTCACCAACTACCAACTCACTCAACACCTATAAGAATTGCAACTTGCGCTGGGAAGCAAGAATTGAAGTTAAAGGTCAAACAGAATGAAGCTTTGGCGGGACCAAAGGTAATATGTTTTGTTTTAGTTATTATATAACAAAACCAACGTCATTTATAATGTTTAATTACAAGATATATTTGCCTTATGCCAACTCAGGACGAAGTACATATTTTCACCTCATATTTATGCATAAAACAATGTCAATATACAGGGTGTCAAAAAACAACGGCACCCCCCTCTACAGAAATAAGTCTTGAATGTTCCATATCGTGTCATACCTCATTTGAAAGATAATTTAATTCTGGAGTTACACATCAAATTTCATTAAATAAAACTTAATATTAAAAAAAACTACATTGTTTCAAAGTTTGCTACTTCAGCACTTTGTTTGCTGCTCTGTTACTGGTTAAAAGTCAAATCTTCAGAAAGTGAAATATGAAAGAATTACCCCAGATTTCAATTGCACTGATCATATAGGTTCATTTCTGAAAAACAGGGTATAGGAACTGATGGACAAAGAGTCTCTTGAAAAAAGACACAGTAAGGATTTATTTCTGAAGAATGTGAGGAAAGTGCGAAGAGGATTATGCAATGCTACACCTTTATGTGAATTTTTATTGAAATCATATCTGTCCTAATAAGCTGCTGTTTGAGCAGCAACTGGTGGTCATACCAACTACTAAGAATCAGCTGTAAATCTGTAAAATTATATGATATAAAGCTGAAATTTCTCAGGTAACTCCAGAATTAAATTGTCTTCAAAATGAGATATGACACACCATGTAACATTAAGTACTTTTTGCTGTAGAGGGGGGTGCCGTTGTTTTTTGACACCCTGTACATCTAAATAGTAAAAATAAAAACCAAAAATGCAATGTAGAATTTAATTCATTTCCTAAATTCACTCACCAGACAACATGGTGATATATTGTTATGGCAACCATATTTTGTGACCAGCATTCTGCATATGTAACAAATGTTACACTTTTCTTCTTATTGCAACAAGTTTGTGATATTTTAATGTCTTGTTACAGAAATCCATGCAACATTTTTTTGAATAATTCTTTGAAATTTAAACCCATTGTAGTATCATGTAGATCATCAAAAATTGCGTTTCCAGCTTGAGGTTGATGTCCTACTGGGGTCGGTGAATGTTTTCCTCTCTCCTAGACAAGTCCATATCCTCCTGGAACTGGCCAATGGCATCACTGCACCAAGTGAGTCATTATTTAACAGAATTTGTGACATTGAACATACTAATGTTACATTTTTTTATAATATATGTGAATTAACACAAGATTTGAAATAGATGAGAGATTTCAAGTGTCAATAATGTTATTTTGTAGATTTTGTCGAAAATATTTGAAAAATTGGTATTTTCTATATTCCAGGTATCATTCCTGTACTAGAGTATGGATTTTATAATTTTGCTTTAACAATACTTTTCCAAGAAAAACCAAAACATATAATTTTTTTTAGAGTTGAGAATCTTGGAAAATCTGAATTTTACTACTTTTGTATCCAATTTAGAAAAAAACTGACACCACTCCACACAAATACCCTGTCACTTTTCCTTGTTTTTATAACACTTCTTCATCAACAAAATTTCAGGAAAATTTTATCGGTTCAACTTAAAATTTTTACAGATTCAGGAGCAGACTAGCCCCAAGATCTGACGAGGTTTAGTGCAATATTTATCGCTTTGTGTCTAATGTTTTCAATGTTACAGGTACCTCAGATGACACAAATATACGTCACAAAAAGGCGCACAATAAACCAATGATGTCCGATGATTATGAAAAAATAGAACAAGAGCTCCAGCATCACTTGGAGCACGATGTTCACTCAGCCCATGATACACGTCCCCTTGGTGATGACGCCCTGACAACTCAATCTCTAGGTTAGTTCATGCAGTGTCTTTTACCATAATAATGTAGGATTTTATACATGATACAGTCAAAATAACTTTAAATAAGAGAAATTAATATTGTGTCTTGTACATTTTATGAGTACCGTATTCTTCCTAAAAAGCACACAGTGGGACTGTAGTTGTAATAAAAGTTGCACATGCACTTTTTGATGAATGTGAATTCTTTAGAGAGAATATGGTATTATTTTAATGCACACAATTTGCCCATTTTGTAAGAGAGTGCTTTGTCAAAAGATATATTTATCCATATTTATAGCATAGTAAAAAAAAAATTTCCTTTAACCTAATTGTATACTGGTAATTGAAAATGTTTAAACTTGAAGTGGTTGATAAGCCCTGGTGTGCTGGGTTGGGTTATGTAAAGCTAGCTCTATAAGAACAATAAACTTATATGTTTGAAGATATATACATTATATTTTTATTTATGTATACATATTTACAATAGATGATTCAGATGATGATGAAGAATTCTACTACTCCATTGGTCAGAGCCATCCTGATACCTTCAGTGATATGGAGTCATCAATCTCTAGTAGCGTCAGTAGCAAATCTGCAAGTACCACAACAACAGGAGGTAAGAATCAATACCACATTTTATGTCACCACCATGAAATGGTGACATATTGTCATAGGCACCATTTTATACAGTAAAATCTGTAAATGGAACCATTCCATTAATAGAACATGCTTTAAAGTTCTTTCGCCCATTATCTTATTGTAAAATGAATCGCTGCTTGCAGAACTACTTCAAATTGGAACACTTTTTTTTAAATAAGCACTGATGTTCTTGTTCCACAGGTTTCACTGTATGTGGCTGGCATTTGGTGTTCACTTTCTGCTTTTAATATGAACATGTACTGTAAGTTTCTTTAATTTGGCGGATTGGGCCTGAATAGGCAAATTTTGAAATTTTGGCTGCTATTTAGTTTTGTGGATTTACCCATCGGTAAAATGCAGATATTAGAAGATCATACAAAGATGCAAACAGTACTCTCGTTTTTCAAAAAATAACCAGCAGTGGATCTAGATCTTCAAAAATAGTTCAATATTGACATTTCATTTGGCTATTTTCAAATGTTTTTATCCTGCAAGGGAATCCCTGGGGATTAATTCGCAAAATTGTCTGAGACGTAATTTGGCAGTTGTCATCAATCCGCCAAATTAAAACGGCCGTCAAATTAAATAACAGTGTATGCTTATGTCAGCTTTTCCAGATTTTTCATGCTCACGCAGGTATCATATCCATTTGTGGATAAAAATCATGGCACTCATAAACTATAGGATATCATTTATATCTTATAGATACATGTAGTTTGACAATGATGAAAGTGGTTGTGTTTTATTTAATCTCTCCTTGCAGATTTCTCTCTTTTCCCCCATGGGCAGCATGCTATTTTAACAGAGGGGGATAATTGATTTATAAGCTAATATTTTATTTTCTGAAATGTTTGCTCCTTAATTTAGTATCAATATCTCTTGAATTTATGTACATATTTACAGTAGATCCATATCATGATATTGTGACATTTTTGAAATACAGTACCAATATCATAATATCATTATAAATCATTTACTTGTTGACATGGTAATATATCCAAATTGGATCTATATCTATTGATCCGTATTGGCTGGTAGAAATTATGCAGTTTTTCTCAGTCAGGATTTTGGAAAAGCTAAACCTGAAACATCTTAGATTATTGGTGCATTTGTTAGCGCACATCAGTTGAGATTTTGTTGTCATTTGTGTCCCATCTGTGAGTTTCATGTTGCCTTGCTTTGTGAACGTTCTTGATTCTCGCCTTAAAGGTTTTGTAATTAGAGCAGATGTTGTAATAAGTTCAGATGTTGCGGTTTGATCAGATGTTAAAGTAGGATTAGATGTTGTAGCTTGATCAGATGTTGTAGGTTGAACAGATGTTAAAGTAGAATCAGATGTTGTAGTTTGATCAGATGTTAAAGTAGGATTAGATGTTGTAGCTTGATCAGATGTTGTAGGTTGAACAGATGTTAAAGTAGAATCAGATGTTGTAGTTTGATCAGATGTTAAAGTAGGATCAGATGCTGTAGTTTGATCAGATGTTAAAGTAGGATCAGATGTTGGAGTTTGATCAGATGTAACAAAAGGATCAGATGTTGTGGTTTGATCAGATTTTAAAGTAGAATCAGGTGTTACAGTTTGAACAGATGTTAAAGTAGAATCAGATGTTGGAGTTTGATCCGATGTCAAAGTAGGATCAGATGTTGGAGTTTGAACAGATGTAACAAAAGGATCAGATGTAGGTTGAATAGATGTAGTAGGTTGAATAGATGTTAAAGTAGAATCGGGTGTTGTAGTTTGATCAGATTTTAAAGTAGAATCGGGTGTTGTGGTTTGAACAGATGTTAAAGTAGGATCAGATGCTGTAGTTTGATCAGATGTTAAAGTAGGATCAGATGTTGTTGTTTTGTCATATGATAAGGTAGAATCAGATGTTGTTATCTGATCAGGTGTTAAAGTAGGATCTGATGTTAGAATTTTATCAGCTGCTATAATAGGGTCAGACATTGTAGTTTGATTAGCCATTATAGATGTTGCAGTATGACCAGATGTTGCAGTTGAATAAGCTTCTGTTGTGGAAGCAGATATTAAAAAAGTTGGATTCTCTGTTGTAGCAGGATTAGATGTTGTCATTGCATCTTCTGTTGTAGTAGAATCAAATGCTGTATTTTCATCGGTTGTTGTCGTAAGATCATATGTTGTCATGGAATCAAATGTTGTCATAAGAGCATTTGTTGTAGAGGTACCAGATGTTGTTACATTGTTTGTAGATGTTAGAACATTGTTTGTTGGTATAGTCATTTGTGTTGAATTTCCAGTAACATTAACTGTAAGCAAACATTGTCAAACTTAAATTCAAAATTTTATTTTTGTTGATAATTTACTGAAGCATCGTGACAACATTTACTATTTTTTATTTCAATATGATAATTGATTGAAAAAGTTAAATAAAACAGGCCGTGTAACAAATTTATGGCTTACTTGTGACTTGTAGTGAGGGAACATAACAGTTTGAAGATTGATGAAATTCGCGAACACCCCCAATCGGGACTTTTGGTTCAGTGGCTCCAACATCTCTTATCAGGGAGTCATGTGGAGACATACATGGCCGCTCGCCATATGACAACCCTAAAGACAAATTGGGTCCATAGAAAACCCCAATGCTATCCCCAGGAATAACCAGCATTGGATCTTCCGGAATATATTCTTCATAATTGTCTATATTCGGAGTGTAAGGATCCTCTGTTATTAACTTGTAGAGAAATCCCTGTCCTGTACGTCGCCATATTTGGAGCCATGTGACGTCACGGTCAGGTTTTGAGCCTCGATGCCACATTTTCCATTTTATGATTTTTCCAAAAACTGGAACTGGGTTCCCTGATGATAAAAATGCATAATTGCTGTCAGAATTTTTGTTGGTGTAGCTACGAGCTATCGGGGGATTGCCATATAGTAGTTGAGTCCCATTTTCTGAAATAGAGGCATTATGTCGAGGTTAAAGTTCAAGGTCCACAAAATATATCACATAGGAAATTAATTTGTACAGTAACATTTGTACAGTTACAGATTGTAAGGTCAGAATCTACATGTCATCAATGTCTCGTTGTAGACAAATAGTGTTTTACATTAATCTAATCCAGGACTCATAGACTTCAATCCACGCATCAGTTTTGGTGTTGCTGACCTCATTCCATCGTTGGAACATTGTTCGGATGGAAGGAACGAGGTCGGCAACGTTGGAATTGATGACCATGTGATTCAAAGTCTAGGAGGCCTGTGATCAAAATTGTATGAATAATCAGTGTTCGCGTTGACGCCGTTTTTTGCCATTTTTACGGAAATTTCAGAAGGTTGGATGTAAAAATCAAAATCAACTTACGTCCCTAGGACGCAAAAATTATAAACTGCATCAAGATAACTTTTACTGCAGCACAGTAGCGGTGAAACATGATTTTCATCAAGATTTTCAAACTCACTACCTTGATATACGAGCAATGATCCAGGTATATTTATATCGACAAATCTGATTGGCTATCATGGCTACCGAAGATTAACAGGGTTTCCAGTATGAGACATGGATTTTGATTGGTTCCGATATATTCCGGAAAATGCCGCAATCGAAATGGAAGATCAAAACATACAATATTGCAGAAATCCCCTGTGGTGCCCCACAAATTGAAACGATTGTTTTTCACGATTATCTTTATTATTTCCACTAAGAACCATTATATATTGATCTAATGTTATACATCAAGTTAATTGTTTAATGATAGATCGAGGTTTTTCATCTAAAAGTCTTCAGAATAAGGAAAAATGTTAATAAAAAGAAGCAAAACTTCATGACCTTGACATGACCTTCAAGATCGCAAGTTTGTAAAATGTGAAAACAAAACTCTTAATTTGAGCATTTGAGCAAAGGACCCAGTGATAAATATTTATCGGGAGGATGCATCAAATTACAATATATGTCATTTTTATCCCATTTTAGTGTAAGCACTCTATTATCGCCCACTTTATTTTCACTTTCACAATATTTTCTTGAACTTTGTGAAGAAATAAGAGGGACGCAAAAAAATTAGATGGGGACTCAAATTTTTCAAATGGGTTGCGTCCGTGGGACTCAGAAATTTAAATGGCTAGCGCAAACACTGAATAATGAAGAAATGCATATGATAAATGAATTTTGTCAGTTTACTCCATATAAAGTATAGCATTCTAGTCCAACAAAAGCTAACACTGCCATCTATTTATTCATCTATATTAGAGCAGGTCCTTTATTCTAAAGTAAAGTTGAAGTCTTATACACTATTCCTCGCGAGTTTTAAATAATCAATTTTGTAAAAATTAAAGTAAAAAACATGATTGATTACCTGTAGTAATATGTGTACATACTGATATCTTTAGTATAACAAAACATATGATAAGCTTCAATGCCATTTTATGCAACAATCCCTTTTCTTCAGCAGTATTATTGTTTGATTCTTTAATCCACCAGATCTCTTTTATATTTGTCCAAAATTTGGTCATCCAAATCTTATTTATGTTTTCGATTGTTATATTTTATTTTTATGCATTTGTGTTTTTTAAGCATGAATTCCTTATCTCAAAGTTACCTTTAACTTTTTGCATCAAGTAATGATTAATGTTTGTTAAATACTTGGAACATATAATCTGTGTCAGCCAATCCAATTCCTTCTTCGTGCATTTCTCTCAAGAAAGTCCCAAACTTCGTGATGGTATCTCAATTTATTCATTGATAAATATTATGACCCCTTTTATGTTATGTACTATAAGAGGAATCAATTTGATCAACAATCTTTGGGAATTTGTTTGCCTGTGTTTACTTAGGGGTAGTCTATGATGCAATTCGTTCATACTTTAGTGCTTGTTAAGTATATCAATAGGGTAGCTGTTTCATTTTATAGAATTTATAAGTTCACTGGGGTCTATATGTTAAAATGTATGTATTGATGATGTAATAAATACACCATTGTGTGGACATATTTTGCATAATAGTTTATGTAGTTTAGCTGTAATTGAAGATTTATCAATAACAGAAAAAATGACATCCGCCATTTTTGGAAGAGACTAACTGCAGTTTATTCATCCTTCTGTTAACCATTGTTATATAAGACATAATGTCATATGTTATAATAGTTTATGCTATGCCCATGTGACTTAACTCTCCTGTTTGTCTTGTTAAGGTACTACTAATTAATTTATTGGATTGCATTAATAAGTTAAAATTCGTAAACAAAAGGATCAATTACACAAATAGAAATTTATTAGTACATTGATGGGTAGAATACAGCTTAGCATATGTTGCATTAGAATATTCATGTATAACTGCCAAAGAAAAATGACAGTAATTGTAACAGCAAGAAAAAGAAAACATCTAAGAGTACACTGTCATAAGGGAAACAAACCCCAACTATCCCAAAGCATGGTCCAAAATTGAACAGAAGAATGAATTAAAGAATAATTTTAAATTGATAAACAGTACTCTCAACATCAAAAATAGTTGTAGATTAGTCATTCAATCCTCACTTTCTCTTAACATTGAATAGCTAAATAGCTAATTAGTAAATTCAGAGTGTTGACCTCGTGTCTGTAAACGACTTCCAACAATAAATTTTCAAAATATTTTGGTGTAGCTCTCCGAAAACATTCCTTGATGAAAACTTTGGATCTAACTGATTGCATCCTTTTTATTACTGAATTATCATATATTTTCAATCACTGAATTATCTTATATTTTAAATCATTGAATTATCATATATTTTCAGGGTACCGCTATACTCCAGGAAATGCTAGTTATTTCACTGGTTCAAGAGACGCACCTTTCCAAACATCGATTCCAAGAGAAGCAAGAAAACCAAGACATAGAAAGAAAGGTATATAGGAAATTAGAAGCTAGTTAATGGGATATTGTACAGTTATTTGTTCTGTTTGGAAACTCCTTTGTATATTTCGTTATAAATTTTCCCCAAGTGAGAAGGGGTATTAACAGAAGTAGGAAATTTTGCCCGATTCATTAGAACGAGGATCAGGAACAAACATGTTAAAATATTTGCACTTTTAGGCTTAACAAACAACAAACAGTAACATCACAGGGAAATAACACAATGAAATCAATGTCATGTGATCTGTGTTCAATGAATCACAGAATGAGAAACATCACATGTAGATAATAATTTTATTTTATTTTACAATGTGTGATTAATTTTTTCCTGATTAATATTGTCTTTGACCAAAATATCTTTCAAGATTACTCTTCCAATTAGAAGCACATTATTTGTGTTTTCAGATACTCTACAAAAACTGCTGGATGACCCTGCATCTGAGTTAACCCGTTACAAACTCAAACTAAGCTATTTCTCATTGGTTGTCCTCCACGAAGATCCTCCACCCACCCCATCAGATGCCATAGACCCGGGGAAATCATCCGAGGAAAAATTATTAGAAATGTCAGAGGTGTTTTTTGGGAAAGCACAGGGGATCAATGCAGTAGGGATTGACCTTTGTGAACTGAGGGAGCTTTATTCAGAGGCCTGTCCCCATGATCACCTAGGGTAGGTATTCCCAATGATGTACATGTGCCTTATTCTGTGTATGTGTCTGCCTGTATGCAGAAAAGTTTAAAAAAAATTATGTCAATAAAGGTGGCATATAACCCTGTTTATTTTTATATTTATTTGAGTTGTGTGCGGTTTGGAGTCACTTGATCACTACTTTAACCCAATAAGTTATATCAATTATTGGGTTTACATGATTTCAACATAATTCTTACAGAAACATTAGTTAATCTATCTCAATTTAATACTATATTCTTATACCAAAGGGGTCCCTATCGCAAAGATATATATTATAAAAGACAATATATTCTATATAAGTTTTTATATTATTTCATATAAGTCATTTTCGTGAAGCCATTCAGTAAAATTACGATTTCTCTGCACCCTGATGTCCACTCAACATCATTCAAGTATCTATGTGTTCCTGACACATTTGGGCATCCGGTAATGATAACATCTACCCAATGTTTCCACGCAAAATTGGCGTTATTCATGACTGAAATCGGAAAGACAAAAATATGTGATATCTTTCAGAATTGTTTATAATAACTGTTTACAAAAATGTTCCCGAGACACAAATCCATTAAGGTAAGGTTTGTTATGAAGTCGAAAAGCCCCAATAAGACAATACAAACCCAGATAAAACCTGGAAGACTGCAGATTTCATGTAATGATTTACGTTCATGTAAACAAGTAAAGTACATATAATCCCCATCCCCATATAAAACACTGGCCTATTAGGCTATATGTGACATGTAATAACATGTTCAAACTGAAATATAGAAACTTTTCAACAAAGCATTTGCTTCTGTGTTCTGTATGCCCCTCTACCTGCTTAATAAGGCAATGTATCTTCAAATAAAACCTAGCCAAGTAGATAAAAGACTCTGGAACACTTTTGTAAATAGTTTTTACAAGCAATTTTGTTTGTGAATCTCACATTTTGTCTTCCGGATTTCAGTCATGAATTACGTCAATTTTGCGTGCAAACTTTGGGTAGACATTGTTATTCCTGGACGCCCAAACGTGTCAGGAACACATAGATACTTGAATGATCTTGATTGGACATAAGGTTGCAGAGAAATCATAATTTTACTGAGTGCCTTCATGAAAAATTAAAAATGTATGTGAGTGCCTTTATGAAAAAGAGACTGTCAAGGGATTGAAAGAATTGTATAATAAGGGACATGTTAAATATCAAATCGAAACTACTTCTTTTTCAGTATTATCGGAAAACCACTGACGTTAGAGTGCAATCAGACTTCTACAATAAAGCACCATAGTACGACATTGGATATTACTATAGGGATGCTGGAGGCCGTAGAATGCCTCTTCGACAGACGCGCATTTACACATTCGCTTCGTGGATTCAGCTTGCCGATTGACAATATCCTCCCAGAATACAGCGAGGTAAGACAGTTTTAATTTTGTTATGTCACCACCAGAAGTGGGGTCATATTAATTGTTATTATATACCCAATATGTAACACTAATCCTGATTGGTCAATACCTAGTCACGTGTTCCGAAATAGATTTACTATTTCCCTCGGAAAGTTATATTCCCTCAAATGTGACGTCAGCGGGAATATACATTTGAACTATTGCCTGCTGACGTCACAATTGCAAGTTTTATTACCTTTGGAAACGTCTGCGCATCATCACTGCGCAGACGAAAAACAGAAAAATGGAGGATGAGCACAAACACAAATCAACTCCGTTCACCATGACAGACGTGCGTGAACGATACAATATAAGCAACGTGTATAAAGTTCCCTAAGCTCAATAGGTCTGTGTAATTTCAAGTGTTATGATAATCTATTCCGCGTGTTTAACGCCATTGAATTTGTCAAGTGAGAGTCTCAGAGGCAATTTCTGTTGAGCATCTGATGACGTCACAGCTTATAATGCTAACAATGGACCCGGGGAGGGGGCTTTCTAAGCCTTTTTGGCCTTCGCAGAGGAAACGGAACAAGAGTCAGTATAGGGTATACAATAAAACAAATAGTGACTGCCTAATTTCGTGCAATAGTGTAAATGATTTCCCCTTGGGAATATCCTCTACAATGTACTATTCCCTCAGCCTGCGGCTTCGGGAATAGTGCATTGTAGAGGATATTCCCTCGGGGAAATAATTTACACTATTGCCCTCAATGGCAGTCACTATTTGTATATTATAGTGTACAACTTTTTGTAGATGATTTTAAATGGTTAGCATTTGGGGGTCAGAGGTCGGCATTTGGCATCTGTAACAAATAGCAGGTGGTGACATTGTGCATGTTTATGTCTTGTTTTAAGACATAGGTATTGAGTCAAAACTTTCAGTATCTGTATATATGCATCTAATATCGCCTGTGCTCTGAGAAGGTTATCCTTATATGTTTTATTGTCAATCACTTCATTTATGTTTTGTACAAGTTCATCAGGTGTGAATGTGTTAAAGTCCATAATAAGGCCATAGCCTCTAGCCTTTGCACGTTCTGCATTATGCATCTGATCTAAGCCTATGGGAAATGTGATCATTGGTACAGCATGGGCGACACTCTCTAATTGGCCACTGTTACCACCATGTGTGATGAATAGTTTTGTGTTGGGATGCCCTAAAATATCATTCTGGGGCACCCATTCCATTAGGATCACGTTTGAAGGTTTATTCGGTGGTGCAATACCTTTGTATCTCATTATTATAACATGTTGTTTTATCCCTGAAAATGCCTCCATCAGTTTTGACATCATGGGATCAGGAAATGAATTTATTCCTGAGCCAAATGTTAAAAGTATTACTCCATGATTTGCCAGGCCAACAAATGATGAAAGATCCGCTGTCAATGGTGAAACCTGCTTTGGTGCAAAGTCACCTATTATCTTATAAGCGGGGTGTGACAGACGGGGATATTCCAATACATGGTGTTCTATCATGACTAACCACATCTCTGATTTCCGATGTAAATCGCCAACACAATTCAGTGGCATATCAGGACCATATTTTCGCAATAACTGCTCAAAGTATGAATTCGATATAGGTGGTGTAATGGTATAGTAAGCTAAAGTGCATAAAAAAATGCTGATTCGCTGAGTGAAGGTCATGTGATCAGATCCTGGGAAAGAGAAATGTACTTCTGATGAAGGTAATGAAGGAATAGCTGCATGCCATGGCTCAGGAACAGGTGCAAGAGTTATAAATGGAACATTGTGTCTGTAGGGTATGATATACTGAATACGGTTCATGTAAAGCCCATCAAAAATCATCAAATCAAACTTTGCATGAGCAATTCTTACTGTCATTTCCTCATCTGCGAGAAGCCTTTCTTGATCAGCATAAGTTTTTTCTTTCACTCCTTTCATTGTTTTTAGTTTATCAAGTAATCCCATATCAAATGCAACTTCAGTCATTTTATCTTCCATGTTATCCTGTTCCCAGTGTGACGCGAAATTATAGTACCAACATTCAATCTCGAACACTAATAAAGTTCTCTCATCAATAAACTGGAAAAATTTATCCTCTAGAAGAGAGGAACATCTCAAAATATTTATTTTTAAAGCAAGATATAATAACTTTCCTCCTTTCATTTGTAATCTTGTCAGGTCCTATGAGAATGATATACAAGTGCGCTCATTAAGGAGCCACAGGGACTATAAGATTCCCCTTCAAACAAGCGCTTTGGCTAAGAAATCTACAATTTTTAAAGGTATGGCCCTTTGGAATAACCTTCCACCAGATTATAGAATTGGTCAGCCAATTTCAAGATTTAAAAGAATAGTAAGAGGCGATGGAAGCCATGCTTCTACCCTATCAACGTCAAAACTAAAAAATGCCATGCCTCGCTACCTAGAAATTCCTCTAAACCGACTCAGGTCCGGACTTCTCTTGCAAGCTCACCTCCATGCACACAACTTTGAACGGGTTGCTAATCCTAAATGTTTATGTGACAATATAAACCAGACAACTTTACATTTCCTGTTGAAATGCCCTCTGCTGACAGAACAGAGAACAACACTACTTGCAGGACTGGAGACGATAGGGATCCGTACCCACTATGATGGACTTAATATGCATGATCAATCCCAGTTCTTACTTTTTGGAGATAATAAATTTCCAGTAGATGTCAATGAGAAACTAATGAACAAAGTAGCATATTATATCCACCAGGGTCTATATCTTTTGGACATGTAATCGATTACAACATGTTACAACTGAAATCCCTCTGGCCAAGGGAAAAAACCTTACACATCTTTGTGATATACGAGTGTAGTGTGATGATATTTTATTGACTTTTTCTTTCATCTATTTTAACAATAACATGACATAAAAATAACTTATTATGTAAAAATTTAATAACATTCCTTTGGATTTCACTCAAAATTGCCGACAATGTCACTAGACTTTGGCAATTGTTTAAGTTTGTACAGCTGTATTTTATGGAATATAATAAAGATGATTAATAAAAAAAAACAAAAAAAAAAAACATTCAATCTTTGAATATTTTCCCAAAATTCTCTTCATCCTTGGTGCCGTCAGAATGGTCACATTATGTCCTTCGGAAATTAGTTTTTCTCCAAATTTGGCATGTAAGTTCACATGGTTGTAGTGGTCAAAAGGAAGAAATAATATCCTGGAGGAATCCACTGTCGTGATCACCCAGCATGAAGCTAATAGGAGCAATACAATATTCTCACCCGTCATATATGATTACTTCACGATTCTCATAAACATTTAAACCTGACAAACAGCATCAACCTAAATAAAAACACAGAACTTTTTAAGTGATTGCTCTCAATGATATGCCTCGATCGATAAGTATGCACTTTAAAGTACAGTACAACCTGTGTACATGAAAAGGTAGCAGTGAAAATATATAAGACACAAACCATTTGCTAACCCAAAGTGCATCTCTGAGAATTTGGACCTGATATCTGTAGTGGTTCAGTCTCAAAGTCAAAGACTTTTCATGTAGTAAAAAGTAAGTACATTCATGGAAAATATTTAAATGATATTTGCTGACAAAAAGGCTAATTTTCCCAAAATGACACAAAAGTTAAGTAAGGACTACCATAAAATAGTTATGAGCAATTGTTTAGAAGATAGCTGGTTTCCAATGTATGAGTCAGGAATAAATATGACGTTCTATTGAAGAGAAAGTGAGTGTCATCCTTCAAACCTAAATGCGCCTAAAGCACAGGTGTTTATACAGTAATGTGAAGGATTTTGTCTTATAACTAACTAATATGCTTAATTGAAAATTGAAATTAAAAAGTATTTGACTCATAAAATGCTCAATTTCTAAAGGTGTTTCACTTATAAAGTTGTTTAACAAAAAGAGATGTTCAACCTACAACTGTGTGTACCATCACATGTATTACTGTAACTGCACATTTAAAGTGGAATAAGTGAGTGTTTAAATGCTGTCCTACAGTGTAATTCATTCAGATGATTAAAACTACAGTATATGTAAAATCATATTGGCTTTTTAGTTAGCTTCTCTTATTGTAGGTTTTAGAACAGCCAGACTTTACTGAAACATAACAAATATACAGACATAAATGATTTTTATCACACCATCGGTGGGATATAGTCGTCATACTGGTCGTGGTCATGGTCGTGATCGTGATCGTGGTCGTGATCGTGATTATGATCGTCCCGCTTTTTGTCATCGCTGTTTAAAGAAAACTGCTCATCAGATTTTCTCCAAATTTGCAGAGATGATAGAGCATATGAAGTACTAGAGCTGATTAACTTTTGGGTGGCCATCTTGTTTTCTGCTGGCCATTTTGAAGGTTTTTCGAAAAATCTAGTCATCACCATTTCAGGAAAACCGCTCATTGGATTTCCTTCAAATTTACACAAATGATAGAGGATATCAAGTACTAGAGCTGATTAACTTTTGGGTGGCCATCTTGTTTTCTGGCAGCCATTTTGAAGATTTTTCGAAAAAACTTGTCATCGCCATTTTAGAAAATCCACTCATTGGATTTCCTTCAAATTTACACACATGATAGAGGATATCAAGTACTAGAGCTGATTAACTTTTGGGCGGCCATCTTGTTTTCTGGTGGCCATTTTGAAGGTTTTTCGAAAAATCTTGTCATCACCATTTCAGGAAAACCGCTCATCGGATTCCTTCAAATTTACACAAATGATAGAGGATATCAAGTACTAGAGCTGATTAACCTTTTAGGTGGCCATCTTGTTTTCTGGTGGCCATTTTGAAGGTTTTTTGAAAAATCTTGTCATCGCTGTTTCAGGAAAACCGCTCATCGGATTTCCTTCAAATTTACACACATGATAGAGGATATCAAGTATTAGAGCTGATTATTTTTGTGGCAGCCATCTTGTTTTCTGGTGGCCATTTGAAGTTTTTTCGAAAAAATCTTGTCATCGCCAATTTAGGAAAACTGCTCATCGGATTTCCTTCAAATTCGCACAGATGATAGAGGATATCAAGTACTAGAGCTGATTAACTTTAAGGTGGCCATCTTGTTTTCTGGTGGCCATTTTTAAGGTTTTTTGAAAAATCTTGTCATTGCCATTCCAGGAAAACTGCTCATCGGATTTCCTGTACATGATAGGGGATATCAAGTTCTAGAACTTATTAAATTTTGGGTGGCCATTTTGTTTTCTGGCGGCCATTTTGAAGATTTTTTGATAAATCTTCTCATCGAAAACAATCCACTTTGTCATATTGCCTTAAATTTTAGCTCAAGATGTGAGCTATTGATTAATATGACCACAGCCAACATTTTTTTCTTGTTCGTGAAAGGATGTGTCCGGGTATATGCCCTTTTGGTCCCTCAGTCAAATGTATGTGAAATATGTTTTTTATTACTGTCCTAGTTATATTTGATAAGAATATTTACTTTTTCACGAGTTTTGATGCATAATTAACCCCCTGCTGAGAGTCAAAATAAGTATCTTAACAAACAAAAAATAGTCATTATCACAGAAAAAAACACCAATGGCAACATGTATGACATACAAAGAAGAAATAACTTGAGACCCATGAAGGATCTAAAAGAAATTTTTGAAATATATTTAAGAATTAAAATTTTTTTCAAATTTTTGAATTTCCCGCCAATTTAATTTGAAGGGGGAAAAACAAGATGGCTGCCATTTGATGTAAGAAATATCAGAAAAAAGTTGCTTCACTTTTAGTTTTCACAATGAGCACAGTTTTCCGGTTTAGGTTTTTTGACTGATTCTGACTCTTCATCACCAGGGTCATGTATAGAGATTATAAAATTGAAACCAAAATGTTGTGCTCAGCATGAATTTGACTGAAATATGTGTAACTTCACCAACACAATTGAAGTCTCAAAACTGGATGCTCAGTAACTTTGAGTGACTATAATCCCTTGATTACCCAGATAAACACCAATTCACTTATCCAGAAATACCATTCAATGTCTAGACAAAGAAAGTATGCAATGTTTTGGAGGATATGTTTCAAACCTTTTGTATAAATAATTCATTTAATATTTGCCATTGATTTTTTTTTCAATTCCGACAAAGTGATATGCACTGTCTTTGATGCCAATACTCTTCATTAATTGTGATACAAATTGATATTTTTGTACTCTCAGAAGAAGGATAAGATATTGAAGTTTAATAATATGTGTGATTGAGTTAGTTTTTCAGACATTACAATTTTCAATATTTTCTAAGTCGATACCCAGACTCATTCCCAGACTCATCCTTTGTAAACATAATAGGAGAACAGTTTTCCTGGTTCATCATAGTGTCTGCCTATTTGATGGTGTGATCTCGTTCACGTCCTGTGCCTTGTTTAACTTTTTCATGGCATGATATAGTGACACGATAATATTAACATATGTTTTGAGCATAACTCTGAATGTATTGATGAGATATTAATGCATTGGGTCTTTTTAATTTTTTTTATAAAAAATAATATTAATATTTTTTGTCCGCTGTGACGGAGCATTTTCACCGTCACATTTGCAACTGCTCCGTCACAGCGGACAAAAAAATTAAACATTATTTTTTAGAAAAAGAATTAAAAAGACCAAATACATCAACATCTCATTTATACCTTCATAGTTATGCTGAAACCATGTGTAAATATTATCGTGTTACTATATCGTGCCATTAGAAAGTTAAACAAGAAATGGTATATTTTGAAGTTTGATACTCCGGCGCCATTTTCAATAGCTTTTCTTCCCAGCGTAATTGGACTTCAAACAGAAGTGAAAGTTACCCGCAAATGATATATCCATTGCATGGAGTAAGTAATTTTGTATGGTATATCGAAACATATGAGTTAAAAAATAAATCGTGAAGTATTCTTAGTGTTTTTATGAAAAATAGCATGCTCCGTCACAGCGGACAAATATTTCGATACCAGTCTGTGCAAATGCAATATCATTTTCAAATTGTCTGGGGGGTCCCTCAAAGCTCGTTCGCTTCACTCACTGGTGGCGTACACTCACAAAATACCCATGCTACGCCACTGTGTAAGCCTACTCATGATATTATTCTAAGAACAGTATAGTATATTTTATGTCATCACCACAAGTGGTGACATTGTTATAGTCTCAAACATTTTTTGGATGGTGTTTGCCGGGTGGTGGTCTTCATTCAGCATCTATAATAACAAATGTGGGGTGGTGAAACTTTGCATGTTAATGCGTTGGATATATTTGGATTTACACTTTTAATACTAGTGTCTTTAGATACACAATCTTCTTACTTTCCTATATGAAGGTTGACCTCAAACGATTCCTACAGGTGAAAATACATTTGTTAACCCAGATACGTCATGACAAAAAAAACTCACCATTTAAAAAATTTTTGATAGTTTTTTGTCAAAACCTTGATATGTGCTGTTACAGTGGTACCTGTGATTGTAAAGACAGTTGAAGGTTTAACACCTCTTTTTGTTGAAAATCTTTAGATTAGTTCAATTGAGGATTTTATGAGTCAATTATTTTTATATTTCAATTTTCAATTAGAAATTAAACACATTAGTAACAGTTCTACAGCAGTTTTGATTTCTTTGTTGCAATGGATTTTTGAGGTGTTAACAGATACAAAATCCCTCCATTTTGGAAGGTACTAATAAAAAATTGAAGACATGTGCACATTCAGGGTTGATGGTTTTACTCTCACTTTCTCTTGAATGGAATACATGTAATATATTCATTTATGGCTCTCACGGTGAAAACTGACTAATGCCTAAACTATTGTTCAGTTATGATTTTATGGTAGTCCTTACTTGGTTCCATCTCACTTTTTTCTCATTTTTGATATATCCTTTTTGTCGGCAGATGATTTTAAAGGATTTTTAAGGATAAAGTTTTCATTGAATCATATTACTTATTTTTTTCTTATTTTTTACCAAAATCTCGAGAGATGCACTTGGTAAATGGTCTTGTACATGTTCATTTATAAATGTTGTACTGTACTTTAAATTGCATACTTATCAATTGAGACATATTTATTAGAGCATAAATTATGCGCTTTTACTGTTTATGTGAATGTTGTCTGTCATGTTTAAACATTTGTGAGAATCATAAAGTGATCATGGAGTGTAAGGATATTATATTGTTCCTACTAGCTTCTTGCTTGGTGATCGCCAGTGTGGATTCCTCCAGGATATTATTTCTTCCTTTTGACCACTACAACCATGTGAACTTACATGCCAAATTTGGAGAAAAACTTATTTCTGAAGGACATTATGTGACCATTCTGACAGCACCAAGGATGAAGAGAATTTTGGGAAAATATTCAAAGATTGAATGTTGGTACTATAATTTTGCATCATACTGGGAACAGGATAACATGGAAGATAAAATGACTGAAGTTGCGTTTGATATGGGATTACTTGATAAACTAAAAGCAATGAAAGGAGTGAAAGAAAAAACTTATGCTGATCAAGAAAGGCTTCTCGCAGATGAGGAAATGACAGTAAGAATTGCTCATGCAAAGTTTGATTTGATGATTTTAGATGGGCTTTACATGAACCGCATTCAGTATATCATACCCTACCGACATGATGTTCCATTTATAACTCTCGCACCTATTCCTGAGCCATGGCATGCAGCTATTCCTTCATTACCCTCATCAGAAGTACATTTCTTTTTCCCAGGATCTGATCACATGACCTTTATGCAGCGAATCAGCAGCTTTTTATGCACTTTAGCTTTCTATACCATAACACCACCTATATCGCATTCCTATTTTGAAGAGTTATTGAGAAAATATGCTCCTGATAAGCCATTGATTTGTGTTGGTGATTTACATCGGAAATCTGAGATGTGGTTAGTCATGATGGAACACCATGTATTGGAATATCCCCTTCTGTCACACCCCGCTTATAAGATAATAGGTGGGTTTGCAGCAAAGCAGGTTTCGCCATTGACGGGAGATCTTTCATCATTTGTTGGCCAGGCAAATCATGGAGTAATACTTTTAACATTTGGCTCAGGAATTAATTCATTTCCTGATCACATAATGTCAAAATTGATGGAGGCATTTTCACAGATAAAACAACATGTAATAATGAGATACAAAGGTATTGCACCATCAAATAAACCTTCAAACGTGATCTTAATGGAATGGGTGCCCCAGAATGATATTTTAGGGCATCCCAACACTAAACTATTCATCACACATGGTGGTAACAGTGGCCAATTAGAGAGTGTCGCCCATGCTGTACCAATGATCACATTTCCCATAGGCTTAGATCAGATGCATAATGCTGAACGTGCAAAGGCTAGAGGCTATGGCCTTGTTATGGACTTCAATACATTCACACCTGATGAACTTGTACAGAACATAAATGAAATGATTGACAATAAAACATATAAGGATAACCTTCTAAAAGCACAGGCGATATTAGATGATCTTCCCGATCCGCTACAGGAAATTGCATTCTGGGTAAACCATGTGCTGAAATTTGGTGGTTCTCATTTGAAACCAGTTGCACTGAACATGCCTTGGTACCAGTGGTTAATGATCGATATTCTCTTAGTGGTTTTATTGTTTGTTTATATTTTGTATCAGATGATAAAGTACAGTTGTAGGCTAGTGTGGAAAACTTGCAGTTGGAAAACCAAGCAAAAGACTGATTAGTAAATAAATGACTTTTTATAAGAAACTTGGTAACATTTATATGGAAATGGACTCATGTGTTGAAGAGGCTAACATGATTATGAATAAAAGAAATGCTAAAACACCATAAAACAAATGATATGCTATCAAATTGTAGTTAAAAAGGTAAAAAACTACAATTTTGTTATGTCACACACACAAGTGGTGACATATTGCCGTAGTCTCCAACATTTTCTGGATAATTTTATTGTATATAGGTGTTCTTAAACAACTAGCTGAAATATGCATGGGGTATTTGCGATCAACTGGACAAATAATTTGATTATAAAAATCCAAGAAAATTAAATATGATTTATGTGATTTAATTGAATCTTAATGGATTTCTACTATGTTAAATGTGGTAACCATAAGTCGCTATCATTTTTATATGTACTTATAAGTAGAATAAAGAGAAATGATTGAATCAGAGTGGTTATTCAAAATATGTGAAGAAGACATATTAAATTATACCACAGAGGCAGAAAATGGGTGTTTTTCAAGGGTTAACATTAGTTTTTATGAGTTTTTTTGTATAAGATATATGATTTGTATTTCTATTCAAGTTAGAGTGTTACCAATACATACATGCTTACTTTCTTTTTAGTGATCACATTCTCATTTATTCATAGTTTGACAGCTAGAGTTGCAAGGTCACCACTTTTACTGAAAGGCCCCATATAGAGTTTGAAAATATGTTTTTATCATTCATTTACTATTTTTCATGACTTAAAAAGTTATTCTCGAGACTTTTGAATAAAAAAATTTAAGGAAAAACTTTAGGGTTGAAATATAACAGAATTTACTGCAATGTAAAAGAATAAAGATATATGAGGTATTTGTCACTGTACTAAAAAATGTTTACTATGCACTTGAATTATCATGTGTTATCACTAAATTCAATATTAGTTTTTATTAAACGTTAGCTGTACATACCAAAAAGTAATTTCAACGAATACAGGATATGACAGTCTCCAATGTATGAATAAATGCTCAAGGTGGGCTGCCTAATCTACAGTGTAGATATAAGAATTTAAAGTAACTGTTAGATTTTTGGACATTATTCTGACTAATTTTTCAGTGCTGTCTTCACACTTGTTAACTTTATTCCTTGCTGATATCATGCCTGTTGATAAAATCGTACATGTCCAAGATAATTAGTTTATAGGGCAGTACACATCAAATCACTATTTTTTAGGATGGTTCGTCATCAATTGAACTTGTAACTTTAATCATATGGTCTTGAAGATTGAAATCACCCATCTTATTTAAATAGCAAAATCTTACAACAATATTGATAGAAAGAACATCTGTGTTTATGAATCATATTAATTCATATCAGTAAAAAAAAGCCAATCAATTCATATAAAACTTAGTGTACGAGTTAACACAGATGTTGTTCTTTATATTTACTTTTTATTTAAATAAAGATATTAATATAACATATTATTCAACAAAGTTATTTAATGTATAATAGTAGTATAAAAATATTAACTTGTGTACAACACATTAACTACAAGTGCACTTAACTTGTATTACCAAGTACCTACATGTACATGTAATGTTCAGCAATACTTTACATAGACATATTTGTTTTAAAAAGCAAGTATGCATATACCAAAAATCAGCAAGTACCTATACTTGTATGTAAAGTATTATCAAGTACCTCAAGCCATGCATGTACACATTAGCAAGTACCAACATATACATGTATGAACATGTATATCATAAAGTACCGACCTACATTTACTATACTCTTAGGAATGTAAAAATACTGCTTCTTGTACATATATTTACATGTCACTTACAAATCTCTTTCTCTTTTTCTCCATTGAGGTATTTAAGCAACTTTATGGGCTAAAACTGCTGGATATTTTAATTACAGCAACAAAACCATGCAGGGATCTATCAGCACCCATTTGAGATAACAACATCAGATCCATTTGAAAATCCTTTTTGTACCCAATTGAAAATCCACTTATACCCAATTAAAAATCCATTTGTACTCAATTGAAAACTAATAATTATTAAACATTTTGGCATCCACTTCATTGCCCAACAGGAAACTAGCTAGTTTTTTCTAAATTCATTGCCAAGAGTGAAAAGTGATTGCCATTGGCGCAATGAAAGCTGTGAATATTCCAAATCCTGACTTTTACCCAATTGAAAATCCATCTACACCCATTTGAAAACCAGTTATACCAAGCTGAAAATCATGTTTCAGCAGTATGTGGATGGGGTTGCTTTCTGCATCCACTGAATGTGTTTATTGATTGACTCAGTATGTACAATTACTATATTTGATTGCATTGTTAAATTAAGCTGTATAATACAAAAACGTATACATGTATTGTACAAAATATAAAACTACAAAATGTTGGAATGTGGACAAATATTGTGATACAGTTTGTTGGTTTTCTTAATTGTTTGAACACAACACAGTATTCAATAGAAAACTCTCATAGTTGTCACACATATTCTGAAATTTCTATACTGGGACATGTGCTATTAGATGCCTATTACCACACGGTACTGACTTTGATCGTTAATTTGAATTTTTGACCAACCAGATTTTTGAAAATCAAGGATTGCGAGTCTTCTACTGCACAGTTTTTCTTCAAACTTGTTCCATTCAAAGCATAACAAAAATGCCTTTCTGTTGGTACACTATTCTGTTATACTCAGCTGTGAGAAGGGCTTCTCACAGCTGAGGACCAAAACGCTGCTAAAACGATGGATTCTTTACAATAAAGCAATGCAGCGACAGAACAGCAACTTTGTTTTACTTTGCATGGAACAAGTTTGAAAAAACGGTGCAGTATGAGACTCTCAATCCTTGATTTTTAAACATCTGGTAGGTCAAAAATTCAGATTAACGACTGAAGTTATTACCGCATAATTCCATCTTTCATTTTTATGAAATGAATTGTCTAAACAAACTCTGTTTTATTGCATTTCCATATAATTTAGAATCATCAACTCTATTCACTTATATGTGGCTCTACTATTTAATTTGTGACATTCTGAATTTCAAAACTTGACCAGTACCTTTTTAAGAGGTTCCTTGCCCAATATTATACCATTGTACCAACTACATTATCAATTGGAACTGTTTTAGAAAGAACCTCATTCACTTCATTATCTTTATTAGAGTCTTGTACAGCTTTGCCATTTACTATCGTCCCGGCTGCAACATCATCTATTTCAAAATACACATTTTCCTCTTGAGCTAAAGGTGGTGTTTTTTGTGATGCCTCATCCTCAAGCATAGCAGCATTAAGATATCCTGCTACATCCTGTTTTGGCAGTTTATGTTTCTCTTTTGGTGGTAAAGATGGCGGCACCATAGGTAGAGGTTTTTTGTAATATCGCCCACTGATCATACTAATGTTTCCCATGCTACCCGCACTATCTGGACGCATTCCAGGGTTATCGAGGCCATCTATACTACATGCTCCTTCCTGTAAATTATCCTGCTGATCTTTAAGTTTACCTTTCTTTTTCGTGAATCGTTTGGAGTTGTATCCTTGTTGTGGCATCTGATCCCTCTCTGGGAATGTTGGGTATTCATAATCATTCATATTTGTGAGTTTTGGTTGCTTACGCTTATATATGAAACACCCAATGAGAACACCAATAAGGACAAGGAATATAACGCCACCTGATACCGAGGCTGCAATAATTGTTGCCCTATTACCGTCAATTTTACTCGCTCCTGATGCAGGTGCTGTTGTAACATTGGCACAGTTAGATTCATTAGCATCAATATAGTCGCCCTCCTTTAGAATGATGATGCATGTTAGGTACTGAGTCCCTGCAGACAAGCTCTCAACTTTGTACTCCCTTGTATCAAGATGAAGGGGGTCACTATCAATGAATGCATCATTATTCATTACAGATATCCGTACTCTCCAACCCGTGATACCTGTCGTTATTGATGGGGACCAACGTACCACAAAAGATCTTTCAGTGATTTCATCAAAGGAAATCCTAACTCGTATTTCTCCTGGGTATTTCGTTGGAAGGGAAGGTGTACTCGTTGGGATAACTGTGTAATTTTTACAGATGGGGAGTATAACATCAGATCCACATTGAAGCTGGGTGGGGTCTAATTGAGCAAAATACTGCCCTCGTAGATTTTCTGGAGCAGCGCATGTCCAAGGAAGAACACCGACTAGTGGGCCATAGTTTTCTTTTATAAAAGCATGTAACCATTTCAGACGACAGTCACAAAGTAACGGGTTGCCATTCATATTTATCTCTGCCAGTTTCTCAAATTGGTGAAAGACGCATTTAGTAACAGTCGCAATTTGGTTATTACATAAAAGTACGTGGATTAATGATTGTGATAAGCCAAAAAATGTTTCTTGATTAAGTTCAGAGATTTGATTATCACAGAGTTCTAAGCGTTCCAGTTGGTTTAAATTCTCGAACGTCCTGTCCGGAAGATATGCAATGTTGTTTTTACCAAGTTTCAATGATTTTAGTTGACTCAATTGTTGTATCGATCTTAAATGAGTTGTGTCCAAAAGTGCTTCATCCATTGATAACCTTTCGAGTGAATTTTCTAATCCATTAAATGTGTTTTCGTTTATGACATCTTTTAGTGATTGAGCCCCAAGTAACAACTCCTTAAGTTTCTTAAAGTCAATGAATGTGTCTGTTGCAATATGGTTAATTCTATTGTGCTGAAGAGACATACTCAAAAGTTCATTTTCAATTCCAACAAAAGAGACTTTTGATAGCGTACTAATGAGGTTCCCGTCCAGAATAAGGCTCTTAAGTTTTGATAAAGTTTCAAAGATATTATTATCAGGAATCACATGTAGTTGGTTGTATCCAATATTGATTGTTTCTAGGTTTGTTAAAGGTCTTATTGCTACCAATTCCCCTGGGGAATCTAACTGATTGTTGTTTATATCTAAGTTTGCTAGGGTATCTTCTACACCCTCAAATGATTCACTTTCAATTCTGTTTATAGAATTATGGGCGAGGTTAAGGCTTTTAAGAGCCTGAAGGTTGGTTAGGTCTCCACGGTAAAGTTCAGTTATTCTATTATGGCCCAAATCGAGGGTATGTAAGTTAGCCATTTGTCGCATCGGAGGCCCTGGGATATCTTGGATTAAATTATTAATAATATGGAGCTCCGATAAAGTGGATTGTAATCCCATAAATGCGTCTGTTGCAATAGTGTCTGTATTACAGCTGTCGATAGCGAGATATTGCAATGGGCCAGAGAATCCATTAAATGTCCTATCTTTCAATGTTTGGATATTAAATCCTCTGATTTCTAAATGTGTTAATTTTTGGAGATTTCTCAATTGTTGTGAAGGGAACTCTGGAATGTTATGTGAATGTAGCACCAAAGCTTCTAGTGAATCAGTCACTCCTATAAATGCACCATTTGATATATTCTTCACTGGGTTATTGCCAAAGTTAATTCTTTTAACATGGACATTATTAAAAGCACCGTCTCGTATGTTGACAATATTGTTATAAGCAAGAGTAATTTCGTAAAGTTGCTCTCCTTGTATTGTACTGAAATCGGGAACTTCTGTCAAACTCATGCGCTCACAGTTCACTGTTGTGCCCTTTCCTGATTCGTAGGAACATGTGCAGGGGCATGATGTCACAATGGGGGCCATTATAAACAGCCCAAGTGTCATATATAGTAAGGTGTCCATATTTGGCAGTGTATTTTGTAGTCGTCGTAGTGTCTTCATTTTACCTGGAAATATAAAAACAATGTGATTATAATCAATGAATACTAAAAACACAAGTTCGTTTGTTTAATGACCTTTTTAGAGATTCATTGCCCAAATACTTGTCATTTGTTTATTTATTTATTTATTTATTTATTTATTTATATGTTTGTTTATTGGCTGTGTGTTCGTCTATTTGTTGTTTGGTAATTGGTTAACGTTGATTATTAAGTTTGTATATTTGTCTGTACAGCTGTATTCATGATATTTGATTATTTCCTCATGTGTTTGCTTGTTTGGTATCTCTCACTTTGTTTGTTGTTGTTTGTTTGGTACTTTGTTTAATCTGTGTGTTTGTTAGGTTATCAAGGAAAGATGTTTGTCAGTTGCTTCTACTATGTTTCTGTTTTGCAATTTCAGTCCTCACAATATTCAAGTTACAATGTTCCTTAAGATTTCAGAGTATACCATATAATTGGGTATTGGATAGGTCCATCTTTCTACCCTCAATAATCAGTGAGCTTATATTTTTGATTACTTTACATGCTCTTTATCATCTTATTGACACTCCAAGTATGGATCTTTGTATTATCATACTATATTTAAGTAACTATAACTAAGTGGGGCTATCTCTCATACATACACACATATCAAAGTTAACTTAATCATATCTATACAGAAATTGCTCATATTTAATTAATAGATAGTGAAAATCTCATATGATGAGTAAGCTATATAACATGCTATTTTCGCAAGCATCTTATTTTCACCAATCGGTCAATTAGTGTGTTTAACATAAAGTATTTCCATAAATAAGAGATTTTATTTCTGAAATCATTGTGATTACCATGAATGAATTCTAAATATATAGATAGAAATCATTTAACCTATTGAAAATTGAAATTAATTTGGTTATATATTACAATGTTACATTTATATGTAAAACTCTTGCTTACTTTTTACTTTGAATATCCCATAATGCATTTGTATAGCTGCAGACGTATGACAAAATTAATATGTTTGTTCTATTTTCAAATACGAGGTGCCACTCAAGGTTAAATCTGTTAGAGTATAATAAAATGTGAACTTGTATTGAAGTATGAACTTAAGTTTATTGTATTGTTCAAGTAAATACATATTTTTCATCATCATAATATACACCAGATGTTTTAATCTCAATTTTAATTTTATTATTGTATAATTATATAAATAAAATATTTTTGTGCATACAAGTATATGCTTCACAAATATGGTTTTTGACATTTTTGATAAATGTACATTTATAATAAGTGGTGCACTATACCATGGACTTTCAAGAGAGGGGCATGCTATTCTGTGTCACTAACATGAACGCCTCAAAGAATTTGAATTTCAAGGAATTTGGGGTAATAAATGTGTACTCTTGAAAGTATTTCATATGATATATATTAATATATTCATGTTATTTCTTGCTGATTTCACTCATTCCTTTGTTTTTCTCATTTAAAACAATGATATTTGTCACCACCATGATAATGATATTTCACTCCTAGGCAAATCTCAAATATTTATTTACAAGGACAGACATTGAAATTGAATTATTTAAGACAATCAGTTCAATGACAATTTTGAAGTGGACCAGTGATAACAGTATCAAATGCACTGAATGGAGGTTCTTTCATCTTTTATGAAAATAGATTTGGAGAATGTGTAGGTTGAATTGAAGGAAGTTGCCAATTGTTGGTTGTTGAGTGTCACCATGATACAAGTTCTTTTTATTAAGGGGTGGAAAAAAGTTCACACGTATCACTGACTTTCTTATGTAACATTTCATTTCACCTTTTGGTGCTATATTTTTATCAGTTTACCCAGTGGACGGGTGAAAGGGTGGGTGGTTGGGTAGCCACCTGTGGGCAGGCAGCAGGCTCCTTTATTTAATCATTTAGATTTGATTGTTTCCATTCTAGAAACTTGCAATTGTAGTCTATTATCAGAAGAAATGAAGGGCTCATGAAGAAAGAAGGAATGGAGTGGAAGATGTCTGGAGCCCTGTTTTCAGAAGATGATTTAGTCTTGCATTAGAATTCTCTTCCCTTTCGTTATCGTGACGGGGGGGGGGATGGATACAGTCTTGAGCAAGACTATCTCCACCTAAGAGAGTATTCAATGAACAGGGTCAAATTGCAAGACCACCTTGTGTAATAGAAGTTCAAACTTCTTATTCTAGTTAAAACATGCATTTTTGGGAGAACCATAGAGACTTCATTTCCGATATAAGTTATAGCACATTCTCCTATGAAAGATTTCATCACATGTACATGCATATATTCCTGCATTAAAATGAATGTTTTGAAACAATAGAGTGGAGACAGGTGAATCAACGAGAAATAAATTCAACAGGAATGCAAAATAAACTCTTTCAATTCTATAGAAATACCTTCGAAAAAAGCAATATTCATTCAAAATTTTCAGAAAAAGTCTAAAAATCATTCCAAATGATTTGAGCATTAATCTCTTGGTGGAATTATACTATTATATACAGTGCACAGTGTGTTTGTAGAGTTAGTCCACATACATGCAACTACGTAATGTAAATAAAAGGATAAATTAACTGTATAAGCTGCTTATTAATGAGATAAGCCTATGTTTTATTTATATTTTGGATCAGTGTGTAACTCGTTAGGTTTACATTTACCTCTGACAAACGTTACAGGTATTTCTCCTACCATATTTCCATAAAGTATGAATTACATGGCGATTTTTTCTTCATGAAATTATTCAGTTTTCAATTTTTAGATGTTCTAGTGTTTTATAAATCTTTATATTTGTTCTAAATTCTAAATCTTTAGAATGTCAGAATAATGAATAGCCAAATATAAAACTATGTATTTGTCCTCAGTTTGTTGTTTACATTTTTCAGTTTTCTTTTATATTGTTTATTTTTGTAAATATTCTTAACATAAAAATGATCTTTACTTTTTCAAATACAAGTTTTGAAGAAGTATATATTTTTATGTACCTTACTATTAATTACCTCTGAATATATACTGTATGATTCAACACATTGATGTTACCCTAAAAGCACAACAAAAAATGCCAAATACATTGTAATGCCCTGGAGGAAATATTTTATTCTGACCATTTTGAAGTGAGATATAAACATTTATTCTAATAGGAAACAAATCAAACAAAACAATATACACATACATGTACATGTGTTTATAATATCAGTCAATGAAGTTTGTGATTAAAGTTAATTATATAACGAGATATAATTTCTCACCTGATAGCTATTACAGTTGTGTATTGATGTACTATACTACTACTGTGTGCTATATGTGATCTAGTTAATTTATGAATATTAAATATGAATCATGAATGTCTTAAGAGGAAATCAATAGTACATAAGTACATCATGTGTATAGTGTATACTCTGATATTGGTTATTTTTCCAAGATTTTGATAGAAAGGACAATGTAATCCGAAGAGGAAATTATGAAATATAAAATGTTTAAAAGAGACTCAGTGTCCCAGAGTCATGTTATCGCAGAAATAATTCAGTGTAAAAATACAAATCTTCAATTATTGACTACCCCATGGGCTTTCAACTAGACCCCTACCCCCACTTGTCAGGCAACAGATTATTCATATTGTCAAATAAAAAGTACCTGCCATATCAGGTGAAGCTATTTTACCTGTAGTTGTATCTATTATTGTCAAATACATAACATAAAAATATGCACCTTCCATGTTGAAATTCTTAACACAATCTAATATGAAAAGATCATTTATTTTTGATTTAATGAATACTATTTTTGAACTGGTTTATTGTACAGTGATCACCTGTGGTGTTGAGTTCATACATACATCTCAAACATTAAGAATTACTAGACCGTTTACCTGTATGTTAACCTCAATTATATGAACTATATATGCGTGACCTTATCTTCTGTCATAAAACTAGCATTGCTGTTTAGGTATAAACAAGTATATGTATAAAATATATCCCTGTTTCTCACCTGTTTACAGCTATAGAATCAAAGGCATTTGTGATGTCGTGTTTTTGAGTCCAAAGTCTTCATATCTGTTTCTAATATGAAGTAATATTGATAAAAATACATCTGTGTTATCTACATTTTTATATCTCCATTTTGTGGTAGTTTATTGTCATTGGATATAGGTTAGGTTTGGTCTCAACATCTGTATTTACTCCATATTTGGTGTGTTCACTTACTGTATAAAATCTGCTTGTATTGTTCGCTTATAAGGTGAATGTAGAATATAGAGCCGTTTATTTCTACAATATTTTGTTCAAAGGTTTGCAGTACTTCTTATTCATGTTATTTTCAATACAGGTCACAATATATCAATATACTTATTACCTGAGTTGGCTCTGTCAATCAATACAATATATGAATATTCATGAGTTGATCTGTAATATGATTGGTTGGAGTTAGTAAGGAGGAAGTCTTTGTGCCTTATATGGGAAATGACTATGATTCATTGAGGTTGGTTATAGCTACCTGTATTCTTCATAGAAATTGGAAATGCAGATCAATTACTCATGAAATTGGTTTAGATATCGGGTTTAATTAAACAATGCTAATGTATTTTCTGAGTAATTATTCCTTGAGTACTGTTTTATGTGTCATTTTGCATTTTACTATGGGAAATTCTAATTGACACATTTGACCCGAAATACCCTTTCCAGTGTTTGATTTTGTTTTTCTTAAAAGAGAGCTTCATCTGATATACTTGGTTGAGAAACTCATTTACTGTTCTTTAAATTAAACAGTATTTGCAGGCTTAAAAAACTGCCATACCCAGCCTATCATCAGGTTTTTGAGGCGTAGACCAAAAGTTAACCTTAAATGCGCCTTACTTTCAGGTCTAGACTAAAAGTATGCCTCTTTTACAGGTATTTTTAAGGCTTAGACCAAAACCTAGCCTCATTTACTCACAATAATTCCAGTTATAGACCTTATTTTCAGGCGTATAGACCAAAACTGCACCTTAAAAACCAAATCTAAACCACATTTACTTAGAAGATTTTAGAATAGACCTCACTGTAAGGCGTATAGACCAAAAGTGCGCCTGAAAAACTTGAACAATTTTCAAAATGACCAAATCTAGACCTGATAAACTAAGAACATTTTAGAATAGACCTCACTGACAGGCGTATAGACCAAAACTGCGCCTTAAAAACTTAAACATTTATAAAATGACCAAATCTAGACCTGATAAACATAGAATTTTTTAAAAAACTTAGAAAACATAAATCTGAAAAAGCCACACTTACTGTAGTATTTTGTCAGAATCACGAAGGAGACAGATTATAATATATTAGGTTAACAGACCAGTAAACTGTATTTTCAACTCCCTATTAATGGTTTTTATCAGAACTTAAAAAAATAATCAAAATCTGGGAAACCTAAAGAAGGATGTCTGAAAATAATAAAATATTGAAATATTGTTAAATTTAAATGATGAAACAAAAATACATCATATTAGAAGCCTACATATAATTTATATAAGAATACTGTGTAATTTTTGCTTCATCTTTCTAATGTGTTCATAGATCTGTATCTTATCCATGAGACAAGTTAATCCTAGAAAACAACACAGCAATTCAAACTAAATGCAATTTATTTAACAACTATGGAGGGTACTGATATGTACTAAGTACTTTTCTACTTTGAAACATCAAAACATGACCTGACCTTACTACAGGTATATGAGGCTTGTACCTGAAATATACACCAAAATATACACCAAAAGCAGAAGAGAAGTAGACCTGAAAACCAATAGTGAACCTCAAATAAGGCGTAGACCAAAAGTATACCTCAAATATAGACCTGATTTACAGATAGTTGAGGCTTAAATGAGGTCTAGACCTCAAATATAGACCTGATTAACCTGATGAGGTCATTAAATGAGGTCTACTTCTGGTCTACTTTTGGCTTAATTTAAATATTTGAAACGCGCCTGACTATGGGGATTTAACACAGAGAAAAACCAAAAGTAGACCAGAAGTACGCCTCATGAGTAGACCAAAAGTAGACCTCAAATATTGACCAATATTGCGCCTGACGATAGGCTGGGTACCTACAAACCCAAAAAGCCCATAAAACCAAACACATATCAGGTTCGATGGGTTCGATGGGTCCCCCCCCCTTGCCAAAAAATCTTTCAAAATCATGCAGTTTTTTGGCTCACACAGTGAGCCTATGGGATTGACCAGGCGTCCGTCCGTCCGTCCGTCCGTCCGTCCGTCAACATTGGCCGCACAAATTAAAACTGCTATTCGGATTGAGTCATATCCACATTCATTTTATGCATATCCATAATGCCTATTTGACCTATCATCGCCATTTCCCAAGTTCGCCCGGTTTCCGAGAAATTGCGGATTTTGACGTCAAAAAGTCAACTTTTCTGTAAATACTAGACACTTTGGTGAAGTAGAACTTTCAAATAACTTTTAGTAGTTGGTGTATATGCAACTTATGTCCTCTGAAGATTTCAAAGCTCTTGGAATTACGGTTTTTGGTGTTTACTCTATAAAATTTGAAAAAAAGTAGGACTTAGTCATTTTCAGGAAACTTTCTCATGTATAAAGTCAATGGCAGGTTTTGTGATTGACAAGATTCTTAAAGTTTGCCTTATACTTGATCATTTCCTGCAATAAATTACATCATTAATAGATTTAAGCATTCCCTACATATTTCTCAATATATGTCAGCATCAAATTTTTACCGTTTTTGAAATATTTGACGTCAAAAAACAGTAAAAATAAGTTATTTTTCAACTTGCTTCAATTTGACCAAATTTTTTTTTTGAAAATCATCTACAAGTTGCCAGGAGTTCAAATCTGACATTAGTTTTAGGATTTGACCTTTACTTGACCTTCAGTGACCTTCGAAAGGTCAAAAAAGTTGTTTTTCAAATTGATTTTTGGATGTAAATTTTGGTCAGCTTAATCACAAAAGACCTTACTGAGCTCTGAATAAGTAAAATTTTCAAGGTCAAAGGTCATCAAACTAGGTCACATAACTATGCTATCTAAGTTTCTCAAAGTTCGAGACTACAAATCCAAATCAATATTTTTGTTTGAAAGTCAGGATATAAATTCCTCTGAAGGTTCCAAACTGTGTGAGCATAGGACCGTGGGTCCTTCAACACCATTCTGAGCACTTTTTATGTGATTTTGGCCATTTCTGGACCAAAATTGTCACAAGTGAACCCCCCTGGAATTTTGCAAAAAGTGAAAAATCCTGGGAATGGGCCTGCATATGATGTGTAGAGAGACTCAAAGGGCAGGTTCATATATCAGTGAAATTTTATGGAAACTTAATTTGTTAAAATGCCTGGCTTTGTAAAAGAAATTTTTTTTGTGAACACTGAGTTAATAAAAGTTTAAGATTCCCTCCGTTGAACACTTAACAAGTGGCTTTTGTTGTCCCAATGCAAAATGGCGCAAATTCCTCGAAGAGCAGAAAATAATCACATGATCAAATATGCCGTCGCCATCGTTATAATGAATTATTTGTTAAAATGAGGAGTACGCATCTCAGAACATCTCGACTGCTTTGTTGAAATGGTTTCATAGAATAGTAGACATCTATATTTTGTTTTATTTTAAGATAGTTTCCCAAGTCCTCATTTATATTGTCTCTAATTTACAATACATGTCCATGTATTTTCAGCTACTGGTGTTTCTATTAGATGTTGGAGATGTTAAAACTTCTATGTATGGAAGTCTACATAGTTCAGCTTCCCCATGTGTCAAACTAAGAATGCAGTCAATTGAAAGCTCAAACCAGGTAGGGTTTGTTTATTTCAGGCTACAGGTGATTGAAAGAATGCTCTTATAAAGATGGCAGTGCAGTCTACCTATTTATAATGTATATTCTCCTTATGCCTGGGTCACATTTGCTCTAACCTACGCCTGCCCAATTGAGTATTTTGTTCAAAACTGAATACAAACCTGAACAAAATACTCAACCAGCCAGGCGCCGGCTGATTTCAAAGCAAATGTGGCTTGGGCATTCAAGAGACTAACTACACTACTGCCATCTTTATATCGGCCTAGAACCTATGGTTTATTCCTCGACTAAGTTGAGTTAAATATCTCGTTCTAAATGATTTTGAAAACACCTTTTTTGTGTGCCATAGGATTTTTCAAATCAAAGCTTGTTTCAACATCAAAGTATGATTCTTTATTTAACCAAGAGGAAACAATATCTCAATTCAATCAAAAAGTGCTTCAATGTAATTTCAGAACTCTAGAAGAAACAAGGGACCCCCGAAAACCAGCATAAACCTAGAACTTGGACGTATCAAATCTGAGCTTGATGTCACCATTGTAGATAGAATACACGCCCTGCTGAACCCTTCACCCTTGAGCCAGCATACCTCAGGGAGGGGATATATGTCAAATGCAGGACTGAATATGGTAATTATCCCATGGTTATTGTAGTATAGTACATGTATTAGTAATATAATACACACGCTGCTGAATCCATCACCCTTGAGCCAACATACCTCAGGGAGGGGACACGTGTCAGATACATTAATACAGACCTGAATATGGTAGTTATCCTAGTATAGTATGGTAATTTATTATAAATATTTTGTATCCTTTGCACTTTCAAAGTCTTGGTGGAATAATAGAATGTCATGATTTTTGAAAAGTACAGGATATTCTCAAACTTGTTTATTTCTTTTTGAATAAATACAAAAAGTGAAAATAAAGCTATATCGTAGTCTTTTCTTACATGTATTCCATTTCTTTTTTTTCAGCAATCCTGTTTTAGCCAGGCATTGGACGAGAATCCATCTGGCTCAGATAGAATCACAGATCTTCACATCACATCTCCAATGGCAACAATCAATGTCAGGTATGTCGCTTGGAGAGATGGGGGGTCACTAAAAAAACATTTGGTAACCTATAGAGCTATCAGAAAAGGCTTGATTTTGAATATAATACTTTATTCTGATATATTCACCAATAACCTTTATAGCGGAATCAATTGGTGAATGATCTTGCGTTTTCATACTAAAGTTTGTTTTTGAGTTTTTTCTTATAGTTTTATGTATTTAAAGTTATTTAAGAGACCGGGCCCTTTTTCTAAAGCCCTTTTTAGAAAAATAATTGAGATTACAGAGGATACCTGTTATTTCTGCTTTTTAACACAATTTTAATAGAAAATTCCAATTCCTAACTCCTTATCTCACTATAATTCACCATTGGGGAATGGGAATTGAGCAACCAAACTTGGCACAAAGTTAGATCCTAAGATAAACTCTAATCTTAGGGCTTTGATTTTTTGTGATATCTTATATTTTCTTATATTTGCCTAGCAACCACATAGCAACTGCCTAAAATAACATATTTTACAATATAAATCCACTTAATATATGCTAGGATGCTATAAGACCATTACAAAAAAGTATTCTTATCTTAAAATACAACAATTTCAACATATTTACTGAAGTGACATCAAAATGCCCATTTTGACATTTGCAGACCATATATCTATTATATGTTCACTGCTTTTGGATCTCTTCCACATTATTTCTTAACATATAGCAAATGTATTGATGCAGTTATGTCTGACCCTTTTCCCTAGCAACGGCTTGAACTAAAGGCTAAATTTGCCTAGCAACGACCCAGCAACATCTTAAAATAGCAATGTTTCTTATAAGAATTTCACTATATATCCACTGTATGACTTAAAGAAAAATCAATATATATGTCTTTAGTAATTTATAAAGCTTTATAGTTGCTCATTTAAAAATCTTTAGTCTCTTGTGTAAAGCATGATGGGACATTCCTTGTCTTACGTTTATCAAATTGCAATTCATGTTTCAGTTCTGATTCATCACATTGATACTTCATGATACATTTTCAGCATTGATACCCCTAAGATAATACTCTATTTTGGTGAATTGCTTCAATTTCCTTTACAGGTGCATAGTTCGATGCAGTAGAATGCACCATGGCATTAGCAGTTCCCTTTGCAGTCACATTTGGTGCAGTCACATTTAATTATGACTTTACGTGCTATGGATGCTTGGGCAATATTCTCCATCTGGGCACCCACAATACTTATGGGCTCCTAAACCATCCCCATAGGCTTGGTAAAGGAAAAACTGGATCCACTATATACCACTGCCCCCATGTGCTTCTTGTCAAAAGGGCACCTGTAAGATCATAACATAAGTTCCATTGCTTGAAAACTGTAAGCTTGCTATGATGGTAAAATCCAGATGTGGTATCAGTTCCAGTAAGGATGTGGAACATTGGCAGCACACATGATCTTTGTGGTCCTAGTGCTCAAGCAAATTCATAAATTGGAATGTAGTGTTAGTTTTGAAAATGCTACATAGATCTCAATCTGTAGCTTAGAGGCACAGGCTATTAGGCTATCACAACATTACTGTCCACCGATCTTATCATAAATGTCCTGCAACCTTTTCCGACACCATAAGACACATCCAAAAACATATGTGTATCTGCCTCTTCCTGGGAGCAGGGACTATTATGGCATAGCAGGATTACGGATGCACTCTCCTTCAATGTTTGAGACAAAGACTCTATCGTCTGCCATAATATGTCTTGTAACAGTTGCTAGTAGTGCGAAGAACTCTATCTTGTTGTCATTGTTTCTGAGAAATCCTATCCTAACACCAAACTACCAAGCAATATTGGCAAGACTTTCTTGAAAGATAGAGCTCTTTGCACAATTCCTACATCCTTCACATCTCAAGTCGTGGTAAAACTTGAAACTTTGAAATTAATGACTTGTATGTTTCAGCAAATCCCAGACAGGATTTTAAGCTTTTTACAAGTATAACCTTGACCTAACGATTTAATCAGTAGTGTCTTGATTTAAAATCTATATACTAGTATTTTGAACACACCCTGTCGGGATACATAAACTCCATAATTGTGTTCAGTAGAATATTACTATCCAAATGTGGAAAATTAACAATGTCATGAGGCAGATACATATTTGTTTTTGCATGTGTCTCATGGTGTCGGAAAAGGTTGCAGGACATTTATGATAAGATCAGTGGACAGTAATGTTATTGTGATAGCCTTAGCCTGTGCCTCTGAGCTACAGATTGAGATCTATGTAGCATTTTCAAAATGCAAAACGTATCGCTACATTCCAGTTCATGAGATTGCTAGAGCACTAGAACCACAAAGATCATGCGCCTTGCTAATGTTCCACGCCCATACTGGAACTGATACCATGTCTGGATTTTACCATCAGAGCAAGGTGACAGTTTTCAAGCAATGGAACTTATGTAATGATCTAACAAGTGTCCTTTTGACTCTAGTAGATCGCCCATCAACCGTAACAACAACAGAAGTTATGGGCACAATTGAGAGGTTCATTATCCTGGTTTACCAGCCTACAAACAGCGAGACAAATCTCAAAACCATGCGCAGGCACATGTTCACTCATGACAGATGGATCCCGGTAGAGTACCTCCAAAAAGCGATGCAGAACTCTATCATGTCATGCTCCAAGGAGCACATGTATGGGGGCAATGGCACATAGTGGATCCAGTTCTTCCTTCAACAAACCTATGGGGATGGTTTGGGAGCGCATCAGGATTGTGGGTACCCAGATGGACAATACTGTCGCAAGCGTCAGAGGCATGTAAAGTCATAATTAAATGTGGATGCACCAAATGTGACTGGAAAGGGAACTGCAAATGCCACGGTGCATTCTACTGTACCGAAACTATGCAATTGCAAAGGAGATTGTAGCAATTAACCCAAATATAGTATTATCTTAGAGGTATTAATGCTGAAAATGTAACAAGGATAAATATGATGAATATTTTGTGTTTACTTTATCTCAGAACTGAAACATGAATTGCAGGACTTTTGCAATTTGATAAACATAAGACAAGAAATGTCCCATCATGCTTTACACAAGAGACTACAGTTTTTTGAGTGTGCAGCAACAAAGCTTTATCAATTAAAAGACATACAGGGTGATCCAGAAGTAACGTCAAAGACATTGTAATTTCAAAAGTATTCATCAGATCTTCATGAAATTTGGTATACATGTACCCACAACATTTCTGAGTTACCATCTCAAAGATTGGAATTCAATCATTTCATTGGTTGAAATTATGGTTGCTATAGTAACCCGATATCGCGTAACCCGGGGCAAATTGAAGAGAAACCATAACGTTTTTGTGAATTTCTCTAATTTAAAAAGTCAGTAACATTTGAAAATGTTCATTGTTTGTTTTCTATGATTTTTATATTTGTTGCCATGGTAACAAATATGTAATAGTTGTGATGTCACAATAGGCATTCATAAAAAGCTTTCAATTTCTTTGAATTGCTTCCATCATCCATGACAAATACTAACATGACCAAGGACACTAACCCACCCAATTCAAGATGGCGCCAAGTCAGAGTAAAATAGAGCAAAGAACAAACATTAAGTTCTGTGTAAAGTTGGGGAAAGGTGTAAAAGAGACTATAAGACAGATAAAGAAGGCATATGGTAAAGCTGCCATTGCTGAGAGAAACATTTACAGGTGGTTTAACAAGTATTCCAGTGGATATGATGAAGTGGTAGACAAGCAGCGAGGAGGCAGGCCAGTGTCGTCATTCGATGATCAAACCATCAAAGCAATTGAAGCTGATGTTATGGACAATAGGCAAATTTCTATCAGAGAATTGGCTGAAAAACACGATCTGAGCTATGGGACTGTGCAACGGATACTGACAAAGAACTGTCTGTTAAAGAAGGTGTCTGCTAAATGGGTGCCGCATGACTTGACACAGGAGCAGAAAGACCGGCGTGTTAAGGCTTCAAGGGACTTTCTTGCAAAATATCGGAGAGATGGAGATGACTTTCTTAACAAGATCATTACGAGTGACGAATCATTGCTATCATTCTACATCCCAGAGACCACGCAACAAAGTTCATCGTGGAAACATGACAACTCCCCAACACCAACCAAGCCTAAAATAGTACCAGGAATTCCACAAAAGAAACAAATGGTTGTGACATTCTTTGACATTAGAGGAATGGTGTTAACCCATTTTGTTCCCATTGGCCAGAGAATTAATGCCGTTTACATTGCAAAGGTAAGATATCATTTGTTCTAATAATACATCATACTGTGAATTTTATTTTTAAATTAAAGTATTTAAATGTTGTTCACTGTCAATATAATTATAACTCCATGGCCATGATTCAAATCCAAATCCAATCAATGAAACAACTGGTTTAACAACCATTAAACATTTGTTTTTCAGGTTCTGAAGCGTGATCTTCAACGTTCCCTGAGGAAAAAGCGTCCCGGACATCTGCAGCAGTTTATCTGATCTTGCATTGGGACAATGCCCCTACGCACACTGCAATCCTGACCAGCAACACAGTCCAAACACTTGGATTTCAACAACTTGAACATGCCCCTTATTCACCTGATCTTGCCCCCAGTGACTTTTATTTGTATGGGGAACTAAAAAGAAACCTTAGTGGAAATAATTTTCAATCCTGTGAGGAATTGAAAAATGCCGTAGTACTAGCCCTACAAGGAATGAGTTCTAATGGATTTAATTCTGTGTTCAAGGAATGGGTATCCAGACATGAGAAATGTGTTGCAAATGGTGGCAATTATGTAGAATGAACTATTATTAGTAACTGTGCAATTGTATGATTTATATTGTTGTGAAATAAAATGTTGAGGATATAACAATTTCAGATCTTGTTGATATTTTGAGATTACGCATTACACGTTAAGTAATTTGCCCCGGGTTACGCGATATCGGGTTACTATAGCAACCATAATTTCAACCAATGAAATGATTGAATTCCAATCTTTGAGATGGTAACTCAGAAATGTTGTGGGTACATGTATACCAAATTTCATGAAGATCTGATGAATACTTTTGAAATTACAACATCTTTGACGTTACTTCTGGATCACCCTGTACATATTACATAATAGTGGAAATATAGTGAGATTTTTATTTTAAGCTGTTGCTAGGTCATTGCTAGGCAAATTTAAGCATTATTTTAAGCCGTTGCTAGGAAGTTGTTAGGGAAAATGGTCAGGCATAACTGCATCATTTATGCTTAAATACAATTTCTGTATGTTAAGAAATAATGTGGAAGGGATTCAAAAGCATACAAGTGAGCATATAATAGGAACATGGTGATAATAGAACATGGTGATGTCACTTCTGTAAATATGTTTGAATTATTGTATTTTAGGATAAGAAGACTCTTTGTAATACTCTTATAGCATCCTAGCATATATTAAGTGGATCTATATTGTAAAATGTGTTATTTTAGATGGTTGCTATGTGGTTGCTAGGCAAATGTATGATTTCACAAAAGATCAAACCCCTCAGATTAGAGCTTATCTTAGGGTCCAACTTTGTGCCAAGTTTGGTTGCTCAACTTCCATTCTCCATTGGGGAATTATTATAGTGAGATAAAGAGTTTGAAATTTGAATTTTCTGTTCACAATGTGTTAAAAAGCAGTAATAATGGGTATCCTCTGTAATCTCAATTATTTTTCTAAAAAGGGCTTTAGAAAAAGGGCCCTGTCTCTAAAATGTCTTGAAATACATAAAACAATAAGAAAAAATTCCAAAACGAACTTTAGTATGAAAACGCAAGGTCCCTATGGGGGCCTTGCACCAATTGATTCCACTATTACTAGAAGTCAGTTCACAAAAATAGATCTGGCCCATTTTTATGTTACCACAAGAAGTGGTTACATTTTGTTAGTCTCAAACTTTTTTTGTGAACAGCGGTTTACAGGCGTCTTTAATAAATAGCAGGTGGTGACATCTTGCATGTTAATGCCTTGTCTAATCTTTGGAAAAACATTGACATTCTCTTATTTTCGCTATATATAGTGCTTTTTTACAGGTTTCCGATCCCAGATCTTAGAACGGGACAAGGTATCGACAAGATGCCGTGGTGGAGGAGATCGTTACGTAAAGAGGTTCTCATCCTTGAACTCTCTGACCTTGACTTTCAGACGAGCTACCAAACATCAGAAACGACCCAGAAATATGAGTTTATTTGTAAAGATGCACATGGTAAAAGAACCAATCTTTAAACAATGGGGTGTTTAAAATATTACTTAAACTTTCTAAGATTTTTATTTTCAAACAATTCAGATTGATTTCCTGAGATTTGAAGAAAAAGATGCTGGATAAAATGGTATTTTTTTTATTAAAGGTCCATCAGTTCTGAGTGTATTATTTATTATTATTATTTTATTTCCATATGTTGTATTGTTAGTATTGTTACTAAGAGTAAAAAGGAGGGTAAATTCCAAGGAATACTGTAAGTAAACTGGCACATAGTTAATGGCAGTGGTCATGTTTTAAAATGTAACATAGAGTAGAATTGGCAAGGAATAAAGTATTAAATAATAGACATCTAGTTTTTACATGCTAAATTGTAGGGGTGAGACGAGTCGAAAAAATCCGATTCGAGTCAAATCCGATTCGAGTCAGAAAATGACGATTCGAGTTTCGAATCCGTTTCGAGTCGCGAAAGTGCGAACAACATCGCTTTTGACCGTTCGTATTTTTAATGCGTCAATGGTGGAAAGCCGGAAATATAAACAAACACAATTCGTCGTAAGTTTATTCTGATTTTATTACATATATTCTTTCATTTATGTGTACATACAATATAATAATTTAATATAAGCATATCCAAGTCATTGAAACTTATATATTCAACGCAATATCGAGTAAAAACATGCATATTGACAGTATTTTTCTGATTTTTTTTATTTTTTCGAATTTTTTTCTCAACTCGAAAATGATTCGATTCATCAACTTCGACTCGATTCGACTCGAAGCCCCAAACCCGCGAGTCCTCGACTCATCGGGTTGTCGTCTCACCCCTACTAAATTGTATTGTAATGCCAGCACTTGTGGTGTCATATTGTTATAGTCTCAAACCTTTTTGTGGATGATGTTTTGTGTTTGGCATTCGCCCGGTGGCTGTTGGCTTTCAGCAATTGACATTTGGTATCTGTAACAAATGGCAGGTGATGACATTTTACATGTTAATGCCTTGTTCTATTTACATTCTAGGCTTATTTCAAGAAGCACCTAGTCAACCACCAATTTCCTTCGCCAGGATAAGTCCCGCCAAAACTGACGATTTTACAATACCAGACAAAGGATTTGATTGGCCACGAATTGTGATAAAAATGTTTCCAAAAAATAATTCAGTGTTAGAAGATGACACTCCTCAAATTGATGACACTGGACAATATTTTGATTCGCTAAATGGAGCATGTCAATTCACGAAGAAAGATCCGTCGCCATTTTCAGCAAAGAAGGTGATCCACGAGGGAGATGAGGTGAGTGCGTCCTGAAAGAAAATGAGACCCTTAAGACAAAATAATGAATCATGTGTTAACACTTTGAAATGGCAAATTATGTAAAGGAGTGGAATTACATCAAGAATGTAATCAAAAATGTGCATATAATGTAAATGACATGAGATTGTATAGACATTCCAGATATGAACAGGGAGTTCTTAATTCATGATCATAATGATGAACATGGCCATATAAACATTGACTTTAAAAGAAAAATTATTATGATTTATTCAATATGTATTGCATAATGATTTTTACAATGTTTACAATTATATTATAGATGCTTTCACTGGTGACATGGATATTTCACTCTGGATAAAACTAATATACAAATTCACATGTTTTCTCAATTTCTTGATACTTCCCACATGATAAAACCTACATGTATATCCAAAATCTCCCAGTACATAACCTTCATATTTTACAGATGGTAATACCAGGGGATAAGAAAGAAATACAAGAATTTGTGGAAAAGTCGATTTCCAACACTCTAATGACTATTGACATTACTCTTCCAAACGTCAATGCAGTATTTCCAACCAAGGCTTTCTATGAACTTCTATACAACAGGTGAGCTAGTTTAAAAGGTCAATTTTGACACATTTTGCATGGTTTTTCATATCCATCTCGATACAGCAAAATCATATTTTTTCTACAAACTCTTTTTTCATACAATTAAAAAAATCGAATTTTAGTATTGTATTATTTCTGTAGAACAATGTTTGTATAAGTCGATATTTTTATGTTTAAGATAGCGTAGGGTGTTTTGTTATGAATATCGAAGTAATCATTGCATAATAAGGTCATCCCAAAGATATAATATCTTCCCTCAGGATAAACCCAATATTCAATCTCTCCCTAGGTACAACTTACTGGACTAATACCAGAAATATTGTTTTGTCATTTTCATTAAGTTTTATTATGTCATTACAACAAGTGGTGACATATTGTTGTGTCTCCTACTTTTTTATGGATGGTGTTTGGTGGTTGGTGTTCAGCAGTCAGCATTTGGCATCTTTAACAAATGGCAGGTGGTGACATTTTGAATGTAAATGCCTTGTTATCATTAAAATTTGTATATATTTCCAGGATCAACAATGATTTGTTGATGTGGGAGGCCCTCGCTCCTTCCCCCTTGACGAGTCAGGGCTCCAACATGCACATGCAGCCACCCTGGGGCCTAGACCTGGCTACACAGCTAATGAGTCAAGATGCTCATAGAGACAGGTTCATTATGTGTCGATCAGCTTTACAGTATGGTGAGTTGTTTTTCACTCAGTTACTCTTAATGTATATTTTGTTTAGGTAAAATAAGACATCATAATGGTTATTTCTTTGATGGGAAATTTACGAAGAATGTTTTCAGATTTAAACATTTGTGACATTTCTATTGAATTCCAGAATCAAGCTCTGACTCTGAAAGTAGTGACGAACACGGTTATACAATTATGGACCAAAAACAGAAACAGCAAAGAAAGCGACGAGCTGAAAGACGTCAACAACAAAGTAAACTTTGTGTCAGTGTTGCGATTGCAAAAGGAAAACTCACATGCTGCTCTCCATTGAAGGTAGGGAATATGAAGTTGTAATAATAAAATACATTTTGAAATGTAAATTGGAGTGGAAAAGAAGAAAGGAATTAAGTGAACAAACATACTAATGTAGTGGTCTAAATGTTATATAGAAATGCAAGAAATTGAACACAGAATTATTTAATTTGAATGAAAATATGAAATAGAAATCACCATCATGAAATAAAAATCTCTTCCATGTACATCTTCCCCAAATCATAATACCGTTATCGCCGTCTTAAGGGCCCACCCCTAATAAGCGCCCACCCCACTTCACAGAGTTCAAGAAATAATGAGGAATGACCAAATATTAACGAATATATCAGAAAAAAATCAAAAATATAGTGGGCGATAAAAGAGAACTTACACTAAAATGCAGAAAACATGTCACATTTTGTAAATCGATGCATCCTTTCGATGAGTATCTATCAGTTGGTGCTTCCTGCATCATACAAAGCTAATATTACCTTAAAATAGTCCATAATGAATGAAGGAAATGATCACGTTTCAGCGTTTTGTTTCGATATTTTACTAACTTTGCGATCGTCAAGGTCATGTCAAGGTCATGAACTTTCTTGTTTCTTTTTAAGATTTTTCGACTTTTACATGACTTTTATACGAAAAAGGATGATCTGTTATCAAGTTATAAAAAAACAAGGTATAACTGTAGATCGATATCCAACTGTCTATAGTGGAAATATTGAAGATAAACAATTCCTTCACCTCGAGGGGCTCTGCTGGGGAGTTCTTCAATCACTGTCAATATAGTTAGATTCTTGCTTTATTTTAGCGATCTTTACCGTATTCTCTCCATTAACGATACATATCATTATTGTAAAAATATGCTGTTAATATCATTGCAAATAAGGCATTTTTGGCAGGAAAAATCCCCATACATGAAATTCATGGGGATTTTTGACTTCTCTCATATATGGGTGCTCTTTGTAATGGGTTACAATGGGAATTTCAATTTCAAAAGCACCCTAGGTGCTTATTACGGCGAATATGGTATATTTTTTTAAATTGGCGATGTTTCTAAATAGTGGTTTGATGTTTTTCTTTTTCTTAATGTTTAGGATTCAGAGGGAAAAGTGCTTGATGATTGCCACGGGGAGTTCCTGCTTGATATTATAGATGGCAGTCTGTTTGCAGTGACGGCTTATAACGGGAATCCTGAACTGAGATATGTTTGCATCCAGTCCAATAAAGCCTCCTTGTATCACAATGGTATGATATGGTTAATTAAAGAATTTATGGGTTTTTAGACTTTAAGTTATTTTAAAGATTCACTTTTAGTGTCTGAATAAGGATAAAGCTTAGTGATCATGGGATTTTAGAGAAAAAGGCAAGAAAATGGTTGACAAATTTTAAACATGGTCTACTTTTCAGAGTTATGATCTATTAAAAAATATTAAAATTCAGTTACTTTAACAATTTACTTTCATGCAGGCTGTGTTATGGGGATGCAAGACTTTGGTGTCATAGACAGAGCTTTCAATGGGTTCCCCTCCCATCTAGATCCAACTATCTACCTCTCTGACCCAGGTGTCGCAACGAAACTCTCTGGCACTGTGGGTACGCAAGGAGAAAGCATGGATATGCTGACAGTGGCTTTGAAAATCAACCTGGATACATTCAGGAATATCAAGGTCTGTCCTTAAGTTATATGAAGTGCATATAAATATACCCTACATCGATTTAAAATAATTATATCATATTCAGACCCCTTAAAAGATAGAGTAATGATAGGCCAAATAAAAAGATAGTGGATAAATGTAAAAGAGCATTCCCATGTAAATAAATTTCTGTAAACTATATAAACCAAGCAGATCCCTTTAACTTAAAGGAGCGTTCCAATGTTAAACTTCCATTTATTTAGGAGTTTCTGTAAACTAATTTGATATCAAGCAAGTTAAAGGAGTATCCCATGTTAATATCACATTTCTTCAGAAGTTTCTGTAAACTGTATGAATCAGACAAGTCCTTAAAGCTTAAAAAAGTATTCCCTGTTAATTAAAATTCTTCAGAGTTTCTGTTAACTGTATAAATATAAACCAAGCAAGTCCCTTTAGTTTAAAAGAGCATCCTCATGTTGAAATTCCATTTATTTAGGAATTTCTTGTTGCTGTTGGAGTGAAGAGTGGTACCCTTAAGCACAAGATGTATCCCACTGGACAAAGTTGGTTCACACAATGTTTAGACTTCCTAGACGTGATAGACCAGCCGATCCTAGGCTACACGCAACCGGAAGTTGTAACAGAGCTACATTGTCATCTATGGAGCTGTGCAGTAGACTACAGGTAAATACAAAGTTGTAACAGAGCTTCATTGTCATCTATGGAGCTGTGCAGTAGACTACAGGTAAAGACAAAAGCAGAAGGTTAATGTGGTCATGGCTTTTTCATATTTTCCTCTCTTAACATTGAATGGAGTGCCAGATTTTCTGATATTTTGATACAATTCAGGCCCAAAGCCAGCTTTTGCCAAGGGGGTTCACTTTTCAGAAAAATTCCAGGGGGGTTAACTTTTACAAGTCTGGCCCAAAATCACATGAAAAATGCTCAGAATCATGAAAAATCTCATGATTTTGAAAGAATTTGGGTAGGTGTACGCCCAAACACTTTGAACCCCCAGCAGATGGTTTGAGTGTTTACTAATGCCTGTTTACTTTATACACTGCTAAATCTTTTACAACCTCTGAAAAGCTACTAATTTAAGGTCATGTGTTTAAAATTGAAACCATCACACTCCTTTTCATTATAGATTATATTAAAGAATATATAACTTGGTGTTTTTCAGGCCTTTGTTTTTACCACACAGAGCAATGATAGTTGTCGAACACTTCAGCGTATCCAGTAACATTTGTGCCAACTCACCCACATCTTTGCTCAGGTACTGCAGGTTTTACGGATTTTAGAAATATCATTCAAAGGTCCCTATTGAAGTGTTTTGATTTCTCTTTAGATTATATTTTTAATATAACTCAAAAAAAATTTAGATTAATAGATTGTTGAGATTACATTAACTGTATTGTATTTTGCTTAAAATTGTTAGATATTTTCTCAACATCGTTTTGCTACAAAATAGTATTTCAAACCTCTGCCCCTCTACACAGTATTTGAAAAATATTTAATTAATGTTAGGGACATTTTAAAGACTTGATATAAAAGTTAATGCAAATACATGTTTGTTTTAGGTTCATCATTGATGATGGTGCCATCTTTATGTCAAATAAGTGCAATTCAACTGCAGTCAATCTTAAAAATAGTGAGTTTGGTTTCCCTTACAAATACAGGGTGTTTCAGAAAAAATGCAACCCACATACCCAATGCAGGGACAGGCCCTTTAAAGGGCCAACAGGTGGATCATAACACATCTTGCAGTGATTAAACTTTGTCAATTTATAGAACATTGAGCTGACGATGCCAAACAAGATTGGTTGTACTCTACACCCCCAAAATGCAATCTGATTTTCGATGCCGTTTCGGTGCCAAATTTCGGTGCCGTTTCGGCACCAAATGGACTGACTAGTCCGGTAGCAAATTTTGGTGTCGAAAGGTTTCGGTGCCGGAACGGTGTCGAAACGGTGTCGGAACGGTGCCGAATTTGTTCAATGCCGAAACGGTGTCGAATTATATTGGCTGTGTATTTGTTCAAAAGATATGCATTCTTAGGCGTGTTTCACTTTTTAAACACCTTGTAGTTTCTTTAAAAAAAGTTAATTTTTGTTCATTTCAAAATAATTGACATTCTTTGAGCATAAATAGTTCAATGGTGTAATGTATAATGCAAGAGTGTATTGGAATGATCCCATATCCTAAAATCAAACTGATTTTTTACATTTTACACAAGATGATTACTGTTGACTGAGGGTGATTCTTAACAATTGTGGAATAACAGTGTAAATTTCATTCCTATAATGTTCAATTTCAGACTATGTTTGTGTCGTTGATGTAGGATTATTTGAACTCTCACTAAAAACCAGCGATGGCAAAGATACTGTAAGTATTGTACTGTTTGTAAATTTCAGGGTTCGGGTCATGTTTTAAAATGGAAAATAGAGTGGAAAAGAGTGGAATCAGCAAGGAATAAAGTAAAGAGGCATGTAGTCGATATTTCAAATTGTATAAAAATGGAATGGAAGAGAATTCCTGTATTGATTGTTTATATGATTCTTTTCCACTCTTCTGATATTGTTTGAATGGCTTTTTTAAACTTTTTGATGCCCAAAAGTTTAGTTGATAATTTACATCCTCCAAATACAGGCCTCCAGAACTCGAACCTTGTTCTTTTAACTCATTCAGTGCTAGGGCAAAAAGCACTATAATACTGATGAATTTTTGAAAATTGCCATATATGGTACCTCTGAAATAATATATGTAGTGTATACGTGGGCTTACATGTATAGTGTTATATATCATTTTAAAGCATATGATATACTCTTTCAGAATGAACAGGTTTTTAAGTCCCATTTTATAAGTTGTCACGGTTAAAAGATTCCAAAAAATACATTGAGTTTGTGCTTGGACGTGATGTCACGTCCTTAGTAGTCAACGACTATGTGCTTTATGACATCATATCATGTCAGAGGCGTAGCTAGCCCATTTTGCGAGTGTACGCCCGTATGATTTCCCGGTTTTATCAAAATTAACAAAACGATGGTTCCATAAAATAGGAAGATCCCGGGTGTTCAGAAGATAGGGGACACACTAAACACTCTTAATACAATGAAGGAAATATGTATTGTTTGATCATTTTGACATAGCTATTAACAGATAATATTCGGGAAACAAAATATACAGATTCTATACAGTATAATCATGCCATCGGCGATCGAAGCCGTCTATCAAGGCGATTTTATTTTTTAGGCTACCTAAAACTGTATGTATGAGGCTCATTGTTTTAAGCTTTTGTGGTCATTCTCCATGAAATATTATTATTTTTTCTGTGTTTGTTTTTATCTAGCTCACAAGATGATTAACAATAAAAGAACAGTTACACGACCGTCTCAACTCCATTTCGGATCTTAACAATCTGTACGTGATTCTATAGAATAAATTCTATCTTTCTGCTTTTTGCATTTGCGAACATGTCAATAACGTACAGTATCAATGTTTATATCCTCTTGCTGGGGCCGCCATTGAAGAATATACAACTACAATGTCAACTCAAATGAAAACTCAACTGAAACTAAATAAAATTCTCTAATTATCAGTGTAGCTAACTGGTTCAAAACAAAGAAAATGAAATAATCGAGAACTTTTTTATTTATTAACGAGTCTTCATAGATCTCCTATCGATTTCTATCCCTTGGTAAAATATTTATTTTTCATCACTATTAATCAGGTAAATTTTATTTTTCCTTAAAATTTGAGAGTACGCCTGGGCGTACTTGGCGTACACGTAGCTACGCCACTGATGTCCTTCGTAGCGAATGAGTTAAGAGGGAAGGAGTGTAGTGGATGATATCTAGCGCCCTGCGTTTGGAGGATGATAATTCAGTTTTTTGGCAGTTTATTTTATTTTTCCTTGTCCTCGCCCTTATATATATTTTTTATTTTTATATTTCTGTATTAAAATCTCTATTTTCACGATTTCATTTCATTTTTCCACTATTTTAAATGAATCATTTAATATTACAGGAGAAAGGGGAAAGTAAAGAAGTAAGTTTTGTATATGTATCCCATAAATCACTAAACATTATTATCTCACTCTGATTGGACATAATATATCACATGACTCCTCAAAAATGATACCCCATAATTTATACAGAACCTTCTTTGGAGATACACATCTTTGATTGGCTTAAAGGTATCACATGACCGCTGAAACAACCACGATTGTGTTACACTGTGATAAATAAGTTATACATAAAGCTTTATTTTCCAATATATTACACTGCTTAAATCCAGCCCTTACAACTTAACCTTTGTGACCATGTTTTAAGATGTTGAGAGTCCATTTATTACTGTATTTATCCCTAAAACCTGTGACCCTGACATGTGAAAAATAAACCTTTTACAATACAACCTTCGTGACCTTGTTTTGAGATTTTGAGAGTCTGTTTATTACTGTATTTACCCCTAAAACCCTAAACTCTGACATGTGAAAAATAAACCTTTTACAACACAACCTTCGTGACCATGTTTCAAGATGTTGAGAATCCATTTATTACTGTATGTACCCCTAAAACCTGTGACCCTGGCATGTGCCTTCTCTCTGACACTCAATGGTTATTTTTACTCTCATGAGAGAGATGGGGTGGGGGATTGGATTTCACTGTATAGTATTGCACAAAATATTTTATTTAAAATGCCAAACTTTATTTAATATTTCCCAATAGAAGTTTGGTCTATACATGTAATTTTAAGTGTGAATTAATTCAGATGTGGACTTCACAGCCAGGTACAGCTATCTTTGAGAAACAATTTTGCAATTTCCAGTTGTTAGTTTTTATTGAATTTCCATCCTCATCCAGTTTATCTGTATCCCATATGGCACACCTGAACTCTGGCACTGTAAAATAATAAATTTATTTTTGGAATTGACCATTTTATTGCTTGGATACTGTTGCAAGATTGAAACTTTTGAAAGGGTTAGTTGAAGAGATACATTATTTTCTGAAAAAAAGAATTGTCAATCATTTCAGTTTTACTCAATCATTTCAGTCTTACCCATGAGTTTTCCCTGATAAACCATACCCAGGATCTCTGCTGATTTCCCATCAAAGTCCATATATTCCCCAACATCTTTAGTAGGACCTGCTGGGCCTCCTAACCACTCAAACACTGGCTCTTCCTCACCATTTTCAGCATTAAAGGATGTCCAAAATGGCCAATTGGTCAGTCCTGGGTAAATGCATCAAGAAAGAATAGGACATATTTTTGACTTTTAAAAAAATTCACTAAATCACATACCATGAAAATTTAAATCAATCTTTATATCAGTTTGCCAAGAAATGCACAGCAAAATATACCCCTTACCTCTTTGAAACACAAACCCTCTGAGGTAGTCTTGTTCTTCTGGGGTCTCGATTGCTATTAAGTTTGCCCCCCTCGAGGCACAGTAGGTGGCAGCACTAGCTCTATCCATGAGCATCAGTTTTGAGCTATCCGCAATGTAGTAACAGGTCCCTGAATTGCAAAATACTTCTGTATCAATGACTGTCACAGTATACTTTTACATAATTTTTTTCAGGATTTTTTCAAAAATATAGCGAAAATATACAACTCGCGAAATTAAAGATGTCTACAGTAGCCTCTTCAGCAAAAATAGTGAATATCTAGGGCAACTTGTAAATTTCAAAAAATCTCAAATTAATTACCCAGTTTGGCATTTTCATGAAAATGTTTAGGACAGCTTTTGTGGCCAGCATCTTCTGCAATATAAAAAAAGAAATTATTCTATCATAATTTTTCATGAAACATTTGTCTCAAAATATCATTATTTTTATTTACATTTTTTATACAGTAAATACATGTGTTATTTATTTAAGTTAATGAATAATAATAGTTATGGATCAGTTTTATATAAAACATACCATTTATTATTCCCTGTGGGATTACTGCATTTCCAAGTACTTTTAATTCATTTACATCTTTTCTTAACTTTTTAACCTGACGTTGTAATTTTTGTAAATCTTTTTCACAATCAGTGTTACAATTTGTTTCTTCTTGCGCATTGATGCAAGTTGAAAATAAAATAAATATTGCTATGTTTGATATTCCAGTCATCATGGCTTTGAGTGAAACGTTAAAATAAATTACAATCATCTAAATTTATGAAAACAACAAATATGAGTGGACCCATGTGTAAAATGTCCCAATAACTACACTCTGAAAAATAAAATAGAGTGGAAAAGAGTGGAATCAGCAAGGAATAAACTAAACAGGCATGTAGTCGATACTCTAAATTGTAAAAAGTAAATCATGAAATTAACACAGCATTTTGGGAGGAAAACTGTAAAATACTTGTGAATGCTATGATACTTTTCTCTTGGGTATTCTTTAATAGAAATTGACAGTTCGTGATAATTTATTTGTTTAGTTTACTTAATTAACCATTTATGAATTAATAGGCTTATTTAATCATTCAAAAATTTTCATTGTATTGAAAAATGTCCTCTTTTGACATATATGTTCTTAGATGGCATAATTTCAATTTTAATTCGCTAGGAAGACCTTCACCTTAATTAGTGATTAGGTGCAAAAACATGTTTTGGAGTCCCATTTTTAGGTGATTAATTCAAAATGTTATTACACCAACATTTTACCATTTCTGATATGAATTGTGAAAAAGAGAGAGATATGTTATAGGGAGATTCATTTCAGTTATTGCAATCTGTATCCTTATAGAAACTGCCCAGGCCCATAGCCAGGGGGTTTTGGGCGAACCCTGCCCTCTCCCCCAACCCTGGCCGAAAGTTATTTCAAAATCATTCAGTATTTCACGATTCAGAGCTTTTTTCATGTGACTTTGGGTCTTGAAAAAAGTGAACCCCCTCCTGGAATTTTTTTCAGAAAATTGAACCCCCACCCCCTTCTTCGCAAAAGCTGGCTACGGGCCTGTGCCTAAGTTTAATGATTATTCCTTGTCTGTTTGCTTTATTCCTTGCTGATTTCACTATTTTACTCTATTCTACATCAAACATGTTGTGTGTTATACAGGTTTTGCATGCAAAAATCTAGTTGTGAAATATCAAATCAATGGCAATGAAAGATATTTGCATGTTATATACTTGTACATATTGTATGTCTGTTAAATAAACTTGTGTCATTTTAAATTTAAATTAAAAAATGATAGGCCTAAAGCAAAGGCCTACTCACATATGAACGAATCCACTAAACGCAGCCTTAATTAGGTAAATTGTAAATTATGACGATTGGGAATGTTTAACATGCGGACTGAAACGCTACTTCTGGCATGCTTATGAAGCTCTCCGAAAAGATACTTCCGCATGCGGACACCCCAACAATGTAAAACCTATATACATGTACCTAGGAGCAAGTCCCTATTCGACAGTATATGCAAATTGACATCATTTGGGTTTCGTTCATATGTTAGGGGGCCTTTAATCTACACTCTTCAAATCAGAGATAATCCTTTCATCAATTCAATCAGAAAAGGTCAAAAGCCAGCTACCCTTTCAGAATAACAGTGAAAGAATCTGATCCTCTCATAAGTGGCTGGCATTTAATATAAAACTCCCATCAAATTCCATTGAAGCTACTTTTCAGAACATAATGATATCATCAGCATTTAAAATGTATATACATTTGTTCTATTAAGAGTTTAGTAATTACTATTAATCTTGGGGTTTCAGGGTAAAAAATATCAGAAAATTCAACAGAGCATTTGAGAAAAAAATGTTAAATAGGCATGACCATTTTCTGAAGCATAATCATTATCTCAACTTGCTTTTTCTCACTTCCAGCGATATCCAAAAACAGAGCTACGGGCTTCCAATAATGTGATCCATATAAGGACGTGCGCAGATTCATGTCAAGCACTCCAGGAAATGATTGTGTATTTTGCAAATGACGGGGATCTTACTCTTACAAAACCACCTGGAGAGTCAACCACCAGTTGTCAGACTAACTTGGAGGTAAAACTTACACTGTGTTTTCATTATAAAGTTTTGAAAGGATTTTAGACTCTAATTCAAAATATCACTATACTTCTCTGATCTAACTTAATTTGTTAATTAACACAGTGTCATATTTATTACTTTTTGGGGTTTTATAATATAAAAAATGTATATAAAAAAGGTAAAATGTCTGTGTGTGGCTTTAATATAAAGTTTTATAGGCTGAGCAATATGAAGGATTAAGATACATTTGTATTGGATTTACTCTGTATCATTTCCATGAGTTAATTTCCACTGTAGAGGAATTGTCATTTTTGTGACAAGGTACCTGTAGTGATATGTATTTTTAGGAGAGTGAAGAATCTATATCAGATAGTCCAGTGACGGACTCTCACATGGAGACTGTACATGACATGATGGCAGATGCTATGCTAGAAACAAGTCCAAAGAGTCAGACAAGTGGTCAAGGTATTTCCATAATAAAATTATTTTGAGGGAAATTGCCTTAAAATCAATAGTTCTGTGTTAAATCGATCCACCCCCTACCTTCTTTCGCAACAGTGGACATTTGGACAACATTTTTTCATTTTGAAAAATGGCCACCATTTTAAAGTATTTTACCTTAACTCGAAAAGTAGTGGAGCGATTTTGTTCATATTTGGCATGTGAATACTATAAAAAAGCATATTACTTCTTCTGTGTGTTATTTTATGATATTTGCTATATATTTCGTTTGTAAAAATGCCGTTGTTCTGGTTTAATATTGTGATACAATTTGTTCATGAATGTGAACAACATGACAATTTTTCAATCAAGTATTACATACTTCAAGGAGTAAATGATTAAAAAAGCGATTTTTCTATTTCAAGAAATGACAGAAGGGGACCAAGCAAAACCAAGTGAGATTTTTTTCTTCCCTGATGAGGCCACAAAGCACACATCACCAAATATGGGCGTGTCACATGATCAGACATCACTAGAGACATCTATCAGTGCAAGTCCGTATCAGTCAGAGAGAAGCAGTGATGAGGAATTCTGTGTGATAGATGACCCTGGTCTTGGAATAACTGTAAGTTGTTGTTTGTTTTTTGTTTTTTTTATTCAGGTTTTAGGTTTACAGGTACATGGTAATACTGTAAGTGGTATATATGTGCTGTACACTCCTCTCCCTATTTGTTTGGCATATTTGAATTTTATTCCTCAATTTCAATTACTGCTACAATATAAATGGTAATTTTGCCTAATCATTTAATTTGGCCTTTGCCTAATTTCTGCCATGTTTTGAAAATTAAGTGTAGGAAATATTACCCTTTGCATTCGTTTGACTTCACTTCTTAAAAGAGAGCTTCGTCTTCACTCTTTCAAACTAAAATAAACCTGTGAACTCACCGCGCCAATCAGTGTTCGTCGGCAAAATTTGACCGACGTTCTATATATGGTCATTCCTTCTGACGTCATCGCTGAGCCCGGAATTGACCAATGACATGCGCATATTTTATTAGAACGCATTTGGCGTATGTTTCTTCAAGCTCGCTGATTGGTGGAAGAAAGGTCAGTGCGTCTAGGTCAAAAGTAATTTATACCCAAACTGTCACCGGTACCCGTCGTGGAGGCGGGGCTACTAAACTGAAATATAGTCTCTACTAGGCAGAGTGTAGTTTAACTAGACTCTGCGCGCAGGGTAAGGAAATATCTTCATTATGTTATCCGATGAAAAGTTTCTTGTCATTAAGAAAATGATAAAATTTGACCATTCGGCAAATTAACCCCTCGGATTAAACACCACTTATACAGTATATATCAAAAATTGATGGCTTCGAGGGATTTTTAAAAATTGCAAAACATAAAACTGCCCTATTAGTGCATGGTCCAATTGGGGTTGTGAGTTTTACTTTGCACCCAGGTGGTTACATCTTGTCATATTAATGCCATGTTTGATTCTTTCTTTTTAGTCAAAGGATGGTGAACCAACAATTAGAAAATTCTGTGATGATCCGATATCTATAAAGGACAACTATTTTACAATGCCAATGGGCAAGACGGACCAACTCAAGGCTCCGGAGCATTTTCCCTCTGCTGTATACAGGTATCTTTAGTGTTCATCTCTAACACCTCAGGCCCGTAGCCAGGATTTGCCAATGGGGGGGTCAATTTTTGGAAAATTCCAGAGGAGGTTCACTTTTGACAATTTTGGTCAAAAAATGGCAAAAATAATTAAAAAGTGCTCAGAATGGTAAAAAACTGCATGATTTTGAAAGAATTTTTGGCCAGGGGGGGGGGCTCCTTCCTCCAAGTGGAAACTCCTCCCACCAAGCTCTTACTCATTTCATGAATCTAAATCCTTGCACTCAGATGTGTAACTCCTCCCACTCATCTTAAGTTCTTCCCACTGATCTCTAGCTCCCCTTTGTCTGTAATTTTATGTCACCTTATCACAAGTGATGACATATTGTTATGGTCTCCAACTTTTTTTTGTGGATGGTGTTCGGAACTCAGTGGTTGGTGTTCGATGGTTGGTGTTTTGCATCTGTAACATAATTTCAGGTGTTCTCACTTGGTTGGAACTTCTTCCCACTCACCTGTTTACCTGCCCCGTGGCTGTAACAATTTACTCTTAACTGTTATTCCTTTCATTCAGTTTTAGCTCCTCCCACTCAGCTGAAACTCCTCCCATTTTACTGTTTTGTCTTTTATTGTCAGCTGAAAGCTCCTCCCACTCAGTTATACCTCCCGTCCTCCCTGCTCTCAGATGTATCTTGTTTTCACGTAGCTTTAATCTTCCAAATTACCTTCCTCGAAAGAAATTCTAATAATGAAGATAACAGATATGATTATAAACAATAGTTTGATTTATTGAGAATAATTTAAATCTCTCTATTTTGCAAGGTTCTCTATTTTGCAGACATACTCAAAAAGGTTCTCTATTTAGCAGATTAAGGATTCTCTGTTTTGCATATATACTCTAAAAGGTTCTCTATTTTGCAGAATTAAAGTTCTCTGTTTTGCAGATATACTCTTAAAGAGATGTCACTTGTGTGGTGCATGTATGGTGGAAGTGATTTCGGTGATAAAGATTCATTACACAGGAAAAAAGTGAAGCACAATTCCCCGATACGCTACTCAAATCAAAGGTAAGAAAGATATTTGATTGAAACATCATACTTCAAACCATAAATCAATTGAGATAGATTCGATTAAGCCAAAATGCCCAACTATTATGCAAGTCGCTACTCAAACCAAAGGTAATACTGTTCCCTGGTTGGTTAAAACATCTGATTCGAGTCCACAAAACAATTTATGAAGCGCAATGCCCAGCTACTCAATGAGGAACAACATGGCTTTCAATATATCATGCCAATGTTTTCAAGTATCTCAATTTTCTGTATTCATTGTATGAAAATGTTTCAAACCTGTTTGGATTCATTGAGTATTTTCACAATGTGAACTGATTTATTTCTATATCTGAAAACATTTTTTAGGTCTGACCCAATTACAATAGGCCATAACCCTTATAAGGGCAGTGGGGACAAGTTAGGGTGGCAAGCCAGAGGGGGACCTGGTAGGGATATAGACACCCTAATGGAGCTACATCTAAATAAAGTAAGAACTTTGAGGAAGTCCAGGGAATAATATGGTATATGGATATTTAATAGAGGTAAAGTTGGAACAATATGTTTTATACAAGAGGAACTGCAGACAATATGATAAATACAGGTACTTTATTACACATTTTTGGGAAATACCATGGTCAACCTCAAGTGCAGTATTAACCCCCTTGACCTTATTCATATTGTATTTGTATAATCTTACTGTACCCTTCTATAATGCCATTGGGCGATTGAAGGGATGTATATAAGGGTTATGTACTGGGAGGTTTTGGATATAGGTTATATCCTGAGGAATTTATTTATATCATCCCGAGGGACCGAAGGGACAAAGGGGAGATATAAATATTTCCCGAGGGATATACCCTATATCCAAAACCGATCGTACATAACTGGTGTATCTCATACTTAAGTTGGTTTGGGGTTCCACCTTTTTTAAATGACAAGATAGGCCTATACTGTAAAAGCACAATTTGTATTTAACATTTTCGTAATATTCCTTAAATAGTTCAATACAATGAAATTGTAACATTTAACAGTTTAAACTTTTTAATAAATTTTAAACTTTCAAATGCTAATTTTTTTAAATTTTTAAAACTTTTGAAAAATTCCCGGGAGCGGGATGGATATATTATATCTGCCCGCATTTGCCCTGGAGCGGGACATATATTATATATCCTGCCCGCTCCTCAGATATGCTATATATTCCCGGGTGATATCTACCCCAAACCCACTCAAGTATGAGATACAATGTTATATCTTGTAATGAAATAAATTTATCTGAATAAAAAAAAAAATTACACATTCTTGGGAGAAAATTGTTAATTCTCTCCATATAAATAATTAGATAAGGTAGCAATATAATGCATAACCCTATAGGGGAACTGAGGATGATATGATAAATACTTTAGTACATATTTAGAATAATTCTCTGCATATAAATAATTTAAAAAAATAGACTTGCTTTTCTACAGTATTAACTGTTCCACTCTTTTTGTTTTTCGTTTTATTTCCAATTCCTACTGATTCTCAATTCAATAACTTCAGGTGAGAATGCAATTTGAAACATTCCCTGAGCACACAGAGCAAGCATCCCGTCAGATCCTCTTGATCAACGAGGTTGAGATCAGAGATCGAATTGGCCACTCCCAGATCAATAAATTCTTATATCAGTATGCGAGTGAGACCTGCCCTAGACAATCACACGCAAATATGGTGAGTTCTTCAAGATTTATGCACATTTTTCATAAACTTTGTACATGTATCATGAACAAATGCTGTGTAATTCAACAAAACACAAATAGCTTTTGAGAGTAGAATTCTCACTTTAAAAACAAAAGTAATGAAGTAACAAAAAATCATTTCAGCTTGAAAAAAACTGGGAGGAATGTTTCTACTGAATCATTAAGTTATTTGATTCATTTAACGACTGTCTAGTTTAACCTTTCTATTCTCCAGGTTGTAATAAAGGCTCTACACGTGCGCCCCAATCCAAAGTTAGCGCCCCAAGAATGCTCACTAAAGGTGGCGCTACTCCCTCTAAGACTCAATGTAGATCAGGTTGGTCTTGAAATATTAATAATATTTGAATAAATATATATATTTTTTCTTGCCTTCATTAATCATCAATAGGCTACAAGAGAGAGGCTGAGGTGTCCAAAATAATACACATATTTTCAATAACCTTGACCTCTAAATGTGATCTTGAACATGGTTTGGAGAAACTGTGTAATCTCTGACCCTGATGATAGGAAACCCATGTATTGATTAACCTGCATTCATTTCTGAAATAAGGTCTGGTAAAACATAAAATACTAATTCCAAATTTAAGAATCTAGATCAGGATATATGTATTTTAATGCTGCTTAGGCTCTTTTAATGTCTCTTTCCATGTCAGCTTGTATGTAATTTCACTTTCTAAACTGAGTAAAGGAGAGTATTTTATAAAATAACATGAAATGTTCTTTTTACTTCAGGATGCTTTGATGTTCTTCCGTCAGTTTTTCTCATCTTTAACTGGAAAAAATGAAGATGACTCCTCCCCGACAGTTCTTTCAGCTTCGCCCCCAGATGTAAATCAACATCAAAAAACCCCGCCCACACCAAGAACTCCGCCCACAAAGTCATTACCACCTATGAATACACCTATAATGATGGTAGGGGAACCATCCCCTGATTCCCCCCAAGAGGACCCCCAGGAATTCCTGATACAGTTTGATGAAATGCAAGAAAATATGGGAGAAAGTGCCAATAGCACAGATGATGTCGCTTCCCATGATGCACCTGTTTATTTCAAGTAATGCCATATTTAGAAATTTATTGATTTGTAATTATTAATAATTAAGCACTATTTCAGACTGAATATTGTATTGAAAAAATTTGAGGATTAAAATGTGTGCATGTCCTTAGGTTATGACAAATGTTTGACTTTTAAAGAATTTTTTGTAAATGTTATTTATAACTATTTGTCAGACAAAGTTTAATGTAAGACACAAATGATTATTCTATAAAATATGTACCACATTGTATGTTTCTCAAATTTTATTATGGTTGGAAAGACTGCACATTTAGTCTGGTTAATAAAGTTCTTTAATTTCAAGAAAATCAGATTATTAAGTATTTTTTTCAAGATGTTTTGTGTTCTCCCCTGATGTGCCTATAAGGCTGGATTATACTGGAAAGAGGATAGATTTTGGGCATGGAACATTTGCTGGCCTCATCGTTGGGTTGGCCCAGCTGAATTGTAGTGAGCTCAGACTGAAGCGGTTGAATCATCGCCATGGGTAAGTGGCATTACAAAGGTTTTTTACTTATTAGAGGGCACCAGGAATTCTGACATCCTGGCCAAATAAATATTAACTAGTAATATTAATCTTAACCTCTTGACTACCTGGACTGACGAGATTTCTCGTCACCTCAGAAAGGACCTTGAAACCCAGAGTGACAAGAAAATCCTTCACAATTTTTTCACTAAAATTGCTCTTATTTGAACAATTTTTGACCAATTTACACAAAAATTGTTTTAAAATGTGTAGAAATTATCTCTGCCGACTAATTTTACTAAGTTGAGCATCCAAAATTCTATACGTATATAGTAAAATGTCAAAAGGTGGCAAAAATGAAAAATTCTCTGGTTTCAACCGATTTTAGAGTCTGGGATTCAAGAGGTTAATCGTCATATTTAATGTAGAAATCTGACATTCTCATGGTCCCTTCATTCACTTCAATCGATATTCCAGAAAAAATCAAGCCTAAAAAATGTTTTTATTTATTATGTCACCACCTGAAGTAGCCCCATATCGTTAGTCTCAAACTTCGTGTTTAGGGCTCAGCATCAAACAAATAACATTGTCTGTAATAAATAGCAGGTGGTGATATTTTGCATGTTAATGCCTTGTTATATTGTAATGTTTTTCTCCTAGATTACTTGGGTATGACAAGCTCCTGGCGTATTGTCTGAATGAATGGCTGAGTGATATTAAAAAGAACCAGTTACCAAGTATACTTGGTGGAGTAGGACCAATGCATTCTTTAGTACAATTAGGTAGAATTTCTTCTTATATTCAATACATTTGGTTTTTACTTTTCCTAATTTTTGAGCTTTGAGATTTCTTCTACATGCTTTGGAATTCATGTAGTTTCAGCCGGAGCTTCATCTTTATAATTCTTCAATTCAAATTTTTGAGAAATCAAATCTCAAACGTTGTCTGTTGAATGTATCATGAATGCATGCAATTTTCATGATAAATGTCTTTTATCAATTAAATAAATTATTTGGAATGTAGTTCTCTAATGAAACTTGCTATTATGACTAGGAATTATAAAATGTAACTCTAGGGATTTTAGGAACTCTATGTTTTCGAAAGAAATATATAAAGTAAAAAGGACAAATGTTAAAATGAGCTGTACAAAATATTAGTCACCATTGTTATATTTCTGTTATAGTCCAAGGGCTTAAAGATCTGTTTTGGTTACCTGTGGAGCAATATAAAAAAGATGGGAGGATAGTACGTGGCTTACAACGTGGTGCGCATTCATTCACCACATCTACTGCTATGGCAGCCCTTGAGCTCACCAACAGACTGGTGCAGTCAATCCAGGTAATGGTTCATTTATTGTCATTTCCACCATGTTAATCCAGGTAATGGTTCATTTTTGTCATTTCCACCATGTTAATCCAGGTAATGGTTCATTTGTTGTCATTTCCACCATGTTAATCCAGGTAATGGTTCATTTGTTGTCATTTCCACCATGTTAATCCAGGTAATGGTTCATTTGTTGTCATTTTCACCATGTTAATCCAGGTAATGGTTCATTTGTTGTCATTTCCACCATGTTAATCCAGATAATGGTTCATTTGTTGTCATTTTCACCATGTTAATCCAGGTAATGGTTCATTTGTTGTCATTTCCATCATGTTAATCCAGGTAATGGTGCCATTTAAAATAAAAACAGTTCCATTTGCAATATGCAATGTATTTCACTTACAGAAATGTTCCACCTACAGTGGTGTTCCACTTGCCAGTTTTGCTGTATTTTTCTTTCTGTAATATTGGATCATTTAAAAATCCAGAGAACAGTTGGAAAATAAAGTCAGCAAGATAGAAAGTAGTAAAATGGTATGCAGTTAACAATCAATGAGATTATCTGTCTGATATGATATTTTGATATCAAGCCATACCTTTTTGATGTTTTTATTTAATTTAGTCATAAATACATCAAAGAAGTAAAATGAAAACCATAGAAATAAAGTATTCAAAGTATTTTTGTTTTGTTTCAGTACTGTGCTGAATTTGCCTTTGATATGGTTTCACCGGGTCCTAGTGTGACACGACGGAAGCGGATCTATCGACGTAAACACCGTGTCCTGCAACCTGCTGACCTGAGAGAGGGCGTCACTAATGCATATCACCTTGTTAGAGAGGTACCAAACGCTGTGTCATTTAAGAACAATACAATATGTTGACTACCATGCTCTGTATATTTTCAATTATTGATTCTTATCTGTTTAATGGAGTAATTATGATTACATTTAATAACCCCAAACTGTTTTGATCCACATTAATCTGTGATTTTGCACAAATTTGAATGTAATATTTATCATAATGAATGTAAATAGAACCAATCACATGTTAGCAAAAAAATTTGCTCATTTAATTCAATCCACAGTCCTTTTTGAAATATTAAAGATATCAGCAAGATATTCATTATAACCTGTCTAATCTGAATACCTCTGGGACCCGTCAAAAGTGTTCAGATTAACAGGTTCATATTTCAAGTTTTATAAATATGTATGTCAATGGAATATATCAAATATGTGGCCAGGAAAAAGAGTTCACATTGAGAGGTGTTCGGATTAGAGAGGTCTTCACATATTTCAGATATATAGGTTTCACTGTTTATTGTTATTTATTTTTTTTATTCAGCAGGAATATTCAAACATTTAATACAATATTCTAACAGCTTGATATCCTTTTTGATATATAAAGCATATGTTAGAACAAATGTATAACAAATCATCTAACAAATGTTAGAAACAGATTATTAATTTGAAGTGTACATCATGTAATGATAATGTATCCTGATTTTAGGGTATGAGTGAAGTGTACATTATGTAATGACTAATGAATATCCTGATTTTAGGGTATAAGTGAAGTGTACATTATGTAATGACTAATGAATATCCTGATTTTAGGGTATAAGTGAAACAGCACAAACCATGATGCAAGTTGCTAAGGAAGAGAATGAGCAGAAAGGGGTGACTGGGGCAGTAGGAGGGGTACTTCGTCAACTCCCTGGCACAGTGGTCCAACCAATTATATTGGCTACAGAGGCGACATCTAATGTTCTAGGTAGGATTGGATATTAAAACAATGGATTTCATGAATGTTTTTTAAAGCCCTATGAACACTTTAATGTCTTATGTGTTTATGAATGCTAAAACTCATGTTTTTAAGTAAATTGTTGTGTAAATGTTTGACACTATTTTACACGAGAAGGAGAATTAAGAAAATATATTTATTCAATGAAATATGATTGTTAGAATAATTGGAAAAAAAACAGTTTTAGTTCAGTTAAAGTGTGTCCCAATACCTTCGGTACTTCAATATAGTCTTGCATTTGGGAAGTGTTCAAATTAAAGAGAGGCATTTTATACAATAATCCAATGGATAACAAGACTGAAAAGAAGTGTTCTACATATGGAGGTGTTCCACAAACATAGATGTTCCACTTTACAGATTTTACTGTACATGAATTTCCATTTGAAATCATGACTAAATGTCTAGAACATTTTTCAGGGGGGATGAGGAACCAACTCTTGCCTGATGCTAGGAAAGAAGAAACAGAAAAGTGGAAGAAGGACAGTTAACGGAACATTTTAACAAAACAATATTTATTGGTGCTATTTGTGGAATGCTAATGATGGAATGCTTTTGCGGAATGCTATTTGTGGAGTATCGTTGATTGAACTGTGTATGGTGGGACATTTGCAAGACAAATTGGCTGATTTCGTTTTTCTATCGCTATGGTTACTACACAGGAATTATAAGATGACATCATCCTTATGAATACATATCACATAATCCATATTAGTCTGACGAGAATTTCAGAGACTTGAAAACGTGTAAAACTGTGTAAAGTGTCTTTAGAGTTTTCTAAAAAATGTGATTTTTACACAGAATACATGAAAGAACTAATGAAATAGTTCCAAAAATGTTCATGGGTTAGATCAATTATTGTACTAAAGGATTCCTCAAAACTAACCTATAATTTTTTGCTTGGAGCTTTCGAGACCAACTGGTCACTTTATGATCTGAAAAATTGGCGGCAACACTTGTCTCATTTTAACCTTGACCTTACGTCCAGTAGGGATCTGTAAATCTTAAAACCCAAGTTCAGACTCGGTTTTAAGAGTGACTAGTTGTTGAAGTAACCAGTTAAAATGACCAGTTGGTCTCGAAAGCTCCAAGCAAAAAATTATAGATTAGTTTTTGGGAATCCTTTACTAAACTAATGAAATACAGACTAAGCCAAGAAGACCATTATTATTCAACCTGAATATATTTCATTTAAAGGTATACATATCCACCATGGTGTAACATAATATTTTAGCCAAATTATTTATTCAGTTCAACTTACTTGAAAAGGCTATATTTAGTAAAAAAGTAAAGGTCACTACTATATTCGCTGTATCTCATATATTCATTTTTAATTTTGGTGTTCATTTTGTGTGATATTTCTAAGAAACGTGAATCTTGACATTCTATTAAGAATTGCATTATTGAATGCCCCTGGTGTTTCAGGAATTTTGTGAGTATCAGCCTGAATAAATGCATAGTCAACGTCAACCTGAGTAAACACTGCACAGTGTTATAATATCAATCTGAATAAACACATTGTGAATATAAGTCTGAATAAACTTATTCATTGTGAATATAAGTCTGAATAAACACATTGTTTATATCAACCTATATCATGTCATGTAAAAATAAGTGTAAATTTGAAATCATCATTCATGTTTAGATTATTGAGGTGAGAAGTACAACTATAAGTTGTGTGATTGATGCACATAAAATCGAGGCCGACCCAGCCATTTCGTCCTTCTTAATTTCGCTATCGCATGACTCGAAAGCTCTCCAGATGTTCAGAAGTTGTGATTCTTTCTCCGTTAGAGCTTTGACCAGTTCATAAACCTCTTCATTTCCCATACAGTTGTCATTTAACCTGGTTTCCTTAACCATATCTTTACATTCTGGTTTGCACACATCGCCGGTCGCTGAACATTTATCCAAGACTTTCTCCGAAAATTCCGCCAATGCCGTCTGAGACATTACGCTACGCACGTCACATCCCTGAACCATTAAAGTCCCACTTCTTGGGGAGCAAATTTCAATGTCCTTAAACCTTAGCATTGCTGTCAAGTTCTTAATCACTGGATAGTACTGGAAAAATGCGTAACACATTTCGGCTTTTGTATCATCGCCGTAGTAAGTGGTTTCAGTTCTTGACTGGGAATCAAATGTACAACTGACGTAGACCTCATCACCGGGTAGAAACTCCCGAGGGGGATCATGCCTGCAATATATACAGTTAGCACTAGATCATCACTTTTGATCGATATTGCTATATTTGTCAAATCATGTCATGATCTACAACGCTACTTTGTGATTGGTCAAATCATGTATATACTACACCCTTGGTATACGCAGTTAACGAAAATTGACCGGTACGGGTCAAAAGCTGGACCGGTACGGGTTAACGGTTTTATTTGAATTTAAAAGACCCATAACTTGCTCAATATTGACTTCCTCGTGTCTAATTTGAAATATATGATGCCTGCCGATGCTTTTAAGTACCCCAATTTTTTACAGATTTTTAAACGGACCAAAACTCTCTAAATGCGCATTTATGCTCTTTTCTCTCGAGAACGACCACGATAACTCTTATTTAGTACTTCAAATATATAAGATCATATAAATGACATGCTATTTACATCTTGTGAGTTTCAATGACGCGCGTTTGATTTTATAAAAAATGCCAAACTTTGTGACAAAGAATTTCCTCCTACTTGCAGCGAGAAGACGGACCGGTTCGGGGCAATAAAACACATGTATAAAGATTCCTAAATATACTAGATGCGATTAGAAATAATCTTGATTTACGTCATTATATATTCAAAATTCAGTCAAATTGATGTCATATTTGAAATCTGCATGTAAAAGTACATCTAGAAATATGGTTTCGAAAATTGTCTATCAACTTTGAAAATTTAATTTTTTTTGAAAATGTGATTTCTTGCTCGGGTTGATTCCCCATAGACCCCATATTACAAAATCACAAAAAGTGAAATATCTGTTCTTGTGTTTGTCAGATAACATTTTCATTTACTGGACATATTTTAATTTGCATAGATACATAAGGGTTATATGAAAATTGAACCACGCAAATAGATGTACAGGGTGTCAAAAAACAACGGCACCCCCCTCTACAGCAAAAAGTACTTAATATTACATGGTGTGTCATATGTCATTTTAAAGACAATTTAATTCTGGAGTTACCTGAGAAATATCAGCTTTATATCATGTAATTTTACAGATTTACAGCTGAATCTTAGTAGTTGGTATGACAGTCAGTTGCTGTTCAAACAGCAGCTTATCTGGACGGATATGATTTCAATGAAAATTCAGATAAAGGTGTAGCATTGCATAATCCTTTAAGCATTTTCCTCAAATTTTTCAGAAATACATCCTCAATGTATCTTTTTTCAAGAGGCTCTTCGTCCATCAGTTCCTATACCATGTTTTTCAGAACTGAACCCATATGTTCAGTGCAGTTCAGATCTGAGCTAATTCTTTCATATTCCACTTTCTGAAGATTTGACCTTTAACCAGTAACAGAGCAGCAAATAAAGTACCAAAGTAGCAAACTTAAAAACAATGTAGCTTTTTTAATATAATGTTTTTATAAATGAAATTTGAGGAGTAACTCCAGAATTAAATTATCTTTCAAATGATGTATGACACAATATGTCACATCATACCTTGATGGGGAAAAATATTTCTCATATGACTAACAAAGATACAGGTATCTTTACCCCATGCAAGATATTGCCATCTTTCATCCTAAAAAGTCACACGTGCAAGATGAGATTTACTTGTGACATCACTGGTCTATAAACATCAACAACATAGCAACGGATACACCGTTACTATGAGTATCCATGCTCATTCTACAATCCTAAGCTGTGACGTCATAACAATCGAGCTTTGTTGCCTCATGTATCCATGTATTTTATACAATATTGTTATGACGTCATAACAATTGAAAGATGAAGTTCCATTAATCTGAAGCTATTTTTCACCCAGTTTTATCATAAAAACGTGAAAATAAAGCATAATACAGAGTCATATGAGAAAAACTTTCTTTTACTCGTACCTGTGCAATATCGTCCATTCTTGACTCCTTTGATAATGTTTCTTTATCTCGTCTGCGACTCGATAAAGAGGAATTATCAAAGCTCATCAAGAATGGACGATCTTGCACAGGTACTCATATAAGAACCTCTATATCTTATATGTTACAAGTACTAAATAAAAGTTATCGTGAAAATGAGACAGTCGTTCTCGAGAGAAAAGAGCATAAATGCGCATTTAGAGAGTTTTGGTCCGTTTAAAAATCTGTAAAAAATTGGGGTACTTAAAAGCATCGGCAGGCATCATATATTTCAAATTAGACACGAGGAAGACAATATTGAGCAAGTTATGGCTGTTTTAAATTCAAATAAAACCGTTAATTAACTCGTACCGGTTCAGCTTTTGACCCGTACCGGTCAATTTTCGTTAGCTACGTATACCAAGGGTGTACTAATCTAATCATAATCTACTGTGAAATGGTACATGTCCAAATTAAGATTGTATAGATTATGTAAATTTCTAGTATAGACATCCCCTCATCCCCCCATAAAGAAGGGTTTTAGCATCAATCGGACAATAGGCATTTTCAAGGGCAGACGAGTGGCCCGAATTTCTCAAAAAATTCTCAAAAAATAGTACAACTTTAAATGACTCGGATCGCTTCCTTTTTAAATGAAGAAAGGACTAATTGTTTAAATATGCTGCAGGAACAGACTTTTCATCATATTAGATTTAGACCTGTTGAATTTGATTTTAGAATATACTGGTAGTGGTAGTATTAAAATAATGGTAGGCCTATGAGAAAAAGTGAAAGAACGTAAAATACTAACACGTGTGTCACTGGAGAGTCGTAACTGTAAACGTCATCTCTTCCGAACGTCAATATTTTGTTCCCATCACGGCGATGCTCCGAAAGGCCTGACTTTCCTAAAAAGAGAAAACTGAATAAAAATGCAATCAACTGAGTTCATGTTAGGACATGCTGTTTTAAATCGATCGCTACGTGGAGTGAAATTACATGAACATGTAGAATAACTGAGGAAATATCAATCAAAATATCAACGAGAACCCTATCGTATTCCAATGGGAAAAGTATCAATGGCTAACTTTAAATTAGAGTGATAAGTATCCAACATGACACACTCCATGAACATCCAAGTAAACGTTATCCTTGTTTCGCGTCTCTTTAACTAAGATGACCTACTTTATATTATTTCAGTTTTTCAACGAATTAAAACAATCAAATTAACTCAAGAGCAGGCCCGTAGCCAGGGGAAGGGAGGAACCCCTCCCCCTGGCCAAAAATTATTTCAAAATCATGCAATTTGCACCATTCTGAGCACTATTTAAGTGATTTTGGCCATTTTCGGGCCAAAATTGTCAAAAGTGAACCCCCTTGGACATTTTTAAAAAGTGAACCCCCCTTGACAAATCCTGGCTACGGGCCTGGAAGAGGTTCTAAATCCTGTCTTCTCACGAACCGACGACTGACATTGTAGTTTTCTTCCATAAGTTATCGGAGCGCGGATGGTGACCGTCAGTGACATGTGTACTACCCAAAGGAGATTTAATTTATTAGTTCTCTTAAAGGCGTACACGTTTAACACTTCCAATACAATATAAAAACCTTTTTAGGGAAATATTTAACATATCCATTTTTCGCATTCTGTGAGCCTATCATGCATTAAAATATTCATTTGTTTTCAATAAATAAATAGGTGATTGTTGTATCAAAAAGCAAAAGCCTTTTCTGGGTCACCGCGAATGGCATGATTTCCTCGAGTCTCTTCAGTTGCAAGGCAACCATACTGGGACCGATTCGTGTCGTTCCACTACTGCCCTTGGTGGGGGCTCGCTACCATACTGTATGACTCCCGGCGTCTCCTATAGCCCGTCAGTGGAGGAACCAACCACAGTCTCACAATCTGTCTCCGACAAGAGCAGTCAGAGAACCGGCCAACCCATGCAAAGGGCCGGAGGTTGGACCTTCGGACCGAGTGTCCTGTAGGACTATTATCTAGAACGCCGTACCCGAGGCTCGAACGCGGGACCTTGTATCCCTCGGTACGCACGACCACAGTCACTAACCACCTAGGCTACACTGCTCAGGTGTCAACACTACTCAAAAATATAATATTTGTTCTAATATTTTGCATGAATGAATATGGAAGTGGCCAGTAATCTTATTTTCTCAATCACTTTTATTTTGTATTCGAATAACTAATTATAAACACCGCCAATCGCTTTGCACTTGCAAACGTGTAATTAGCTAATTTGCTACTTCGTGCACGTGTAAATGCGTCGTACAAAGGCAAAATATGAGCAAAGCCAAGGCAAAAATAGGCGTCGATATCATGGTAATGGAGACTTTAAGCAATGCATATAAAATCGAAACGTCAACCTGTACGCACACGTTGCTCTATGGGTCTTTTTCAAAAGTTCGTCACTTTCTCCGAAAAATTAAAACGGTTGATATTTCAATCAATTTTTGATTTTTTGGGACGAACAACGAACATTGTTCCAGAAAAGTGACTTTAAAAGATAGTTTAAGTGGAAATTACGAAATAACACAGCAAAATGTAAAAAATCTAACGTGCGTGACGTTTTTGATGAAATCAACAGTTACTTTTGTAATACAGACGATAAAATACATTTGAGTCTCTTAAACTGTGTAAATGCATATGACGAAAAAATCGTTTGTCGATATTTCATGAATTTATGCATTTAAGGTTTCTCAGCTAATTTTCAATATGCTAACGTGCGTGACGTTTTTAAATATCTGCGTTTTTCATCTGCTATCCTGAGTTTCTCATATAACATGATATATTAGGAATAAATATGTTTTAACCAATCTAAAGCTTTAAATGAACGTTTTACCCTTGTAAGTTTTGTGTCATAAGGCATTAAGCAAGGTTTTTACTAAAAACTAACGTGCGTGATGAATTGATTGTGTTGACACGAAATATGTTAAACTCAATAATAAGTGTACATCTTAGTGATAAAGTAACAGCAGTCGATTTATTAGTGTATAATACATGTTATACCTTGTCAAACATCATACGTATTATATTTTTAAACTGGCAAAATATGGATATCCGATTAATACAATGGTTTAGGACTTATTTCAACTACAGAAGTAAATTATTCTATAACGTACAGTATCTTGCTTCATGGTCATTCCATTTCCCCAGCAGGATACGTTACAATTAACATTAATAGCTTTCCTCAAATTATTTAGTTTGAAGAATGACATAGCGATATATTGTTATGTGTATTCATTATTTTATTCAAGAAAATGTTTGCTTGAATTCTACGTGCGTGACGATTTTAAGTTGACACGATTTTAACAATAACAATAGTAAAATGTAAATGTAATAACAATAATAACTATAACAATAATAACAATAGTAAAATGTAAATGTAGTAACAATAGTAAAACGATAGTAAAATAATAACAATAACAGGCCCGTAGCCAGGGGGGGGGCTCTGGGGGCTTGGACGAGCCCACCGTGGGCCTGAAAAGAATTTTGGGCTAAAAATATTGTAGGGCCTCTTTAGTTGGCCTTTACTTGACCTTTTTACTTGACCTTTTTGGGCCTTATTATTTCAATTTTAGGCTAAATTTTCAAAAAACGGGCCATAAATCTTCAAAATTTAGGCCCAAATTTTGGTTCTAGGGCCCTAAAAGGTTTTCCGCGTGGCCATAGGATGGGCCCAGAAAAAAATGTTGCCCCAAAATATTGTAGGGCCTCTTTAGTGGGCCTCATTTGGCATTAATTGACCTTTTTGGGCTTTATTTTTTGTTCAATATAAGGCCAAATTTTCAAAAAACGGGCTATAAATTTTAAGAATTTTCGCCCGAATTTTGGTTTTAGGGCCCTAAAAATTTTACGCGCGGCCCTAGGATGGGCCCAGAAAAAACATTTTGGGCCAATAATATTGTAGGGCCTCTTTAGTTGGCCTTTACTTGACCTTTTACATTGACCTTTTTGGGCCTTATTATTTCAATTTTAGGCTAAATTTTCAAAAACGGGCCATAAATTTTCAAAATTTAGGCCCAAATTTTGGTTCTAGGGCCCTAAAAGGTTTTCCGCGTGGCCATAGGATGGGCCCAGAAAAAAATGTTGGCCCAAAAATATTGTAGGGCTTCTTTAGTGGGCCTCATTTGGTATTAATTGACCTTTATTTTTTGTTCAATTTAAGGCCAAATTTTCGCCTGAATTTTGGTTTTAGGGCTCTAAAACTTTTACGCGCGGCCTTAGGATGGGCCTAGAAAAAATGATGGGCCAAAAATATTGCAGGGCCTCTTTAGTTGGCCTTTACTTGACCTTTTTACTTGACCTTTTTGGGCCCTTCAAAATTTTCAAAATTTGGTTGTAGGACCCTCAAAGGTTTTCTGCGCGGCCATAGGATGGGCCAAGAAAAGAATGTTGGCCCAAAAATATTGTAGGGCCTCTTTAGTGGGCCCTTTTGGGCCTTTACTTGACCTTTTTGGGCCTTATTTTTTCAATGCTATGCCAAATTTTCAAAAAGCTGGCCATAAATTTTCAGAATTTTGGCCCAAATTTTGGTTTTAGGGCCCTAAAAAGTTTTTCCTCGCAGGTGCGGATATTTTTTCATGACTTGAAGTGTGGGCCCCCCTTGTTAGCTTCCGGATCCGCCACTGTCCTTTACAATACAAAGGGGCTTGGTTTAGCATGGGGAATTTTTTTTTTTGGGGGGGGGGGGGTTGCGGGGGGGGCTACGGGTATGAATAACAATAGTAAAATGCTAATGGACTTCATGAGACCAACATATCTTGTAACTGGAACTGAATATATGTTGAAAGCAATACAAGTTATGGGGAAAATACGTCGAATTATACGAAATACTTAACGTCTTCTGCTAGCCAAAATGGCCTTAGCCGGGACGAATCTAAATTGCGAATGGTCTATGTGGAACGAAACTGTAGCAATTTCTATCAATGCAATATCATTTATGGAATAAATAGTCTAAATAGTCGATCAAAGATCATTTATATAATTCAAATAACCATGCATAAAGAATTTGTTTTCAGTGAAGTCGAGAAGAATTGAGTCCATCTGAATCGACGCTCAATCACTTGTCCATTGGTGTCAAACGTCACGCACGTTAGAATTTTATTGGTTCTATTCTATTTTCTGCATACAATAATTGACGAAATTTTCTGAACTGTGAAACTGAGATTAGACAAAGCAATAAAAATCAGTGCTTGGCACTCCTGACAAGACTATTGACATAACCATCAACATAAGGACAAGATGTACATCTTTTATAACGTGCGTGATTGCTTGACACGAACACTTTTATCACATAAATTAAGCTATGGTGTCAAAAAACAGATTAATGACGAAAACAACCACAATATTTGCTGATTCCAGATGAATGTTCCCTTTCTTACATTTAGGTGTGTGTGAAAATCGTTTTATATCAACGAAAAATTTAAGTAATTCGTTAATGCGAGAGTATGACACGATAAAGGACTACGTGCGTGGCGGATTAACGTGCGTAACGAAGTTTGACACCAATCTTCGAGCAACTTATAAAGACCATATTGCCGCTTCAGAGTTGAAACTTACCACTGGATCTATAACATCGCGTAAATGTGTAAATAAAATACAATTTCATTTGCACATGTGATCGCGTATTTTGTATGAAAATAGGCTTTCTAACGTGCGTGACGAGTTTGACACGAAAAACGATAATGCACGCAACTGAGCATAAAAATTATTTTCCATATATACTTCATATAGCATTGAACACAATGAGAGCTCGGTGTATCCTCCTTTCGAAAAAACACTCATCTGACTTTTTGTAAAAATAATCAGCCTGGAGCTCATGAATAACGTGCGTGATGGTGTTTGACACCATGCATCACGCACGTTAGTTCTAAATTGACATTGTCTTATTTTTCGAGTATGGTAGATTTATTATCTGAAAACGAAATGATTCACATAGATAACCTCTGTAGACTTGTGGCAACACATTTTTCCGCCTCATTTCCAGAAAGAAAGATCCAGGGGATGTATCTCTGATGTACCCCCCAAAATTGCTTAAAAAACTGCAAAAACAGCTGGACACGAAGCCCAAAAAAGTGAATAACTTCAACAAATTTTAACATTTTCACCTGATATTATCCTCAGTATCTTTTTGACCTTTACTGAGTTGAATAAAATAATCGTTTTTGGCTATACTTCTCAAAATGTTGAGATATCGAGCATGTAATATTTGAACTTTTGAGTGACGAACTTTTGAAAAAGACCCCTATACAAATGCATGTAGTTTTCTCACATAAATAATCGTTCAGTTACAGTGTTTACTAAGGCCGTTACTTATAGGCTACACATCATCGTGTAATTTGCCATTGACAGTTATATAGCTTTTCTATGATACATATTTTAAACAAGCTCGTTTCGTAAGATATTTGGAGCAAAAAACATGTATGACAAAATCATTTTCTTCAGAAATCACTATGGTACTGTGCATCGAAATCAAAATTGCCAGCATAAAATTCAATAGACATGATGGAATGATTCCCGTTGGCACCGACGCAAAATTGTAAACCCGTTCTAAACACAACTCTGAGGCTGATCGGGTATTTGAATGATTTGAAGTGCAATACAGGATATATTCTGCTCGAGAATTCCGTATTGGAACGAGACGAAGTCGATTGTCAATACAGAATATCGAGAGCATCATATATCCTGTGTTGCACTTCAAATCATTCTATACCGTTTTTATCGTGTGATCCTCTGTATTGCTACTGAGAATGTCCCCTCTGTACCAATATTTTCTGTATTGCGACAGAGATGATCAATATCACAAGAACTGACCAATCAGAAGACTTCATTCTACTGATCATACGATTACTAAATTACTGTATTTATTGGCATCGGGTAAAATTGAATGAATCTTGGTAGAATAAAAGAACATGAAACAGAAAACCAATACATAACTCTTTAATCAATCTCGTGTTCATTTTGATAAACGATATGCGTTGCGCAACCTGTGTTCATTTTGATAAACGATATGCGTTACGCTTTAACCAACCTCGATCGTGTTCATTTGCTGAACGTTATACATTACGCTTTAACGAACCTAGATCGTGTTCATTTTGCTGAACGTTATGCGCTACGCTTTAACCAACCTAGATCGTGTTCATTTTGATGAACGTTATGCGCTACGCTTTAACCAACCTAGATCATGTTCATTTTGCTGAACGTCATGCGTTACGCTTTAACCAACCCAGATCGTGTTCATTTTGCTGAACGTCATGCATTACGCTTTAACCTACCTAGATAGTGCATATGTAGAGCAGTAGTTAGTATGTTAATAGAGTAGGGCAAGTTTTGTCGTGTACAGCTCGGTGAAATCAAAGCAGTTTCCATATGACTCTCTTGTCCGCCCTCGATCTCAAGGTGTCTCTGGCCGACAATAAAATACCCTGCGTCATTAGGCCTCAAGTTTGGAGTGTAGAACAACGTCAAGCCAGAGCTATCTGTGTAATCAGAGCGCAGTTCTGGGTTGTTCCAATGCATCTGGAATACAAATATATAATAGAACGCGTACGATGTATCGTATTTGGCTGAATGGGCTGCAGGGGCGGAAATGAAAGCTTCAAATGATGTTTTCACATGATGAGAATTCTTAATCATTTTCATGGATATGATAAATGAAATGGTTAATATTTTATTCCTAAACTATACTATGAATATGGCCAAAATATGAATATACTGTATGTTAAAATGATTTTATTCGTATCAAAATATCACACAATATAAATAAGATTATTTTTTGCTTAAGTAGCTTGCATTCGCGAATGCAAATAGCGCCTGTCGTCTACCGGATTAACCTACTATTTTATGGGTAACCATGAAATTTAAATGAGTTGGTCATAAAATAGTAGTTGGTTCGGTAGCCGACAGGCGTTAGTTGCATTCGCGAATACAAGGTTACGTATTTTGAATTCGCGGGCACGGAAAGTCTGAACAGTTGCTGTGGCACATTTAAAAAGTGATTGCACACGGTCACCTTAGGGCTTCCCTGCGGCGGCCATGCAGTAGGTTTTTGACAATTAGTCTAGATTTGAGAAAACAGAGCCTAGAGCCGCCGTATCCTAGCCGTAGAACAAATGTTACTGAGGCAAGTTTTTTCACCTGTAGAACTGCATATTTGTATCCGTGTTTTCCAATTCTAAAAGCAGCAAGATCGGAGTAGCACTCTCCCGCAGACCCAAGTGTCCAGGTAGTGATAATATTTTTACAACCCGTGTCCATCCCACATAATCTCGGAGTGGCAAATTTAGTGCGAACATCAGAATCATCGCCCGTTAGATCATCTAAAATCAAACATGCATAATACAAGATATAGTATATATAATCCCATAGTGGCAAATTTAGAGCTGACGCGCACGTGATACCATCCGTTAGATTATCTAAAACCCTACGCACACGTGACAATAATTGAAATAAATGATGAGAGTCAACTGTATTGTGAAAAAAATTATGTTGTGAGAAGGATGAACACAGGATTAAATGTTTTGTACCTTCTTTACATCCAAACAACAGCATATGATGCATGACGTAAGCATTATCGATCGTAGGAGTTGTCGCAATGAGATGATAGTCTCCATCCACCGGCAGCTCCACCGTCATACAATAATAATTCGTCTCTGTGGCAGGTACTTGTGTTGACGGGAAGCGAACACTGACATTTCGAACATCATCTTGAAATCACAATTGTACTTCTACATTCAAAGTATCACATCCCAAAGGATTAAAGTGGAGTTGTTTACTTTAAAAAGTTTATATTTCTTTGAAGCGTTTATTTTCTGTTTTATTGTATTGTCTTTTGTTTTTCCTCCATTATTGTACAATCCAACTACATGTAGTTTTATCCGTCAAGATTGAATAATTATTAAGGACTTTTAAAAACTCAATACAGCTCAGTTGGGACCAAACCCACAATAGCTAATGTGGATTAACCCTTTGTCGATTCAAATATAAGAGGAAAATGTTGGCGGATAAATAAAAGCTGCTTGTAGTAGAAAACCTATACATTGTATTTTATCACTGAAAATCAATTTTTAATGAGGATTGTCACATGACATTATTTTTTATAAAACTTGTCAAAATTTGGTGTAAAAATACAGGATAGAACTACTAGAACTGGAGACATTGTCATTTTATTGATATACAGGGCGTCCACAAAAAAGTATACCCAACTTCAAAGCCAGGATACCAGAATTCTGAGCAATTTTTTTAATTTTTAAAGGCTGCAGTATATGGCCTAGTTAATTCTCCATCAAATGGTACCTAGATCATTATGTAACTGTCATGGATGACTGAGCAATCATGACTTTTATGAAAGGTGGTAAAATCAGCACTGTGCCAAGTTAGCATTCAAGTAGGATTGACACAATGAATGTTTTTTGTGTTCAAAACATTTTTAATGTTCAAATTCAAACTTGTTCCATGTTCTTCAACCTTTTTGCATAATTTTCCATGACGTTTTATTGCTACCTCCCTCGCGGAAATTTGATCCCAAGAGGCTATTGAACAGCAATGAAACTTCTACTTGATGATATGCAGCCTTGAAGTCAATAGGATCCCCCATTGAAGTCAATACACCCTTGCTGAAATCCTCATTTTCTCAGAAGAACTCAAGTTGATTGAGTCTCAACAAGTAGATTCATGTTGGACAGTATTGCTAGAATCCATTTTCAATAGTAAGAATAGGGATTCTTAAACAGTTCACTGCACTCGCTTTTTGTCGGCTCTTCTGCTCAGGTGTCAGTTGAACCATGTTTGCAGGCCTATTTTAGAGTAAGTAAGCTTTTTGCCAAATCTTTTTTTCATAAAGAGAGCTACAGCCCTCAGTCCAGTTCATTATGAAAGTCCTGCCATCTAACATAATGTAACAGAAAAAGAATACTAAGCCAATTACACATTGATTGCAGCATAGGAAGATAACTTGGCACAGTGCTAAATTTACCACCTATCAGAATGGTCATGATTGCTCAGTCATACGTGACTGTTACATAATGATGTAGGTACCATTTGATGGAGGACAAATAAGGCTTTTTGCTGTTGCCTTTGGATTTTAAAAAGATTGCTCAGGATTCTAGTAATTTGGTTTTGAAGTTGGGTATACTTTTTTGTGGACGCCCTGTATAGTCACGAAAGGTATTACGTAATGGGACTCCATGTGAAGGCTATCGTCGTGAAGGGGTTAATCATCCGACATACCTGTAGCATCCATAGCTGGGCAGGAGAAGACATCGCTATCACAAAATTCCCATTGATTTTGATTCAAGCACTCTGCAGAATCCCAGGGTTCACAAACTCCTAGACAAGTAGATATATAGATAAGTGATATATTTAGGGGTGTTGGATACGGGGTTAATCTCAAGGGAACTTCACTCCTATGCTATAAGGTATAGAATAGTTAATAAGTCATGGAAGGGGTAAAAATTGTATTTCAAGGGAAGACTTGTGAAATACATTTTCCATTTCTCTCCTAACTTCGATATCAAACAACAACATCTATGTCATCAAATATGTTGACTAAGTCACTTATTCTATATATCTCTAAGTTAAATGCACGTATGTTGATAATATGATACACAATGATAAGGGATTTTTTAACAATCCAAACTCTGACAACTTTAAATCCAGGTCCGTAGCCAGAATTTGCCAAGGGAGGGGGTCACTTTTTTCCTAAGGGGTTCACTTGTGACAATTTAGGTCTAAAAATGGCCAAAATCACCTAAAAAGTGCACAGAATGGTGTAAAACTGCATGATTTTGAAAGATTTTTTGACAAGGCGGGGGGGGGTTCTAACCCATCGAACCCCCCCCCCCCCGCCTGGCTACGGGCCTGTAATCTCTTTCAATAATATATTGCTTATACCTGGATGTGAAAGCCCAGTTGTAATTTTGGGTATGGAACCTTCAGTCCACGTACAATCGGGATCTCCAAGCTCAGCACCATTTGTTTTTCCATCATTGTCTGAATCGGCGTTACACAATGCTGCATTCCACACCTAAATATACACTCAACTCCATAAGTTTGACTCAATATACACTCCCCTCCATAAGTTTGACTTAATGTACACTCCCCTCCATAAGTTTGAATCAATGTACACTCCCCTCCATAAGTTTGACTCAATGTACACTCCCCTCCATAAGTTTGACTCAATGTACACTCCCCTCCATAAGTTTGACTCAATATACACTCCCCTCCATAAGTTTGACTCAATGTACACTCCCCTCCATAAGTTTGACTCAATGTACACTCCCCTCCATACGTTTGACTCAATTTACACGCCCCTCCATAAGTTTGACTCAATGTACACTCCCCTCCATAAGTTTGACTCAATGTACACTCCCCTTCATAAGTTTGACTCAATGTACACTCCCCTTCATAAGTTTGACTCAATGTACACTCCCCTCCATAAGTTTGACTCAATGTACACTCCCCTCCATAAGTTTGGCTCAATGTACACTCCCCTCCATAAGTTTGACTCAATATACACTCCCCTCCGTAAGTTTGAATCAATGTACACTCCCCTCCATAAGTTTGACCCAATGTACACTCCCCTCCATAAGTTTGGCTCAATGTACACTTCCCTCCATAAGTTTGACTCAATATACACTCCCCTCCGTAAGTTTGAATCAATGTACACTCCCCTCCATAAGTTTGACTCAATGTACACTCCCCTCCATAAGTTTGGCTCAATGTATACTCCCCTCCATAAGTTTGACTCAATGTACACTCCCCTCAATAAGTTTGACTCAATGTACACTCCCCTCCATAAGTTTGACTCAATATACACCCCTCTCCATAAGTTTGGCAACCGGAGATTTTCATTAGATACCATATCGAAGCATGTCGATGTTTAGATCTTTGTTTTGTTCATTCATTGCAATCATGTCGTTCGAATTTATGTTGAATGTGATGATTCATTTTAAATTACCAAACGCAAACAGGCTTCGATATGTGCTCCAAATGGGGACTTCCGGTTGACTTAACTATGGAGGGGAGGGGATTTTATCAGAATATATGGATCGCCCCTTGTATATACTGTATATTCAGAGTTGATGTTGACGAACCACCCTACCACATGTGTTCTCTTACATACTATAAGATGTCAGACGAGGTAGTTTATTTGAGGTATGGTAAATAGCTATATGTAGTGGTAAAAGTGTTGCTTTGACACAGGAGCTGTACCAAATAAAGCGTGACAGTTAACTCGCGGGGTAAGGTACAACACGAGGGTGATGAAAGAGCAAAAACTGATGTTTTCATTTCAGGTTTAACTATGGAATTCACTGTCTAGGGTGTTATTATAGAAAGGAGGAGGGAAATTAGCGCAACAGATTTTGGACAGGCATATGTTTGATTTTGGCCATTTCCTGAGGATTTAAACAGGTGGGTATGTTAGGTCAATGCATTACCTCCAGAATAATCACTTCTAGAGATGATGAAATAATTTCGACTTTGAGACAGGGTAGATGCAAACAACCCACCCACATGTTTTTTCTGAAATGTTTTCCTGATTTTCAACCCCTCCCATCCCTGCTTTTTAAATTTTTCTTGCATCAATATGTTGCGTCTTGACACACAGTTAATCCCTTAAAAGGAATAAATGATTCCTTTTAGATAAAGTGGAAAACAATATTTCCCATGTTATTTTCCCATTGCTTTCAGCTAAGTTTGGTCACCCATAATGGGTATCTTTAAAACCCATGGAGGAATCTCTTATTCCTTTAAAGTGGTCAACTATGTGTCAAAACACAACATATTGATGCAAGAAAAATTAAAAAAGCAGGGGTGGAAGGGGTCGAAAATTAGGAAATAATTTCAGAAAAAACATGTGGGTGGGTTGTTTGCATACCTGTCCCAAAGTCGAAATTATTTTATCATCTCTAGAAGTGATTATTACCTTAACCCGCGTGTTCAGCTGTCACGCTTAATTTGGTACACACCCTGTGTTTAAGTTCCTGAAGATTTAAGATCCTGAAGTGTAAATTTTCGTTTAGAGGCCTAATTTCTGTAGACCTATCTTTTTCCGGAACCCATGAGGATTAATCTATCCCATTTTATGAATTCTAACAAAACAAAAGAGGGTTCTATAACTCCCTTAAAAATATTTTAAAATGTATGAATCATGAAAAAGTTATCAAATAAATGTCGTTTTTTGCCCCATACTGGATATTTACACTTTTAGTATTACTTGCAATATAACACCGCCAATTGCTTTTTGAAGTAAAGGTACTGCACTTACTGCAAAAGTAAAGTACTTTTTCTAGCACGGAATTTTGCCCTCCTAGCTTGGATTTATGGATAGTCCAAACTTTTGATTTTGGTTTGAGTAATTGAATAATTTAAGTACCTTTCCGTTTGCTTCAAATGCCAATCCAAATGGGTTTCGGTCTCCACCACCCATCGCATTTTTGTGTCCTAATCCCTGCCATATGTAATTAGGCTTACAGGGGTGGGGAATGTTGTCTCCATTTGGTACCTTATCTTGGAAATACTTGTAGCCAACAACTGCATTCAATGTCGAAATCGTAAAGAACAATACGAACTTTTCAAAATTCATTTTTATCATTACAAAATGCCAATGCAACTAATTCCAGCTTGACCGGTGCAAGTTTTCCTTCGTATAATATTAAGTTTAAGAATTGGAACAACGTATTTGAATGTTTTATTGGAGAGATGTGAGGGCGGTAAGCATATAAAATCAGTTGATTAATATTTTGGAGTACGATGGTTGTTCAATAAATACGAAGATATAGAGATTGGACAGTTTGCATGTTCAAATATTTTAGTAATTATTGTACAACCCTCAATCATATACTATTGAGTTTAAGAACTGGGACAATGCAGTTGTAAAGAGAGGGCAGTAAAGATATAAAAGTGGATAATAAACCAAATGATTCATTTTAATTTTAAGTGCATGGTTGGTCAAATATATACAAGGATATGGGCAGTTTCTATGTTCAAATATTTTAGCAATTATCCTACATATATTATTGGGTTTAAGAACTGGGACAATGCAATTGTAAGTCTTATTGGAGAGGGCAGTAAAGAGGGCAGTATAAAAGTGGATAATAAACCAAATGATTCATTTTAATTTGAAGTACGTGGGTTGGTCACTATATACAAGGACATGGGCAGTTTCTATGTTGAAATATTTCTATAATTATTGGAAAACCTACATATATTATTGGGATTAAGAACTGGGACAATGTACTTGTACATTTTATTGGAGAGATGAGAGGGAATAAACAGATAGACGTGTTAAATAAACCAATTGACTCATTCTTTTTCGGTGAATAACCTCAGAGACATATATTTTACAGGGTGGTCCAAAAAAAGTGAACCCCTGCAACAGGCTACATTTTTCTTAATACATGCATAAATTGGCTCATATTATCACATGTTGTAGAGAAAGGTCTGAAATTTTGGTTGATGCCATAATTTATTCTCAGTCTTAAATTTTGAAGAAATTACAAGCGTTTAACAAACATGCCTGGAAATTAGATATTGTACAAAATTTTACAAAAGTGATTCACGAAAATTGTTGAAACACATTGGATGATCTTAAACAGCTTTCAGTTAGAGATACAAGTTTAAAACCCTACCATATGACAAAAGGGACACCATTCAAGCAGAAAACACATTTCACACTTTCATTGATCATTTTGAAGTATTTTTAACTGTTCAACAGTTCAGGGGTATGTTACCTACACCAACAGTTAGAGGAAGGCCTCTTATGGAAGGAAGTTTCCCCCTGTGGCCAGGAATCTGATAACCCCTTCATCAAATATCTTTAAAAAATCTAAAAAATCCAATATTCAATGTTTTGAGCCATAAATCATTAGAATTGGTCCATGATTTATGATGATATTGACATTTCAAGATCATATAGGGGTATGTTTATGATTTCACTGGAAAATGTTTTCATCTGTGGAAGCTTAGCACATCTCTTTGGATCATAATAACTTTGCAACTAACAAATGTAGGATGCTAGTTTTAAGCCATAATGTGCAGGATTTAAAATTGAACAAAGTCAGAAAATATTAGTTCTTTAAGACTGCAGCTCAAAAAATTCTCAGGGGAAAGGTGTTAAAGAGTTGAAGAATCGCGGATATTGAAAATCACAATTTGTCCATTTTCAGTAATGTTTGGTTAGGGCTTATAATTTCTGCAAATTTCATGACTAAGAAAAATGTATGGTACCAACATAAATTTTAGACCTTCCTCTACAACATGTGAAAATATAAAAGAATTCCTGCGAGTAATAAGGGAAATATGGCCAGTTGCAGGGGTTCACTTTTTTTGGACCACCCTGTATATGTCTCTGATAACCTCTTTCAGCCTGGGAATATTACCATTACATGTACTAGATTATATAACGTTTAATGGATAATTTTCTCCAAGTCAATTTCTACTTCTTGATTATTTATAATGTACATGCATTGTCATTGATATTTCAAGGTAATACAATAGGTGTGACTACGGTAGAACAACCCTCGAAACAATTGCCGGTCGTGTACACTATTGAAAACCATTGATATCTTTCTGAGGGAAGTATCCATGTGCTGGGAACCGGTTTGACCTGCGGACAGATTGTCCCAGGCCTGTAGTTAGTTCAGTGATCAAAGTCTCTGCGACACGGACTCGAACGGGGGATCTCTGTATCCACACTACAAATACTAGCAAATACTAATAGCTAAAATACCATGATTCTTGTACACTCCCCTCCATAAGTTTGGAAGTGGGAAGTCACCTCTTGGACATTGACATTGTTAGATAAACCATCAATAATGGAATTGTCAAAAGTTGCATTTATAAAATCAATTCCTGTCTCATCACTGTTACACCCATTACTACAAGATGTTGTCTCGACTAGATCACTGTCTGCAAGCTAAAAAAGTATCAAAATCACTGCCTGCTTTATCACAATAAACTTTTGTTACAAATAATTTCAGTAAAATGCAAATAGAAGGCCCATTTGATATTAATATGGAAAGATAGTCCACTTTGGTGTGGTAATTTTACTGCAACAACTACATATATATGTACATGTATAATGCCTTTTTATTCAAAAGTCAAACATTGTATTCCTATTCAACCTATTAAAGGATTTTTATATATCTGAATGATCGTTATATTCATTTTTGGCAAAGTAAATAATCATAGGGCTCACACAAGGATCAACTTTATTGAAGACTTTTTGTACTGGTATATGCCCTGCAGCTCTAAGAGCAAGAGCAATGAATTGCGAATTTTAGTTGAAACAATGAAACAAACACAATACCATCATTTTATTTGATATTTGACAAATAAAATTGTGTTAAACTTAGTATTTTTTTAAATCATCACTAAATATGAAAAAGTTGTAAATAAAGTGGATCCTTGTGTGATCCCTATAATTATTTACTTTGCCAAAAACTAACATAATGGTAATTGAAACATTTAGAAAACATTGAATACGTAAAATAGGAATATTATCATCAGCAACAGTGACTTTTGAATTAAAATGGCATTTCAAGGTCAGCAATATATAATTCTTCACCATTATTGTTTTTAATAAAAATGACCACACCCAAATAGACTATCATACATATCAATATCCAGTATGCCTCCTATTTCATCTACTCACTGCTATTATTTGAAAAACATGATTTTTTCAAACTCACATTTTTGACGGTTGCACCTTGGGGCAAGCCGTTTAGCCCTTTCGTGTCACCTTTTTAACTGCAGACAAGTGAAAATGAAAAGTCAATGAACCAATCTATAATGACTATTTGCCACTTCTTAGTAATCTACCTCAACATTGGTTTAGACTAACTAAGCCACTTTGGAAGCGATTTGGCGCATACTATTAGCTTTTGTGCTTGATTTTAAGTGTAACAATGCATGGTTCAAAATCTAGAGGAAACAGTGGATTACGTAATTACCATGACACTTTTTGACATATTTTAGGAAAAAACACCGGCGGATCCAAAAGCTAGCAAGGGAAGAAGGCATATTTTGAATCATAAAAAGGTTTCTGCTCAAAAGAATTTGGGCCCTTAAAACCAAAAAGTGGTCCCAAATTTTGAAAATTTAAGGCCCATTTCTTGATAATTTGGCCTAAAAGAGCCAAATTATCCCCAAAAGATCCATTTTTTGAGGCCCTACAAAACTTTGGGGCCAACATTTTTTGACACCCTAAAAATAGTTTTGGGGCCAATAAAAGGCCCCATGCCCACCCCTACCCCCCCTACCCTCTGGATGCGCCAGTGAATATAATACGCGGCGAAAGAGAAACACAATATTGTTGAATCAAAAATTTATTAAAAGCAAAACAAAATATTGCCGACTTTATTAAGGCTAGTATACATGTACAACTAACGGTGATATAACAGTAGCACACACACGTCATTGCGCTCTCTAGAATGTTTCATTTTTCAAGAATGTTCTCAGATCACAAGGGCCCTTAATCTTACGTCGATGCCGTTAAGAAACCTCCTGTACAGTCAACTACCGTGACGAGAAAACGACAATATAGATCTACATGTACGAGGAACCCAAAACACCGCGGGCTGCACGGTGTCAGACGAGAAAAAACATGCACTCTATATGTAAGAAATATTGCCATGGAGTCTGATGAGACCCCCAGTGATCTTGAAAAGCAAATGTTAGATACTATGAGTCAATTGAACATTAGGGCTTATAATGTTAAGGTGGTGAAAAATAAGTATGCAGATGACACTGTGGGCATACGCCTTAATGTCACTGAGGAAAACAAATACTATTTAATGTATGACTATGAATGGCCAGAATATGTGACATGCAGGGAGTGGTTCCGTAAATCTGGTCCCAGTTATTTCGGTCCCCGATTACGGGCTAAAGCCGTCGGTGATAGCATTTGGTCCGTCAATGATGATGGAAACTAAGGATTGTATTGTTATAACACTTAATATTCAATATGCCCGCACATACAATAAAGATCCTGTTTATAGTCTGCGCACTGGTATCTTTTCAAAAACCAAACGGTACTTCACATTTTTTTAACAAAATAAGTGGATCTGAATTTGAATCAGGCATAAATATATGCTCATGGAATGCTAATGGGCTTGGAACTTCAATCCCATATCTTTCTAAGTTAATGCAGAGTAATGATATTATCCTCTTACAGGAGCATTGGTTACATCAACATTCAAAACATATTTTGGAAAACGTTAACCAGGATTTTTACTGTGAATGCTTTGAATCTAGTCCGGACTTATGTCCATTAAATAAAGGTCACATGATTGGTCATGGCGGTATTGCCATTATGGTTAATAGATCTTTGCAGGCAGTGGTATCTAAAGTTAATCTTAAGATTAAATACAAGGATAGAATATGTGCGGTTAGCATGCAATGTAATAATAACACACGTGTTATATTATTTTGTGTTTATCTACCACTAACAGAATTGTAAAAAGGTTAATTATGTTTAGGTGCTTGATGAGCTGGATACATGTGTGTCCTCCTTAATGGCGGATAGCGATATTATCATATTTGGTGATATAAATGCATGCATTGATGGTTTATGTGGAGATCGTGGTCAGACCTGTGCCTCGCGTAATGGTTTTAAGTTTCATGAATTTATGCAGAGGAATGGCCTGATGGCTATCGACATGTATAATGATTTGTGGAAAGGGCCTAATTACACTTTTAACAGGGATTACTTGGGGACCTCTTACATTGATCATTGTGTTATATCAAGCACTTTTTATAGATATGTTAATGGGGGGATTACAAATGAAGATGAACTACTCAACACATCAGATCATCTGTCCTTAGTTGTAAATGTAAACTTATCAAATATAAACGTTTTCAATGCTGGTAATAGTGCACCTGGAAATAATTTTCGCAATGCATGGGATAAGCTTTCAAAATGTGACATTGAAGAATTATTTACCAAGGGTGTTAGTCAGGTTCTTGCGGAAATTAAGATTAACCTCGAGAATAAAATTTTAGATTGTGACGTCAGTAAAGAGTATATAGATTCTGTGTTAAACCATGTTACGGATGTCCTTAAATCTGTTTCCAATGATAGAATTCCCAAAAGGAAATATAACAAGAGACTTAAACCTTATTGGAATTCTAGCATTAAAGACCTTATGAAAGCCAAAAATAAAATCTGGTCAGAGTGGAAAAGAAGTGGTATGCATCGTGGTAACAATGCTTTTTGGTTAAGATACAAAGATGCCAAAAGAGCATTTAGACGTGCCTTGAGACAGGCTGAGGTAGAATATAATATTAATTGTCAGAAAGATATTGATGAAAGTCAAGATATAGATGCAAGGTACTACTGGTTTTTGGCCAATAGGCACAAGAAATCTGGGAAAAATTCCAATTGTATTAGAAATGACCACGGTATAGTACTTCAAGAGCCAGATGCTGTAAGGCAAGAATGGTCTAATTATTTTAGTCAGCTTTTTACTCCAAAGGAATGTGATAATTTTGACACAGATTTTAAAGCACATGTTAATGCAATGATGGACTTAATGAAGCGTGGATATTCAGAAAATAATGATGGCTCATTTAATGAATGTTTTGTTGAGAATGATCTGGCCATGGCAATTAAATCCTTTAATTGTAATAAAGCATGTGGCATAGATGGTATCTCAGCAGAGCACTTAAAGTATGGTGGTGAGACCCTTATCGAGGTCCTTACTATGATTTTTAATTGTATGTTTAAACTTGAGTATGTCCCGTGCAGTTTAAAGCTTGGTGTCATAATTACGTTATACAAGGGTAATAACAAGGATATCTTAGACAAGGATAACCACAGGGGTATTACTCTCATGTGTTCGTATAGCAAAATTCTAGACAGATTAATACTTGAACGGAGTAAACTATGTGGTGATTTTTGTCGATCCAAATTACAGTATGCTGCACAGCCTGGCGCTTCTTGTCTTGACACGTCGTTAATACTAAGGGAGACTATTGCAAATCAATTAGAAAATGGGTCTGAGGCTTACGCTCTGGCTATTGATGTTAAAAAAGCTTTTGATACTGTGTGGTTAAATGGCTTAATGTACATTTTGTATAACCAGGGTATAAATGGCAAATTATGGAAGATGATCCTTGAAACTTATGAAGGTTATGAATGCTGTGTCAGAGTAAAGGGTAAATGTAGTGAAAAATTTATTGTAAGTCAGGGCGTTCATCAGGGAGGGGTTTTATCAATGGAATTATATGTACGATTCATGAATCCCTTATTGGAAGAGCTCGTTAACTCTGGGCTAGGCTGTGCTATACGAGGAATGTCATGTTGTGCTCCATTCTATGCAGATGACACCATTTTAATTTCGTCTTTTAGAAATACCATGCAATCAATGTTAAATATAGTTTATAACTACGCCAATAGGTGGCGTTTTCAGATTCATCCCAAAAAATGCTCTGCAGTTCATTTTGTTAAAGGGAGGAATAAAGACGTACTCCCTTTTAATTTCGGGTTAGACAATATTGCCATTGTAAATGAACTTGTTCATTTAGGACTCCCTGTTACACAGAGAGACATTGGTTACCACATTGAGAATGGTATTTCTAAAGGGAGAAGGAATTTATATGCTACAGTCGACTGTATAACTCCTGAAAATTGTACTGTAAACCCTCTATCAGCTTCCAAACTGTACTGGGCAGTGTCAATTCCCACAGTTCTTTATGGAGCAGAGGTTCTTGAATACAATGACTCCAGCCTGGGTAAACTAGAACGTTTCCATACCCAAACAGCTAAAAATATTCAAGGTTTACCAAAACATACAACAGATTGTGCATCTTTGTCACAGATAGGCTGGTGTGACATCAGTGAAGTTATTGCAATGAAGAAACTCATGTTCTTTTGGCATATATTTAACACTTGTGCTGGTCAATGTAAAGCTGTGAGTATTGCTCGATGGTACATCCTACTTTTTAAAATATTTATCGTAGGGATGTCAGTGTCATCACCTATAGCTGAAATAATCAAACTAGGTACAAGGTTTAATCTCTTAGATAAAATGAAGAGCTATATCGACCAAGGTATTTTCCCCAAAAAGCGTCATTGGAAGAAAATTTCTAAAAATGCGGTATCCAATTACTACATAAATAGATGGCATCTAAAATGCATGATGTATACTAAGATTAAGACATACAGAGATGTCGTCAATAATCGAGTTCCAATAATATGGTACCAATTATGTAAATTTAGGCCTGACCTCATTTTCAAATGTAAGTTTATGGTACGGCTTCTGGTGGGGGAAGCCATTGGAAGGTATGCAGAAGCTAAAGAAAATAGATTGTGTCCTTTATGTGGAGAGTGTGAAACATTAATTCATTTTATAAAGGATTGTTCTGAACTTAAGAGTCGTCGATTATTATTAAAACCCCTTATTGACAAATATGGGGATGGCGTATTGCCCTTTATCTTCGCTCCAGATGAGCAGGATGACTGTATATTTATTGTTAACACTTTGTATGCGATGTACCAACATCGAACAAACGCCATTTTGTAAATATCATGATACAAATGATGCTGGTAGTTTACTGATATCGAATAAGTTAAAACTGGTCCGTCAGCCATTCTTTCCGTGGAACTACATTGCGGGCGACGCCCATTCTTCAATGGAAAACATTGTTTCGCAACTCTCTGCTGCTCATTTGCCAGGAATCATGGTTAGAACCAATTTTTCAAGTCTATGACGTGAAGATTTATAGGGTGGGAGAAGTTGATATTTTCTACTATTTTCTACTTAATGATTATTGAAAACCTTCTTATTACATGCATATGTGGGTGTAGTCTAAATCAGCTTTCATTTCTTCATGCATATTAAAGGGACTCAGTCCCTTTTTAATTTCAGATTTTTAAATAAACTGAAACCTGAAAAATCAGAATAACGCACAATTTATCACCCAGACCGTTTTGGTGAGCAATCATTTTGAAGTCTTGGTATTTTCAGGAAGAAATTATGTACCAAAATTAGATCGATGGTACAACTTGAATTGCAGGTTGTTGCGAATTTTAGAAATTGCTGTAGGCTATTGAAGGGACCGAGCGAGCCCCTTAAAGCATGGATTGTGTTTGTGCCGAAGAATAACGTGAGGTTTGATACTTTCGTATATTGTCAATACTGCCATTTCCAGCTATCTGAAAAAAGAGAAAATTAAATTCATATTACAGAATACACATATGCCGATTTTCTCAAATCACCTAGAATGGCAGGACAGTTTGTTTATAAGCAATTGATAAGGATTTTTAGACTTAAAAGATGAAAATATATAAAAAGTAGACACCCTTTTTGAATTCTAATGAAATGGAGAGTACCTGTTAGAATGGCTGTCATTTTACTCCAAATATTTTACAGTGACCAAATCTGGATGTGTACTAATGATGGCGTTGTCGTGGTGATCCAGCATAACAACAGTTGGGTTCTTCACTTTCCCAGGGGTTGCTAGGTATTTGACGAATTTTCCTTTATCATCAAGAATGAGGGTCCTGTTGTTGGTATAGTCAGCCACTAGAACGTAATCATTTGCATCGATCGTCATTCCCCATGGATTACGCATTTGCCCGTTCCCTGTACCGTACGATCCAAAGCTGAAAATCTCGCCATCGTTCAATGTGAAACCTTTCACAAGCGATTTATTGTAATCGGAAACTACAACAATGTTGTTGCTAGTAATGACGACATTTTCTGGATGATCGAACTTTCCTTTCCCGATGGTAGCCACTTGAGCGCCAGTATCGCTTTCGATAAGAAATACACATTTGGCTCCTTTGTCCGTCACAAGTAGTTGTCCCTTCGGGGCAGCGCATATACCGTGGGGAATTTGGAAATTGCCAATGCTCTTTACACGGGCCAGGTTCTTATCGAAAATAGTGATGCATTTATTTTTAGAATCCGTTGCTGCATAACGGTTTCCTTGGATACGACAGACATCGTAGAATGTGCCATCTGCTGTACTAGTATGTTGTTTAACGAAACTGTCGGCATCGTAGGTGTAGATATGAGAAGAGGTACAACCTACGATGTTGTTGTCATGCCCTATAGAGCCTCCCGTAAAGACTGTGCCCACATTCATTCTGTTTTCGACCTTCGGCTCGCACAAATTCCTCAGATCCCGTTTTACATGACCCATGTTCGTTAGGTTAAGGGTTCCCGGTTCATAGGTGAACGTATGCATTTCTACGGTATCTTTTTCAGGCAGTTCTTTCCAATCGTTTAGCTTCTTTGCTGTTCCTTTGCTAGCTCTCATGATTTCAATAGGATGGCCGTCGTTAATAAGATCAGTCGCTGCTTGTTTAGTGTCTTCGGTAATATTAATGTCACCTTCTATGACTCTTTGTTTGGCTTTCTTCTTATCAACTTCCACATCAGTTTTAGCCTTTGCATCATTACGTAGCATATCGAAATGTTGTTCCAGCTCACGACGTTTGGCGTCATAGTCGGCATTAATGGCGTCTAAAAGCGCTCTGGTTTTTCGACCATACTCTTGCAAAGCTTCCGTCGAGTCTTCTAGATTGTCATCGAGCAGTGCCTTTCGCTGGATAGCAAGTCCTTGCAAAAGTCTAAGATTAGTTTTCTCGTCATCTGCTGCTTCTTCGATATCCACGATATTGTGACCAGGATGGTCTTCTCTTGCACAGACGTTACATACGACGGTTTGGTCATCAGTACAGAACAAATTCAGCTCTTCGTCGGTGTGTTTGTCGCAATTGACGTCGCGTAATTTACTCTCTTTTCTGGCCCTCTCTCTGTCTTTTTTGGAATCTCCAGTTAGCTTATACACTTGGTGTGATTTCGTCTGCGTGAATCTTCGGTGTGCCCTTTCACAGTACTTGCATAAGAACGTTGCGCATTCGATACAACGTGACTCGGCCGTGGTTGTATCGCCACTTTCCTTGCATATATCGCACAAAATAGAATCCATCGTAGTTTGGAGTGGTGTGAAAGGAACAACTGTAGTTCTGTAACATAAAAGTACATACAAGTAGTGTCATTCATTTATCAATGCAGTGTCTTCATTGTTGAGTCAAACATTATCATTAACAATCTTCACCACTCTGTGATAACTCTCCGCTCTTCTGCAATGTAATCACTTCTCTGCCATATAATTACCACTCTGAAATACAATAGCTTCTTTGTTATAAAATCACCACTCTGCAATACTGTCAACAATCTGCAGTACAGTCACCAATCTACAATCCAAAATGTTTCTTTGTTATAAAATCACTCTGAAATGCAATCCCAATTCCGCAATACAGACCAATCTGCAAAGCAATAGCTTCTCTGTAATATCACAATTCTGCAAAACAGTCACCAATCTACAATGCAATATCTCCTCTGTAATAAAATCACCACACTGCAATAAAATGAATACTCTGGAATACAGTCAACACAATCTATTTAGAACTATTTAATTGTATTTTACAAACATGCGAAGAGTCTTATGCGAACAAGTAAATAGTCTAATACGAACATGCAAAGATACTAGAATAGTACGAACAAGTAAAGAGTCGAATACGAACAATTAAAGAGTCTAATGCGAACATGCAAAGAGATTAATACGAAAAAGTAAATAGTTCAATACGAAGATGCAAAGAATCTAATACGAGCTAGTAAATAGTCTAATAAGATAACACAAAGAGTCGAATACGAACAAGTAAATAGTCTAATACCTACATGCAAATAGCTGAATACGAACAAGTAAAGAGTCTAAAAGGAACATGCAAATAATCTAATACGAACAACTTAATAGTCTGATACGATCATGCAAAGAGTCGAATACGAACAAGTAAATAGTCTAATAAGAACATGCAAAGAGTTGAATACGAACAAGTAAAGAGTCTAATACGAATAAGTAAAGATACTAAAACGAACATGCAAAGAGTGTAATACGAAGAAGTAAAAAGTCTAATACGAACATGCAAAGAGCTTAGTACGAACAAGTAAATTGTCTAATACGAACATACAAAGAGTCTAATACGAACAAGTAAATAATCTAATACGAACATGCAAAGGGTCGAATACGAACAAGTAAATAGTCTAATAAGAACATGCAAAGAGTTGAATACGAACAAGTAAATAGTCTTATACGAGCATGCAGAGTCTAATACGAATAAGTAAAGATACTAAAACGAACATGCAAAGAGCCTAATACGAAGAAGTAAAAAGTCTAAGACGAACATGCAAAGAGTTTAGTACGAACAAGTAAATTGTCTAATACGAACATGCAAAGAGCCTAATACGAACAAGTAAAGGGTCGAATACGAAGAAGTAAAAAGTCTAATACGAACATGCAAAGAGTTTAGTACGAACAAGTAAATAGTCTAATACGAACATGCAAAGAGCCTAATACGAACAAGTAAAGGGTCGAATACGAACAAGCAAATAGTCTAATACAAAATGCAGAGGGTCGAATACGAAGAAGTAAAAAGTCTAATACGAACATGCAAAGAGTTTAGTACGAACAAGTAAATAGTCTAATACGAACATACAAAGAGTCTAATACGAACAAGTAAATAATCTAATACGAACATGCAAAGGGTCGAATACGAACAAGTAAATAGTCTAATACGAACATGCAAAGAGCCTAATACGAACAAGTAAAGGGTCGAATACGAACAAGCAAATAGTCTAATACAAAATGCAGAGGGTCGAATACGAACAAGTAAAGAGTCTATGAACGACCATGCAAAGAGTCTAATACGAACTAATAAATATTCTAATACGAACATGCAAAGAGTCGAATACGAACAAGTAAAGAGTCTAATAGTCTAATACGAACAAGTAAAAAGCCTAATAAGAAGATGTACATAGACGCTAACAAAATCAAGTTCACATGTATAGTCAATTCAGAACAAGTCTAATACGAACACGTAAATAGAATGTATACTCTAACAAAAATCATGTAAACGTCTATTAAGAATAGGAAAAGAGTCTAATATGCAGAAGTAAATAGTCGAATTGGAAAAATTAAGACAATAAAAAGAACAAATAAAGTGTCTAACAACAATAAGTCAAGAGTCTAATGAGAACAAGTAAACGGTCTAATAAGATATTCCGACAAAGCTAAATGTTGATAAATTGAGAAATATTTACAAATAATTTTTTGCACTTTTATAAAAAACAATAACATTGTCAATATGTTAACTACATGAAGAGCTATATTGAGAGCTATATTATGTTATCATAATATTATAAATATCTTTAGATGTTACCTCAATCAATGCGTCTAACTGTCCTCAAATGTGTCTGCCCGATGCTGTCCCTGCTTTTGAGTTTAAATGTTGTACGTTTCTTTATATAGCACTACGGTTCTCACGGGGCTTGCCATCTATCGATCCGATCATATACATTTTCTAAAGTTATTTACTTGATGTGTTGTATTTCGAAGAAAAATGAATAAGATACAAACATAACACTCCTGCTAACAAATGTTCTCAAGGTTGATTTCTGAGTAAAGCGCGCAGTGATGGTCACCCCAACCCTCTGATTTACGCTATCTACGCCTACGCCATAGTCGCGAAACTTGTGAATCAAGACACCACCTACTCCATTTTCTCGCTAAACGAAACGGAGCTCCTTGTCCCACATAAAGGAAAGACAATTTAACACAATACCTAGAAATGGCATTAATTTTGACGTGAGAAAAGATATTCTAATTTTTCCTTCTCATTTCATAATCTTTAAATACAAAATAGAGTTAAAACATTTTTGAGGGACGAAGAATCACAGATGGCAAAAATTGGGAATATGCTTTACAAAATATCATGTATGGAGTTTAAAAAAAGTGTTTGATTGTTTATCGTTTTTTAATACCTACCTCTGCAAAAAACATTGTACTTTTTACATATACATAGAACTACACTCCCCTCCCAGAGTTTGGAAACTGTTTGTGTTTTAATTTGAATTACATACTAGGTCAGAAGTACATTTAAAATTTGATGAATTTTCGAAAATTGCCAAACTCAAACAGAAGCAAGTCACCTGCTTGTATCAGCGTGACATTGGCCCAATTTGATAACATATCATCCCGGCTATAGTGTGTCTGAAATGTGTATCCTGAGTCGCACTGGAGGATCCAGGGGGTGGGGGGGAAGGGGCGGGGCATGGGGCCCCGTTGAGTGGGCCCAGAAAAAAATTGGTTCAAAAAATATTTTGGGCCCAAAAGTTCTGTAGCGCCTCAACTAGTGGAGGGCCTCAATTAGTGGGCCTTTTGGCATAACTTAACCTTCCTTGGGCCTTTTAAAGCTAAATCACCAAAGGATGGGGCTTATGTATTTATTTTCCTGGAAATCTGCCCCCCCCCCTTCTTAACTTCTGGATCCGCAAGTGAGTCGCTACACACTGCATTGTCTATGGACACCAACGTATCACTTGTGGGCCATGTGCTTTGATTGACTAAGAACTGTGTCAGTCAGAGGGGGCGGGTTGGATCGGTCTGATATAGAAGTAGTCCCTTATACTCGTGTAATCAATACTATCTTAGGCCCGTGCGTTTAAGGTAGGATATGATTGTCTGGGTCCCCGTGACTTGTCGAATTTATTGTCCTCGAATTGTGATCTCCACCTCTGCAGGTCATACTTCAATTTAGAATTTTTAGATTGGGACGTCAAGCATTCTAGGGATCTTCGAAAGATATACATGAACTAGTCTCAGGATATACGGAGCAAAAAACAATAAATATTGAAATAAGCCGAGTTACAACTTTTCCTTAAATATTGGGATAGTACAGTCAAATCAAGTAACTAAGTCAACATTCGAAATAAAAAAACTCAAAAATCGTATATCTTTGATATCTAAAATAATTTGTGAGGTGGTTATGAAGATAATAATACACATTTTAAGTTTTGAGTACATCTCGAATCAATGCTCCTTAAAAAATTCCTTTGGGAACAAGATATACCTGTAGAATCAAAAGCATATATTCTTCTTATTTACTCCCTGACACATGCCAACGAATGCTACGTAAGTAAGTATCTCTGTTTTAGATAATCTTGTAAACGTTGTTCTCTACAGGTGACATTTTCAATAATTTTTTCTAAATTGATAAGTTTCTTGGAATACAACCGCAGCTAGTTTTAGTCATGATTCACTTTTTTCTCAGCCAATACTCAACCAATACCTCGTATAACATAAACACATCAATATAAAAAAATTCAACAAAACCTATACATGTTCGTTACAGGGCATTCGCTTATTACTCAGATATGCATGACGTTGACAGTCTGTGTAAGAGCATGGTGATGAAATTACAATTCGTCTCTAAGTTTCAAAATCTCTGTTTTCAAAACTGTTTGGAAAATGTCATCATGATAAATCATGACATCTCATTTCTTCTCAGCCCTGAGATATTTCAGGTGACACAGAAAGATGCTTTGAGTATCAGAATGGGAAAATGTCGATTTTCACATGATAACATCAGTATTGCACGCTTTACAGGGCGTCCACAAAAAGTATACCCAACTTCAAAGCCAGGATACTACAATTCTGAGCATTTTTCTAAAAATACAAAGGTAGCAGTAAAAGGCCTATTTTGTTCCCCATCCAATGGTACCTAGATCATTATGTAACTGTCATGGATGACTGGCAATCGTGTCCAAAGTGTCCAACTACATGCTATACTATATGTAAGGGAACATGGGGCAAAACGGCCCTAAAAATTTAATTTAAAGTTGTTCTGTACGGGGTATTTTCTTATCTGTCAATCATCGTGCACTTTGATGTTCCACTTTATCAATGGTTTGTGGTTTACATTTTTCGAGTGTTTTATACTTTCCTAGGACTATCTTCTGTGATTTTTCAATGGTCAAAAATAGTGTCGAGAGTTTGGCAAAACGGCCCATGGGTGGGGCAAAACGGCCCACCCTCTGTTACATGGGTTTTAAAACCAGAATTAATCAATTACAAGACTCGTCCACACACATATTATCTCAGACCTTCAAACCTTTGACAGATAAAGTATTCTTAACCCCTAACATAATTCTAGTCATTCGATATGTGTCGAAAGGAAATAAGGTACAAGCCAAATGTTAAAATCGTTATATTTGAAAACCAATTGCTCTTGCACTATAAGATTTTTGTATGTTATAACATGTGTGGGCCGTTTTGCCCCAAAGACTTGTGAATTTTCAAATAGACGTCGTTTTAATTTGCCTAATATTTGAAGCTCGAAATTTTTACAAATAAAGAATAAATGTGCATACTCGAACTCTATGTTAAATCAAAAAGATATTCTATTGTTGCCGGATTTTTTAGAGATTCTCGTTGGAGGGGTAATTTACAAAAGAGGGTGAAAAGTAGAATTACCTCTTACTTAAAGCGAGACGCTGCTTGGTTAAATTTCAAAATTCGATTATGTGACTTTTGAAGAACCTTTTTTTATAGTTTAAAAGATATTTCGATGGGCCACTTTGCCCCAGAGGGCCGTTTTGCCCCATGTTCCCCTACATAAAACTATATGTTTTCCTATTTTTCAACTTTTATATATTTTATCGCAATTTCATATAAAACGTCCAACACAGTTTATATGGTTTATAGATAATGTATTGCTGTACGGTTTGCCCAAGGGCATAAGTACAAATAAACCCTATAATAACATAGAAAAGCATGCATAGTTGATGTTATGACTAAAATATATAAAACGTAGACATTTGAAAAAATGAAATCAAATCATTTTGGTACCAGCATTTAACGCTAATAACACGAGGTGAGTGGCTAGATCCTCGTTTGTAAGAAAATGTCGCATTGTGTTATTTTCTATCTTGTTTTAATATACAGTTTTGCACCTACATGTACATGTAGTCTGCCTCTTCTTACTCTCAACACAGTTGAGATATAATGTTTGTATATCATAAGGTGGGGGGGGGTACAATATCTCTTGATTCGAGATTAAAATATAAGCATTTTGAAAAACGTCTTTATCTATGTACAAAAGGTTGCACATTGGTGCAAGTTGTATTGAAATATCTATTGATTTGTGTACTAGTTTAAAATTACTGATTATGCGTTTTGCACAAAAAATGTCCATCGATTTGTGAGCAGGCTGTTGTTTTGGGTAAGGTGGTCATGATGCGGGATATATTGTTGCTTCATTCCAATACGTCCATCTATTGGCAGGTGTATACAGTCTGAAAAAAGATTAATTAATATACGAATAACCCAAAATTGCTGTATCAATACAGACATTTTGCAGCTTTTGCTACTTTTCAAAAAAAAATCCAGGGATGATTTTTTGAAATCATTGCATGCTTTTAAAAGTTTTTGGCCGGGGGCCTGTGTTGTTCTGGGTACCACATCTAGTCGTTGTATTGAAAAAATCAAGTTTGCAAAAATCAGGAATTTATTTTGAGAAGAGCTAGCTGCCGCAATATCGTTTATCGTTTATCGATTCGCAGTTATTCAAGTCGCATAACAAACTAAATGAGTTTAAGTACAAACTAAAGTACAAGGAATTGACATGCAAAATGCCACGACCTGTTATTTGTTACTGTCGCCGAAGACCAACCGCCGAACACCGTCAACAAAAAAGTTCAAAACAATAACAATATATGTCACCATTTCTGGTGGTTACATGAGACTGAATTGTGTATATCAACTATACGCTTTGTTACATTATCCCTGAATATTATCGAGTATTACTGAAGTCTTTTAATTTATGTGGCTTATAGTATTAGACTTACCTGTATCTACTTTAAGTAGTCAACGGTGACTAACTCCGTGTTCCTCCCAATGACGGCATTGTTGCGATAGTCCGTCAGCACTGCTTTGGGGCCATTTACTTGGTCGGATGGCGTCGTGAGAAACTGGAGGAATTTCCCACAGTGCGCAAAAATGATGACTCGGTTGTTTCCGAAGTCAGTGATGATAATATTGTCGCATTTATCGATGGTGACCCCGCGTGGCTTACATAGCTGGCTTCCACCACAATTGCCAGCCGTGCTGATACTGAATAGCTGGCAACCCTGCATATTGAACGCCTTCACAACGTTGGCTTCGTAATCAGTGACAAAGACGACGTTGTTACTGTTTACGGCGACATGTTCCGGATGGCGGAATTGGCCTTGTCCAATAGTAGCACATATGGATCCGTTACTGCTGTCGACGAGATAGACGCACTTGGCTACTTTATCGGTCACCAGAAGTTGGCCGTCTGATGTCGCACATATCCCATGGGGATATTGAAAATGCCCAATGGATTTTACACGACAGAGGTGTTCATCAAAGATGGCGATGCATTTGTTTCTGGAATCAGTCGCAGCGTATTGGTTGCAGTTGATTCGGCAGACATCGTAGTATGACCCCCCGGCCGCGCTAGTACATCGCCTGTTGAGCGAATCGGCATCGTACGTGTAGATATGGTTCGAACAACAGACCACGATATTATTGCCGTGCCCAATAGAGCCTCCAAGTATATTCACACCCACGTTACATCTTCTTTGAATCTTTGGGTTACTCAATGTCGAGCATGCCATTGTGATTTAGATTGACAATAGATTCCCGAGGTTCAGTTCTGAAATGAAATATTTGTGATGTAGTATACGTATGTATAAAGTCGAATATAGTTTTGGATTTAGGTCCATCAGAAACAAAACGATCAAACAAAACAGTATTAAAACTATAAAGAGTATCACAATAATCTGCACTGATCATTCAGAACATAATTTTTGCTACAGTAAATTTTAAAATGTTTGGAACTACTTTTCATCTAAAAAATAAGCAAATCAAGGATCATATTGGAACAGAATATGTAAAAATAGAAACATTTATACATGTCCTAACTTTTGTATATTTTAGTTTGTTTTGTATAGTTTAGCTTTCGTATCTGTGGCCTCTTATATATTGATGCTTCTCTGCCATATTATTTTCGAAAAATTAACATAGCTGAAACTCCCTAAATTACAAAAGACCACAGCTTTGCTGCACATTATACATAACTATCTGAAATATACAAAAAGTTAGAACTTGTACATATGTTTCCATTTTTTCATTTACTGTTGTTGCAATATAGTCATTTGATTGCTTATTTTTTAGGTATTTTTTAAATTCAAAGTTGTTCCAAACATTTAAAATTTTACTGTAGTCGGATAAGCTAAAAACGAATTGCTTTATCCCAGTATGAAAACAAACCAAATGTCATTGCAAGTGTCGTATACACCTGTACCATGTATACCATTTCGACTTTTTTCCCAAAATGTAAATGTATAGCTATCTATAGACTGGAACAAGAAAAGTAAAGATCACTTACCAAGGAATATTTCTGATTCAAAAGTTAAACTCATCAAGTTAAAATTCATTTTTTCCAGTGCAAATCTGAACATTTTCTCCAAATATTAATTAAATTAAATTCATACGTTATTCTGAACGAATTGAAATAATTAAAAAATGTTTCCCAATGACAAAACTATCTAGAAATGAAATCGTACCTTAAAGTTCGGTTTTATCGAGACCTCTTGAATTCGTTAGATTTTTTCCCGCTCCCGATCATGCAAATAGTGTTCATTATGATCTGACATTGTCCAGTTTTCCCTTTTTATAGCACCAATGTAACACTCCTTTGCATGACCATTGTCTATAAATATAATCCGTTTGAGAGCACTTCCCAAGTTCTCGTAATTTACGACATTGAACCCCTTTCTTACCTTAAGTAAGCAAACAACCGCAGTAAGGCGTGGGTGCCTAAGTAAAACGATCTTGGCGTAGACGTCAACCTCCTTTTGGACAACGGCCCCATGAATATTTTAAACAACTTCTACTTAGCTTACTCATATGTTTCCAAGAAATAAGAACTGATTGATCGACAATGATTGTTCGAGATAACTGCATTGGTATTTTTGCAATTATCAGCGTGACTCAAGTAAACGTTGTCTTTTCATCGAAAGTGTAGAACGCATCATCATGATGGTACTAAGTTTGAAATTTCAGTTCCGCTGAACTTTTAACATACATCTTGTAATTCCGGTGGCCATTTTGACAGTTCTAGTCATCCCGATTCATACTTTACTAATTCTGGGGCCATTTTGCTCTAGTAATTTGACCCGGCCGTGTATTATATTGAAGAATTAAATGAAAATCCTTACTTTTAAAAGTTAATTGCTTTGAATAAAAAGTTAAAAAATCGTATTTTTTATTCCGGGTTTTAGATATAGACTCTTGCAATTGATTAAAAAATATGAAAGACCTTTGAACTCAGTTTGTTACATTCTAAATGTAGACAATATTCCATACAGCAAAACGCTTGATTGACTCCAACAACTAATCCTTTCAAAGAATTTAGCAATTCTTTCAAAGAATGTTGGAAGTCAATCCTCTTTGTCACAAAGTGAAATCTATCCTATCAACATTCTTTTGGAAAAGCTGAACTGCATCTTAACCTTTTAAATATTCATTTTAATTTTGATGATGAACTTTAGCCTGTTAAATACCTTGAATAACGGACGGATATATAAGTCTAAATGAAAAGACTACTTGGAACCCAGATTGTCAGATTTTTCAAAGGAAGCAGGCCGGTAGCCAGGGTGAGGGGTTCGAACCCCCCTGGCCAAAACTTCTTTCAAAATCATGCAGTTTTTCATCATTCTGAACACATTTTAAGTGATTTTGGCCATTTTTGGACCAAAATTGTCAAAAGTGAACCCCCCTGGAAATTTTCAAAAAAGTAACCCCCCCCCCCTTGGCAAATCCTGGCTACGGGCCTGGGAAGTATTCTACATTGATTTAATCATTTCTAATATTGCAGTTCAATGTAGAAGTGGCATACTCTTTAAAAGAAATTGATGTGAATATTTTTTCAAAATCTACTAAAGTGGATCTGATAACCTTTTAATCCCATCTAACAAATTTCTACTTAAACAGGATATAATTATTTACTACCATCATTGTTTATTTATTTTCACATACCACTCAAATTAAAGTTAAGAATCCAATTATTGAATAGTAACACAATTACTGAATATTCTTCTCCGTCAATATCCATTTTAATGGTAACATCTTCATTGAAATGGCAAAATTCAAACTAAGGCATATTCCAGTGATCTCAACATGATTTTTTTTTCTCAAGTGAGTGCAATACTCTCATTTTCACAATTCAGATCAAAAATGGTCAAAATATGCCAATTTTTCATGATTTTTCTCATTTTCAAGTGGGTGCAAATGGATTTTCAAGTGGTTGCAAGCCTATTTTATTAATCTCAGGTGGGTGCTGCGCCCACTTGCTTTAATGCTAGGGAGATCTAAGCATTCCTGAAAATCTAAAATCAGTATGCAGGTATATCAAGTGGCTTGACTGGAAATGCACAGAAAAAGAAAGGGGAGACCCAGTCCACCAAGCAGGTGACAATATTGAGCCACAATATTGTACCATAATTTAGGGACATTTGTACAAACAAGCTCTTCTCATCTCTATTAGGCAACATGTGCCTGTTACCACCAAATCCCTGATTACTACTCAACAGCAGGCCTCATTGTTTCAATGTTGTATTGAAATACATTACTATTGATTACATACATATATTATGTATAATGTGTAAATAAATCATTTATTTACTCAGAGTCACTATGCTCCATCTCATCATTGTCTTCATGCTCATCATTGTGATCATCTTTGTCCCAATCTTTCATCTGAGCTCCCATCATAAAATTATCACTTAGCACACTCCATGATTTTTTCGTTTTTGAATCGTCTTTTTCTTGTTTTATTTCAGATTTTATTTGACCTTTGACCTCAGTTCCTTTAAGCACATCGATGAAAGTCCGTTTATCGACAGATTTCATTGCCTTTTCTTGTTTCCTCACAGAAGAGCCAACTTCTTCTAGTTTGTCATCGAGGATTTTCTGTTGTTTTCTGACTGCATTAAATAGCTGGACAACCCCCCTGGAAAATCAAGAAAAAATACATGTTATTATGGCCAAGTTACTCAATGTAAAATAATGTGGAAACGAGTAAAATCAGGAAGGAATAGAGTAAATGGCATGTATTCAGTATTCCAAATTGTTTAAAAAGTTGAAAATTGTTAAAAGGTACTGTCCAAATAAGAGCCCTAATAATTACCTTAAATAATTAGCACTCCTTTCCTATTAAAATTTTATCCATAATGCAAAAGGTCAATTTAGTGAGTGTTCTCTCCAGGATTTTCAAGCTGAGTGCAAAAATTAGTCAATATTAAGTTTTTTCTCATTTAAAAGAGAGGGAAAACAGGTTTTCAAGCATTTGAAATGGGTGCAAATGTGATTTTCAAGTGGGTGCAAATGTGATTTTCAAGTTGGTGCAAATGGAGTTTCAAATTGTGTGCAAAACTAGTCAATATTAAGATTTAACTAATTTAATCGAAATGGAAAAATAGGTTTTCAAGCATTTGAAATGGGATTTTCAAGTGGGTGCAAATGAGATTTTCAAGTGGGTGCAAATAGGATTTTCAAGTGGGTGCAAATGGAATTTTAAGTGGGTGCAAATGGATTTTAAAGAATATAATGCATACTTCAAAAAATCAAGTAGTTTCTATGCCATCTGATCTCCTGAATTCTTTCATGATTGCAGAACTTAACCAGGTATTTGTGGAAAGGTCAAAAACTGGTCTATGCTTCCTCATTTTCCTTACTCACGCGACTGTGACTAAATTTTCATCACTCATTTTTTAACATACAGATTTCAAACTCTGGAATGAGTGTCATGGTTGGTTGCTTCAATGCTTGGAGACAACCGTATATTAAATTACTAACCGTGTAGCGATTCTTTGCAACTTTCTCTCTTGTTCCCGCCGTGTGATGTCAGGTTTTACATGACACATATTCTCCCAATGTCGTTTCTAAAGAAAAAATTGTAAACAATGTCAGGTGACTGAGTGGAATAAAAAAGAAATTCAAAATCATATATGGAGTCCTAAAATGCGAAAAAATTAACAGGTAATGAATACTATTTCTAACCGGATTCACTCTAAATTAAAAATTTCTACAGCCGTTTTGTTTAAAGTTTTATCTTCTCACCTTTTTTCTTTGCAGCCTAGCATCTTTTAATAATGTCTCTTCATCAATTTCTGTTAATTTACTGATTGATTTTTCCTTTATAACAGTATTGTCATCTCCAACAACTTCTATTTCATTTTTATCGACAACTTTTTTCGATTTAAATCTTTCCTTATCAGTCTGACCTTTGGATAAAATCACATCACTGGCTACTGATTTCTTGCCGATTATTTTTGCAAGAACATCCGCCATACCACCAGTAGTATCATCAATGTCATTGTCAATACTCCCCGAGCTTAGGGGAGCACCGGGGGTTGTGTCCATGAGGTCAATGTTAATGCTCCCTAGGGAGCCCTTGTCACTACACTGTGAATCTCTGTCACCTCCCAGAGATTCCTCGTCTGAAATTAAATAAGACTTATCTAAACAAATGAGAATGCATTAGGTCATAAATGACTTATAGGGACACATTTCAGGGGTTTCACTAGAATTTCTCACAACAGGCTAAATAAATAATAAAAACAACAGGCAAAATTAATGGAAATCATAAATTTAGCAAAGAAAAGTTGAAAAGTCCCTAAAAACAACAGGCCGTTTTGTGAAAACAACCATTGAAAATCGCCTGTTGCCTGCTGTAAACAGAACTCTGTTATCTTGGTTCAAAAAATGTTTGAAATCCCGCATGGTCTTGTCACTTCCTGTTTTGTAATTTCATGTTAAGTTCCACGGCACCTTAACCCCCATAAATGTGGAGCTGATTTTTCTAATCACCTTAACAACTACTTGTGTACTGAAATCTTGGGGTTGTAAATAAGATGGAATAGAGGTTATTTAAATAAAATTCAGCTTTATGTCAACTACTAACGTTTTACAACCCCAACTTTTCAATAAACAAGTAGTTGTGGGGATGATTTGAAAAATCTTACCTTCTTCTAAGGCCACTATCATGGCCTTATCGTATCCTACCGACCACTTTAGAATGTGGTCGTACGCCCGTATCATTGGTAAGCCTGTCTTTCTACAATGTCGGAGAATGAACTACGCATTGCACTATTAAATGACCTACCTCGATACATTCCAGAGTATTTTAGAATTCTTTTTATGTTGTTGAAATAAGTTAAATAATACACGCAAATATTGCTATCAAAAACGAAAATATCTTCGTTCTGCCGATAAACCCATACAATTGGCGATCTAACAAAAATTCCATCATCAACCCAGATAGCACAACGACGTTGGGCCAACGTTGGGCCAACAGCATGCCAGCCAGTGGGCCAACAGTGGCTGCCAACGTTGGCGTGTCCAGCCAGCCAACGTTGGTCCAACGTTGGCAGCCACCAAAGAACCAACGTTGGCCCATCGTTGGCCCAACGTTGATGTGTCCAGCCAGCCAACGTTGGAGGCAGCCACCAAAGAACCAACGTTGGCCCATCGTTGGCCCAACGTTGGCGTGTCCAGCCAGCCAACGTTGGTCCAACGTTGGCAGCCACCAAAGAACCAACGTTGGTCCATCGTTGGCCCAACGTTGGCCCAATGTTGGTCCATCGTTGGCCCAACGTTGGCGTGTCCAGCCAGCCAACGTTGGTCCAACGTTGGCAGCCACCAAAGAACCAACGTTGGCCCATCGTTGGCCCACCATTGACACAATTTACTTTTTTGTACAGCCATTGTTGGCTCCTTGGTATTAGCGGCAGCCCACAATGGGCCGCCCACAATGGGCCAACTGCGATCATGCCACCCAATGGGCACCAGTAGTGACGTTGGCCCGACGTCTTTGTGATATCTGGGCATTCGATACTCTTTCGTAAATGTGTTCACATATAATATCCGTTCGACATCAATAAAATATGGTGGCTTGTTTTTCCATACTAAATATATTTGGTAGCCTTATAAGTGGTTTCAACTGTATTACAAGGCGAAAATCCATATTTCTGAGGTAAACAACATTATCAGATAATTTTGAAAGAAAATATTTCATAAAATTTACCTTAATATTTTTAATGACTGCTGGTATGTTTTTTTCTATTTTTAAGCAAAGCATTTGCACTGATTTATGGATAAGTGGCTTCCTGGTGTTAGCGGCAGCCAACGACGGTCCAACGTTGGCCCAACTACAATTTGCCAACTGCATTTTTGCACTGATTTATCGATAGGTGGCTTCCTGGTATTAGTGGCAGCCAACGACGGGCCAACGTTGGCCCAACTACAATTTGCCAACTGCAATTTTGCACTGATTTATCGATAGGTGGCTCCCTGGTATTAGCGGCAGCCAACGACGGGCCAACGTTGGCCCAACTACAATTTGCCAACTGCAATTTTGCACTGATTTATCGATAGGTGGCTCCCTGGTATTAGCGGCAGCCAACGACGGGCCAACGTTGGCCCAACTACAATTTGCCAACTGCAATTTTGATCCATGGTATTAGCGGCAGCCAACGACGGGCCAACGTTGGCCCAACTACAATTTGCCAACTGCAATTTTGATCCATGGTATTAGCGGCAGCCAAAGACGGGCCAACGTTGGCCCAACTACAATTTGCCAACTGCAATTTTGATCCTGTTATTAGCGTCAGCCAACGACGGACCAACGTTGGCCCAACTACACTGTGCCAACTGCAATTTTGATCCATGGTATTAGCGGCAGCCAACGACGGGCCAACGTTGGCCCAACTACAATTTGCCAACTGCAATTTTGATCCTGTTATTAGCGGCAGCCAACGACGGGCCAACGTTGGCCCAACTACAATTTGCCAACTGCGACCATGCCAACCAATGGCCACCAATAGCGACGTCGGCCCGACGTCTTTGTGCTATCTGGGAAGGAGCCAAGCCAGTTCCATTTCATTTCATGATTTATTTATCTCACGATTTTTAAATATTTAATAAATATGTAACACAACTGCCAGCTTTTTCAAATGGTTCACTGTTCCAGATTACTTCTAGCCAAGATTTGGCTAGAGACTCGAGTATTTTTATGGGGGTAACCTTATACAACCACCTGTGGTGGGAACGCTTTCAAATTTTGAATTTTTCTGCGTTTTCTACAAATTACTTATGCTGCTAGCCTGATAGAAGGGGAACTATGCTTGAAATTAAGTCAATGAGGTGGGTGATAATTGAGCATTTTACACACGAGAATATTTGAAAATTTTATTTCTGTGCGATCTACTCTAGTGTATAAGCCCAAACTACCATGACAGGTAAAACAATATCTATCATTACCTTCCACATCGGAAATTTCTTCTGAACTGCCATCAGATTCGTCATTTTCATCCGATGATGAAGAACTTTCGTAGGATACTTTTACACCGGATGTTGCCATATTTTTAATTGCGCATGCGCGAATCATGACAGAACTCTACTTTCCAACAATTTCTTCTCTAAATCTTCTTTTGTAAGCAAGTCTAATAGACAAAAAAAGTCAGTATAGAATTTGAGTTCTAAAAACTGATTATTCTTTCATCAAAACAAGCAAGAAAGCTAAATTAATATATATTACTAATTGTTCATAACAAAGACATGTCTTGTCACGAAATTTAAAAAATGTGAAAACAAATTTAGTTTTCAAACATCTGCCAGGTTTTCGTCGATAAGCACGTATAATAAGAATCAATCATGAATTTACAAGAAGCTGTGACTGAGTTCAATGGTATTGTATCTCGTCTGAAGCCAGAGATATTGCCTTTATTTCTAGTGAAGCTGAAAAATTCTTATTGCTCAGGTAAGGATTTGATTTATCGGGGTCGACTCATTCGTCCGAACCTCATTGGTGCGAATCCCATTCCTCCGAATCACAATGCTCCGAATTCTTCTCGTCCCAATCCTAATCGTCAGATTCCCAATCATCCAATTCCCATTCGTCCAAATCCCAACCGACTATTGGGATTTTGACCAATGATGCGTCCTCGATTTATCAATCATGTTAGCAACATACATGTCCTATTTGTCTATGAGTCTACATCATACATGTAGGCTCGGCTCTTTAATGTACTGATACATTTCTCTTGAATATTATTTCCAGTCTAGGTAAGGGCTGATTCAGTTGTTGTCACCAAATTATAAAATCAGGTCGATATTTAGCAGATGCTGTTATCTGCCATAATTCGCTGAAGACAGTTGAAATGTGCAAGTTGCTAGTTCAGATTTATCGAAAATATGCAATAAGCAGTGGCGTAGGAACAATGTACGCCAAAACGCCAATGCGTAGTGTTGAAGAAAGGCTTAGGGTGTATTTTCCTACGACCGCGGTTCAAGTGAAATTTATACGGTTGTGTAATATTCAAATTTTTTACCCAATGGTATTTCACACATACTATTGTGGTATAAGCACAATTTAGCTAATTTTAGGATTAAAATCATGCTCGTGGTCAAAAAGCATGTACAAAAATACAGCCTCAATAATTTCCCATCGTTCTTCAGTCATATTTTAACTCATGAGGAAATTTCTGAGAGAGATATAAGGCTTGGTTGATTTTACTTCTTTGAAGTGCACTAATTAAAAAGCCATAGTTTTTATATTTCCGAATTTGTTGACATTAGAATTCCACATCGCCTAAAAATGTTAATTGAATAAATATTATGGATCGTATTTTCTAATATACCAAAATGCTGAAATAATTCAATAATAACAATGCTATTAAAGTAGAGAACTTGTGTAAATATTATCAAAATGTTACATAAATTGTTGTATTTTTCTGTGGTCTGTGGCGATGTCGAATTCTAATGTCAATAACTATTGCTGGAATTCATGTCAGCTACTCCTCATGTATGTTTGATTTAATAGTGCACCGAAAATCACCCATGCCTTATGCCTCTCTCAAACAATTCTTATGAATTTTAGGAAACCCTACCGTTCCAAATGAAATCTGTAACCTGAATTTCATTTCGCAAACCTGCGTTATATCGTGTAACATAGTTGATATTTTCTTTAAATCATATCAAAGATCGGCTTTCCATCGTGATTATAAATAATGAAAAACATTTGATCATTTAATGAACATTATTTGGATAGATTATAATAAAAATGACGTTTTACAAGCATAAAATAGTACAAGGTGTTCTGATATAGGTAGAAAATTTGACACAATTTTCTCAAATCTATTTGCGTAGTGTTGAATTTACACCTTCCTACGCCCCTGATAAGTAGACTTTGAAAGCCCATGATATAATCAATAACTTCTATCAATAAATTTCTGGCAAATGTTACACTAACAAATTAAATTGATCCAAGTAACTGAAAATTGGTTAAAATAATAATTTATAGTTTATTGATGATTCATTCAAATAAGATTTGTGTTTCTTTGTATGGAAACTGTTACAACACAAGAATACAATACATTACAAACTCTTAGTTTGTTAGTTAAATACAAACAATAAAGTGACATACAGGGTGTCCAAAAAAAAACAGGACCGTAAGAAAGTTGAATAACTCGGTCAATTTTGCAAATTTTGCCCTGAAATTAAAGAATTATTTAAATCATTCAATGTGAATTTTTTTCTGAAAGTTTGATGATAATCTGTTTATTGTGTCAAAAACTACAGTCCTTTACAAAACATGCTCAAATTGGGCACTTCTCCTCTCTTTGCACAAACGAATCCTGTGAACAAAGTTGTTAATGACCCTTACCTATACACATTAATGTGAATGGTAAATATTGGGGTAGTTATTGCCCTCTTTAGACTGTTAGGGGCCTGTCAGTATACACATTGGCTTTGAGAAATCCTCAAAGATAAAAATTTGGGGGATTTAGATCAGGCAAATGAGCTGCCCATATGGTTTGCGTTCTGCAACTGATGAGCTGACCACCAAAGCATTGCCTAAACCATTTCAGCATATCATTTGCACTGTTGGGGTGGTATTGGCTTGTTGAAACCACTGCTTAATTATCTTCTTAGATGTCCCTTCTGGTGCTTAGTGACCTCCAAAACTTGGTGAGAACTTACTGGTCCTTTTTCATGGTGATAGCAAGTCCCCAGTCACCTTCGAACCAAAAGGGACTGATGATTCCATGTTTCCTCATTACCACCCAGGGAGTGCATTGTTCAGAATGCAATGGATGCTGTAACACTTCATCAGGAGGATGTAAGCCCCAGTAGCAATTGTTCTTGGAACAAACTTGTCCATTCAGAAAGACATGTGTGTAGGAGGATCATCAACAGCTTTGTTCGCCGGATTGAATTGTGCATAGAGATGAGATTTGCACATTTTGGTCATGTTTTGTAAGGTGCTGTAGTTTTTGACTCAATTGTTAGATTATTATCAAACTTTCACAACAAAATTCACATTGAATGAACTAAGTAATTCTGAAATTTCAAGGCAAAATATGTAAAATTGACCGAGTTATTCAACTTTCTTACAGTCCTGTTTTTTTTGGACACCCTGTATTATGACACTTAAAATATTACAGTTTATTGACAAAACATACATAAATTAAATAAGACTCAAAACAAGACAACGTAAAATAAAACAAAACATAAAAACATAAAGTAAAATGAAACTTATAACACATTTATTTGGCGCAAGGGCGACTAGTTTGCAAGAAAACATATTTATTATGTTTTCATGATAATTTAAAGTAATCAAACTGGTCGCGCCCACCCTAATTGTGAAATCTTGATAAAATGTAGAGGGTGGGTTTAGGGTGGGGAAATGAATTTTAAAGTGGGCTGGAATTTTAAAAAGAAGCTGTTGATATAAGAAGTTCTTTGTTGTAAATAAAAGATTGAAATTACTTTAATTAATTACAATATTGAAAATAACTTGATTTGAAATAATGAAAGTATAAAAACCTTACCTGGAATTTTAAAAAGAAGGTGTTGATATAAGGAAGTTCTTTGTGTAAGTGAAGGTAAGTAAAATTGGCGGGTAATAATTATAATATTGGGTCATGTGACAACAGGTAAGGTTTCTATTGGTTGAAGTTAATTATGTTGACCAATTAAATTACAGCATTTTAGGTAACAACAATTGGTCTCAAAAATACGACAAATTAAATTGATCCAAGTAACTGAAAATTGGTTAAAATAATAATTTATAGTTTATTGATGATTCATTCAAATAAGATTTGTGTTTCTTTGTATGGAAACTGTTACAACACAAGAATACAATACATTACAAACTCTTAGTTTGTTAGTTAAATACAAACAATAAAGTGACATATTATGACACTTAAAATATTACAGTTTATTGACAAAACATACATAAATTAAATAAGACTCAAAACAAGACAACGTAAAATAAAACAAAACATAAAAACATAAAGTAAAATGAAACTTATAACACATTTATTTGGCGCAAGGGCGACTAGTTTGCAAGAAAACATATTTATTATGTTTTCATGATAATTTAAAGTAATCAAACTGGTCGCGCCCACCAAGCCGAGGCGCCAAGAATAAACTTATGAACATTTACCATGCGTAAAGTAGTGAATTTGATTAAATTTGTGCTAACATTCTCTGACTGACTGCTAGTTTGGAAGCGATATTCAATTCTATGTATCTAAGATAACACTGCGAAGCCCAATCTCCATGTGCCTTAATGGCTTCACCAGTAACGTTAGCGTTGAATGCCCAGGAAGCTCCCCCTCTTCTGCAACTATGTCCACTATAAAATGAAGGATTATATCCTAAATTTTGTAATTTGTTTCTCAAAATTTTAACGAATTTTTTGCCTTGTAAATGTAATCAATTTACCATTCTTTGAGTAAAGAAAGGCTGGAGAAGTTTTCTTATATTTATGGAAAGAATTTTTATGATTGAATGCGGACACAATATTTAAGGGAGAACTTTCTTTGGCTAACACGGGAAGTGTTAAAATGCGTTGTGCTGCTTGGTTTGTTTTAGAGTGTTTTATGAGGAAAATCAAACCATCTGAGTCTTGTTTGAAAATATCTTGTTGTAACAGATGTTTGTTGTTCTCAAAAGTAGAAGTTGTATAAGGGATAATGTTTCCTGCTCTTGCGAATAAGAACGTAAGTGTGAGGATTAGAAACCAAAATGTGGACTCTAAATCTGAGGTTAGATCTAAAGAGCCAAAAATTTGAGTTAAAATTTCCGGGGTAATAGGTAAAGCTCTTTTGACGGTGTGTAGATTATTTCTTTGTAAACCTTTATAAAGGAGTTTGTATTGGAATTCCCTATGAAGTAAAGGAAAGGGCAATTCATGTAATAAATGTAGAACTTTTATGCCGTTTACATAATTTAAAATTGAAGACACTGATTTGAAAGTCCTACTCAAGAATTGCATGTAAATAAGAACGGTGTCTGTTTGAACCGGTAAAAATGCCATGTTGTAATAAACACAAAATAAAAGAAAAGTCCTCCATTGTGTGTATAAATTCTGCCAGGTTTTGCTGTTATATGCAGACATCATGTTGCGATTAGCTTGCTTTTTGAGCTCCTTGATTTGATCTGGAAAAATTACCAACATTCATTAAAATTGAAATGAAAGGATTTGATTTTGTACTCGACTGAATTCACTGGGAGCAATTGTTTAGCTTTGTTTTGGAATTCTAAGTCTGTATGCCACCTGCTGAGACTATCTGCTAACACATTGGTATGACTGGGTATGTGTGTTGCTTTGATTTGAAAGTTGTGCGTAGCTGCTACGAAAGAAATTTCTCTTAAGAGCAACAGTAAAAACTTATCTCTGGATTTACCGGTGTTGATCACCAATACTGAAGTTTGGTTGTCACAATTGACCAAAACGCGTTTCCTTTGAAAGTGGTGACCCCAGAGTTTTAATGCTAATAATATAGCTAGTAATTCCAAAGCGTTAATGCTGTGAGATTGTAAGAAAAGTGGGATGGTAGTGTGATAAAATTTGTTATGTGAATATCCACCTAAACCTGTGTTACATGCATCAGTGGCCACAATGGAATCTAAAGGCGTCCATTCACTATCAGGAATGACTGTGACTCCATTGTAGGTGCCCATGAAATGTTTCCACCACACTAAGCCTTTCTTGAATTGTGAACAGATTTTGAACTTATGATGTTGTTTTTTCAAGCTTCTGAACTTAACCAGGAGTCTATTAATGAACACCCTGCTCCCTCTAACGCATTTTGAGACAAAGAGGAGTTTACCTAAAAGACTTTCTAATTGTTTTTTGGTCGCACTGTTTAAAGTTAACCAATGTTCTATTAGTTGTGTAATTTCTAATAGTCTGTCTTGTGTGACTGAGAGTGTCATATTGTTGGTGTTTACCAGAATGCCCAGGAACTCCATTTTGTTACTTGGAGCAAGATATTTCTCTGAGGATTCTGATAAGCCAAGTGAAGTGAGTGTTTGTTTTAAGTGACTGACTGCTGAATTCACGTTATCAAAAGGTTCGCAACCTCCGAAGTCATCCAAGTAATTGATTACATGGTAACCTTGTTGTTGGTGAATGTATGTGATAGCATTAGTAACTCTTTGGCAAATGTATGCCGCAGTCCTGAGACCGAAAGGCAGAACTACGTCAAAAAAGATTTTTTGTCTCTAACAAAAGGTGATCTTGTCGTAATCAAAAGGATCTAGATGCAATTGTCTATATGCTCTAGACAGGTCGACCTTGAATAAAGCGCAACCTTTACCTAATTTGATTATGATTTGTGAATAATCATCAATTGAAGGGTAAGTAAGATTGATTTCTTCTCCAAGGAATTGACCTTCAGGAATACCATCGTTTATGCTGTTTCCTGGTGGGAAACTGAGATCTACAATAGTGCGTCGTAATTCTGAATTCTTTTTATCCGCTGTATTGAGTGGGGATAAAAGTATGTTGTGTGAAAAAGGGTTATTGTTGAAAGGGCCTATAGTACCTCTCTTTTGCACCTCCTTAATAATGAACTGGTCAATGTGTTTAGGAAAATTGTGAGCATTGCCGTGGCTAGTAGGTTTGTTATTGGGTGTTATAATTCCCTCGAAACCTATGGGCCAACCAAATTCCAAAAATTTGACTATTTCTTTATCTGAATAGTCTGACAAGAGTTTTTTCCAATTTTCTATTATCAGAGGTGTTGGTAGAGGTATACGTGCCTTTTCAAAATTGTAAGCCCCTGTTTGTGTGATGTTGTTGTGTAATTCAATGTATAGGCCGTGATTTTGAACTAACGTAGGGGGCCATTGTTCATGTGGTGATTGTAAATGTGTTGGTCAAAATTGTCAAAATTGTATGTAGACTCTGTGTGTTGTTGTGTTTGTGGTTGTTGCATGTACTTTCTGTTTGTGTGCATGCTAAAATTGTGTTTGTTGGGTTTGTGTACCCTAAGTGTTGTGTTGTGTCAAAATTGTAATTCTTATCCTTATCTACAACATAAGTTTCTGTTTGATCTAACAGAGATAAGTCCAAAGTTGAAGTAGGTTCTTTTTCTAAATTACTTACTCGGATGAGAAATGCCTTGCGGGCATTTAGTTTTTGAATGATTTGACTTGGACCTGTCTTTGTTATAACAAACCGAACAAATGTGTTCTAATAATCTAACTTGTCCTTTGATCTGCTGTTTTGACATATGCGCAGAATTTTCTGCGCAGTTGTCTTTGTTGAAATCTATGCAGTACCAGCTAATGTTTTGACCTGTATGAACTTGGATGTTTTGAGGCTTTTTATTAACTTGGTTCTGTACAGAGAGGTGGTTCAAAATGTGAGTCGTATCGTCACCCCAAGAAAATTCCCCTGACTCACTTTTTATCTCACTTAGAATGTTAGCATGGAAATTTCTAACTTGGACCCATGAAAAACCTCTTTTGTTCAAATACATCAACTCCATTAAATGCTTTAATTTGATGACAACACCTGACCTTGAGATTTTATGATATTCTATCTCATTGACCACCAGATTCAAAACTCCTGCCACGAACAGATTTATGTCTAGGTCTTTGTATTTGACATTCATTCTTGCAAATTCATATTTGAGGCCTATATGAGGATATTTTTGAGGATTTTTACAAGACTTTGAATGGGTTTGATTTATTCCTGATTTTTTTTGCTTGATCTATGTTTGGTCTTTCTTGATTTTTTTGAATATTTTGATTCAGAGGAATTTGATTCAGACTCAGTATCATAATCTGATTCACTTGACAAAGACTCGGAGCTTGAATCTGAGGTTGAACTTAAAGATGTCGAGGATTCACTTGAGGAAAAATAATTCTTACTAGACCTATGTGAATTTTTTTACCTTTTTTGGTTTTGTGCTTAATGTCTTTGTCTTTGGGGATCTTCTTCTCTTTCTTCTGTTTGGTTTTGTTGGTTTTGTTGGTTTTTGTGGTGATTGGTCGATTCTGGAATCCGGGTGCGATTTGGGCTAACTTCTGATTAACCTCGTCTTGAAGTCTTTGCATTCCTCGTAGTGTGTGTATATTTAATTGTTCACTGACATTGTTTTTGTTGGGAGTTGTTCTGGGCTCGGCTGGCTCCTTTGTACGATTTTTGTTCTGAAGTCCAGGAGCGATTTCCTGTCTTCTGGCTTTTCTGAGGTCAATGCTTTCAGGCTCCTCTTCAGTTTCGTCGTTGGAATCATTTGTTTTGTACGAACTTTGCACGATATTGTCTATTTTGATAGATTCTGCTTCTAAATTTTGAAGAATTTGTCGTTTTTTCTTCTCGACTTCTAGTCTTTTTCTAGCGATTTGTTCGTCTAGATTTTCAGCAAGAGGGGGCGGAAGATTCGGTTGAATCGTCTGATCACTGTGTGCTCCTTTCTCTGTTGGTTGTTCGTCAGAGCTTTGTTCTTTTCCGACGGAATTTAGCTTGGCATAGTCGACTGCAGGTTTCACTCTCGTTGTCGCCATAATATGGCGTTTGTAGTTTCGTATTTTCGCTCAGTTTAGTTTCGTATTTATTTGTTACGCATTGTTGGTTGCATTGTTAGTTTCGTATTTATTTGTTACGCATTGTTGGTTGCAGAATAAAATTGTTGGTTGCAGAATAAAATTGTTGGTTGCAGAAATGAATTTTAAAGTGGGCTGGAATTTTAAAAAGAAGGTGTTGATATAAGGAAGTTCTTTGTGTAAATAAAAGATTGAAATTACTTTAATTAATTACAATATTGAAAATAACTTGATTTGAAATAATGAAAGTATAAAAACCTTACCTGGAATTTTAAAAAGAAGGTGTTGATATAAGGAAGTTCTTTGTGTAAGTGAAGGTAAGTAAAATTGGCGGGTAATAATTATAATATTGGGTCATGTGACAACAGGTAAGGTTTCTATTGGTTGAAGTTAATTATGTTGACCAATTAAATTACAGCATTTTAGGTACCAACAATTGGTCTCAAAAATACGACAAATGTGCAGCCTCAGCTCTAACATGTATGTGAAGCACATGCATATTAATTTAAATGTTGTCCTTGAATGCAACATTTAGCTCTAAACTAATCTTCGAATGAATTAGACAATTTTAAAGTTAAGCAGCCCCGTCCTTACACCTAACCCCCACAATTGGGTCATAAAATCAATGCGAACCCATCATGCTAACATTTTCTCAATTTATCAGTAAGCAGAAAAACATATTTTAAAGGGTTAATGATGACACCAGAGAAAATGGTAATAGAACAGTGTCCTTTGCCAACTACAAGATGTGGTTGCCATCTGGCTAGTTCAGAGATTTCTCTTCATGTCAACAAAGCTTTTAAGAAGTTCGACGAATGCAAGCGTTTAGCCTTGCCCCAAGTCGGTTTCTTTTACTTAACTTGATTTCTATTATGGTAAGAATTCAAAATCAGATAAGTAAAAAAATACCGACTCGGGCAAGGCTTAATAAGCAAGTGTATTGAAAATGTCAAAATTACAAGAGGTCATAACTTTATACTGAATGATATTGTAACTGGACTTCTGAGATTTTTACACAGACTTGGATAGTATCTCTGTAATATGTTTGTAATTTTTTGCTTTTTAGAATCAATAAATTTTAGCAAAATTTACCATGTCAAACTGTAATAATATATCACCATCAGTCTGTTGAGTTTCATGCAGATTTGCTCACTGACATTTCAGATAGCAATCTGTCTGAGATGTGTTCCTCAAATGAAGATAGGATGATGGCGAGTATCCAGACTGACATCAGGAAACTTGTCCCACTTGATGCACTTGCCCCTGGAGAAACTCTTGTCCCACCCGGAGCTCAGGTATATGGGTCATATTTATGATATGTGGGTCATATTCATAATAGTTTGGTCACGTTCATGATATGTGGGTCATATTCATAATATGTTGGTCATGTTCATGATATGTGGGTCATGTTTATGATATGTGGGTCATATTTATAATATGTGGGCCATGATCATGATATGTGGATCATGTTCATAATATGTGGGTCCTATTCATAATATGTGGTTCTTGCATGATACAAGGTCATGTTCATACCATTTGAGCCATATGATTTAGGTCATGCTAATGATATATGGATAATGTTACTGATATGTGGGCCATGTTTATAATTATGTAATGAGGGTCATGTTCATGATGGGTTGACCAGCATGTTCATGATATATGGATTGGGCTCAGGAGATATCAGTCTTGTTCATGAAATATGGGAATCATGTTCCTTAAATGTAGGTCATATTATAATATTCTAGTCATTGTTTATAGTATTTTGGTCATGTTGACCATCAGGTTCGTGATGCGTTGTGCATTTAACAAAAAATAAGCATATACAGGGTGTCCCGAAAGTATGGAGCCCCCCCTAGGCAGACATACACAAATGCTCCCATAGTATGTGTCATATATCATTTTAAAGCTTATCCAAAGTTACATTGAGATTTGCCAAGTATCATCGTTCAACTTAAAAATTGGAAAAAGTTACAGGCATTTCAAAACTTAGTGTTTGGCCACTGTCATTTTGTAAATCCAAATCAATAACATGTAAAATTGTATGTTTTCAGATTGAAGACTGTGATGCTGCTACATCACTTCATGTTGATGCATTTCTATATGACGAAGACACACTTGATACTTTGGTGGATGAAGGAAAAATTAGTCGCAATTTTTGTACAAAATGTGGCTCACATGAAGTCAAGCCTCTGAGTAAGTGAAAAACATGGCAATATAATGTTTTAGTGGCCAATTTTGATATAGGGTTAAAAAAGTGGAATCAGCAAGGAATAAAATAAACAGGCATGAGGTCAACATTACACTCTAAATTGTATAAAACACTATGGTCATATTTTGAAATGCCACATGGAATGGAAATTAGGCCAATCAGCAAGGAATAAAATAAAGTTGTGTCAGTCAACAATCTCAAGTTGCATAGAAATGCGCAAAAAATCATGCAGTTCATCCTGATTTTTTGGGGGTACATGTACAGTTAATTTAGAATCACCATGAGAATCAGCCAGTACCCACTGTATACTCAATTTGTGTCCATACTGAACATAAAAGATTCCAGTCGTGATAAAAATAATTTAGACAGTGCTGCCATCTTTTTATCTGATTTTTTGTTTTTATTTCAGCTTTTTTATCTCACTCTGCGTCTTTGCAACAGGTCAAGTTTATTTTTCAACATCTTGTGCCTCGACTGGAGGGGAAAACTGTGTTAGACATCGGCTCAAGACTAGGGGCAGTCCTCTATGGGGTAGGTACTCTCTACACAGCCAATATAATTCGAAAAAATTCGGCACTGTTCCGGCACCGTTTCGACATCGTTCCGGCACCGAAACGGCGTCGAAAATCAGATTGCATTTTGGGGGTGTAGTGGATTCAGATTCACCCGGAGAGTTCACATCATGTTTACATTTCTGCATTCAACAAAGTGACTGTTGTCAGAAACTCTGTTGAATTCCCCTTGTAATTCAGACTTTCCATATCAACCTACTACAGGCCGAAGTTTTGTAAAGCTAGGTTGTTTAAGATTTTTATAGTACCAGGCACAATATAAATGTGTCCTGATCGTTTTTACATTTTAAAAAATCATAAGTAATCATGTGTACACGTTAACGTTTATAAACTTCAAATGTAAGAAATCTGAAAATTAATTTTAAGATACTACACATATTTTCTTTGGTTTGGTCATTTAAGCCCAATATTAATAAACCATATCTATTTCCATGTTTTAGGCTTACTACTATAGCTCAGCTAGCAGGATTATCGGTGTTGAAATGAACGAATTCTTCCATGGACTTCAGTCCGATGTAGTTCAACGATACAACATGAGTGATAGGGTCTCTGTGATTTGTGCTGATATATGTACTCAATTAGAAGCTATTCAATCAGGTATGTAGTTATTATAAGGGGTCTGTCTCGAGAATACCCAACATAAATTCATAACATCCTGCAATTTGCGCTAGCATAAGACTTCATACAAAGCTCCTGTCCTGAAGATACCTTGATTACGTGACTTGGTTGAATAATAAGAGAAAATTTTGATTTTTATGTCACCAGCAGAAGTGTTGTCTTGACATACCTGTATTGTTATTCAAAACTGTCTTAGCAAATACTGGTTGTTACCTGGAAGCAAAACCCTCTAAGCTAGTCCTAGTGTTTTCCTAATTGGAAATCCCCTTCATCAGATTCCAATTTGTACCCAGGCCCGTAGCCAGGGAGGGTTTGCAGGGTTCAGGCAACCCCCACCCCCCCGGCCAAAAAATCGTTCAAAATCATGCAGTTCTTCACCATTTTGAGCACTTCTTAAGTGATTTTAGCCATATTTGGGCCAAAGTTGTCAAATGTGAACCCCCCCTGGAAATTTTTGAAAACTGAACCCCCTCTTGGCAAATCCTGGCTACGGGCCTGGTACCTGAATATTTATCATAACCCAAAGCAATACTATTTTCTACTTTCAGCGGATGTGGTCATTATGAACAATGTCTTTGAGTTCTTTGCTTCAAAAGATATCCAATCAAAGTAAGAAACTAAACAGAAATATAATGATAGTTATGTTTTAAACACGAAATAGAATAAAAGTGAAATGAGCAAGGAATTGAGTAAACAGGGTATGATTTAAAACTCATTACAGACCACAAATTCACCAGAATTGGGTTCTTTTGTCTGTTAAGAACATTTATGAAAAATCTGGTATAAATGTTTCATAATCTTAAGAGATTTTTTTTCGATTTTCAAATTAAATGAACTTTTATAAAAAGGTAATGAAAAAATGTAGTCAATTTGTAAAGCTTAAATTTAAAGTCATGATAATATAACTTGGATTCATGAAAAAATATTAAACCCTCCCTCTACTTTCTCGACTATCTTTTCAGAATATGGGGACTCTTATATGAGAACATCCGCAAAAAAGGAACAATTGTGATTACATCTCCCTCCCTAGAAGAATCACTGTACAAACTAGGTATCACAATTGATATAGGAACATGGTTAAAACCCAGTCCAATGGAGGAGTATCTAGCTGCTGGGAATTTTATATTATTTGGTAGTGAAGATTCAGATGATAGTGATTTGGCCAATATCCATATGTACAGGGTACTGTAGTTTTGGATGCTGGTGTTAGAACAGAAAGGTAAGATGATTAGTGATCCCCCAACATTGAAAACTTATTTGTAAGAATTATCAAAATTTTGCCCATATTTTGAGGAATCCTGTTGAAAACATTGGTTAGTGATCTACTATATTGACACTAGAACTCACACCCAAAATTATTCTCCAAGTTGAAAAATCTTGAGAGTGTGCACCTTTAGTTGAGAAAATCCTAGGGAAAGAACTGAATCGATATGGGTCATATACAATATTGCATTTTTGGGGTTTTTGGGAAATACTCCCATTAATTTGGAGTTATCACAAGAAATAATTTTAACAATGCGGAAAATATTTGAAAGTTTTGCTTAGGGAGATATAACTCTACATAAATTTCTCTAAATATTTATATCTCCTTGACAACAAATTATATTATGACATCATGTTACAACTTCATGCTTTCTTCATGATGTCATAAAAGATGAGATAAATATTTCCTTTTGTTATGGTTTCAATTTTTTTCTCTATGACATCATAATGAATAATTTTATAACCTTGAAAAATGTACTATGATGTCATCAATATCTGAGACAAAACAAACATACAAACAAACAAAAAATATTGACATTCTGAGAAAAAGAGCAAAATACCTGCAATCAAAGATCACCATGCCAGTAAAATTGCCAAAGTTACAACGTGAACTCTTAAGAAGGGAGAGTAGTGCATCAAGATCAGGGTCCACTTTGAGTCCAGTTACAATGCCCCAGCTTCAAGATACAATATCAGAAGATGGCGATAATGAAAAACTGGAGGACCAGATGACTCATGAAAAACTGAGTCGTCTACAGGCAATTTTCGAAGAAGCTGATGAGGACGGTGGTGGGGGGTTAGATATGGAAGAGTTCCGAAGGGCTATGAGGAAAACTATGGGACAGGATGTCCATGACGAGCAAATGGATATGATTTTCATGAAAGTTGATACAAATTGTGATGGGACAGTAGATTGGGATGAGTATCTGTCGTACACATTACTTGAGTATCGGGAACGAGATTTGATGAGTCGCACTTTTAGTGAAATGCCTTTCCCCAAAGCAGTCCAGGAAATACCGTACCCACATTTTGATATTGTGGTGCAAATTGGTTTCATGCCAACAATACTCCGACATGATATCAAGCTGATTGATGAAGATTACGCACATGGGAAATACTTTACAATCAGTAAAAATGGCATTTTAGACTCGTGGACTGTAAATATGGATCATTTGAAGTCCTTCGTTGTAGAAAATCCAAATCGCAGCCGCACAAATGCCTACATGTGGATAACTGATATGGTTTGTATGCCAAATGTGAACATGATCGCTGTTGGGTCAACATTGAATGAAATCACAGTTTATGACGTCAATGGCTCCAGATGTGATAAAATTGTTAGAATTACCAAACTAGATGCCTGTCCTACATGTATGGCATATTGGTTTGACCCTACCAACATAAACAAAGCGAAAATTCTTTGGGGTGACGTCGATGGAAGCGTGTCATGTCTAGAGCTATTGGAATGCTCTGTCTTAGGCACTATTTGCCTTGGCAAAAATGGCCGCCATCGGATCCCCTATGATGAAATTATCCGTGGAGGGCTCCAAAGCATGCGAGGATACAAGAGAGCATTCGTACACAATGATTGGGTTCTGAAACTGAAATATTGCCCCAGCATCGACTCATTCATCTCATGCTGTAGAGACACTGATACAGCGATGTTCATGGGCAGTTTTGAGCTGAAAAAGCCAGGCCTGTATTACAAAGTCAAAAAAGGGATTTTCTCGTTTGATTACTGTAAGAGTAATAATATCATCGTCTCTGGGGGTTATGATGGAATCCTAAGAGTCTGGAATGCCTTCATCAATGCGAAAGCCAGCTTCCATCTACCTGACCACAAACAGGTGATCCTTCATATCGTTATCAATAGCCTCAAAGAACAAGTTATCAGCATTGATCGCGATAAAGTCATCAAGGTGTTCGATCTCACGACTCAAAAGTGCATCCAAACACTTTCAAAACGATCGGTCAAATTAGGAAAATATGCCATATCATCAGTTTGTCTCAATTCGAAACTTCAGTCACTCCTTGTGGCAAATGATAAGATTGTGATGTTTGATCGTAACGATATGGAAGATGCCAAAAAGGAGTCTCAGCTGATGAAGACCCATTCACTTCCTGTTTGTGCATCTCTCTACAGTCACTTGTTTAACACTGTGATTACGGCAAGTCATGACTCGTGGGTTAGGATATGGGATTTAGACACGGGGAAAAAGGCAATGGAGTTTCGTGCACATCGTATCACAGTTAAAGGATGCGATATTGATGTTGAAATCACTGCAATAAGCTTTGATCCTACAGGCAGACGGCTGATCACTGGAGCTAGAAATGGAGCGTGTAAAATCTGGAACTTCAACAATGGGGATTGTCTGCGGGAGCTCGATCCATTCTCCAATGACGAGATAACAGGGATTATCTGCGCAAAACAGCGAATTTATCTGTCAAGTTGGAATCGTACAGTGATGATATTCATGGATAGTTATGAGGATGAAAATCGTCACCAATGGTCCGAGCTGCATAAAGAGGATATCCTCTCTATAGCAATGTATGATCCCAGTTACATAGCAACAAGCTCATACGATGGTGACATCATTGTGTGGTACATGGATACGGGGTCATTTGTGTGTAGACTTCATGCGCAAGATGCTGTTTCCCCATCAAGGGTTTCTGGGTTGAAGCCTAAACTTTCCAAAGTGAAAGAAACAATGGAGACTGTGAGGCAAACTGATTCAACTCCTACTGCCAACGAACATAATGTCAGATTCCATCTTCCTCCTATCGATAGTAGCAGTAGATCAGACGAAGATAATTCCAGTGATTCATCTGAGAATACCGATGGAAAGCAATCCTCAAGCAAACATTGGGCTCGTCGCGAGAGCTTAAAGGGTAACTGTAAGAAACACAATTCAACTGTGGATAAAATTATATTTCTACAAAGTCGTAAATTTGACCGAGACACGGCACAGTTATTGGCATGTGGGTCTGGCGGTTGGATACGCGCTTGGTCAATACATCACCAAGGTGGACTGATTGGGCAATTCAATGCTGCAAATAGTATCGGCGAAAGTGTTCTAACAGTCCATGCATATAACAATGATGAATATCTCATCACAGGTGATTCAACTGGATATATAAAGATATGGTATATCAAGAATTATTGCAATGGAAACGATGTCCAAAGTCAGCTTACTGAAGCAGAACAAAAAGAAATGAAGAAGAAATTTCCATATTTGAATATGAATAACGAATCACGTCATGCAAAAATTATGGCTGAAGTGACAGAGGCATTTCCACCTCCCAAAGAAAGCCATCCCGAGGAGACCATGAGGGAACCCCCAATACTCAATAGCTTCCGGGCGCATTGCAAAGCAATTACATATGTTGATGTCATTGAAAGTAAACAGTTGATGATAACATCCAGTGCAGACTGTTGCGTGAGACTGTGGACAATATGCGGGCGATTCATTGGAACATTCGGGCATGCGTCACTCTGGAAGAGGCTAGATTATCCCATAGTTCCTGCTAAGTTACCCAAAAAACTGCCAACTGATTTGAAGCGAATTGCATCAGCGACAACACTACGTGTAATGAATGCCGGGAACCAATCAAAGTGGAAGTTTGCACGGAACATCATAATGATATGGATGAATGTTTTTGGGAGATCAAAAGTGAAAGATTCTTCATCAGAAGAAAACATCTCCCCGACTAAAACCCCCGAACCTCTCACTGATGTTTACCTCAAAGGACACCGTGGATCACTTATAACAGAGACTGATGAAAAGTGCATCCTGGGTAAAGCATACCAACCGAAGAAACGTCACCAAATCACGCCAATCTTAGCGCCATGCAGAAACTTTCAAACGCAGGTACACCTTGATTGAGATATGAATATGTGGAAAGTCTCAAAATTTTTGAATATAATGTTTCATCATTTGATGAGAGAACACAGGCTCGATAAACAGCTATATAAAAGTTATATCTAATTTCAAGCAAAATATTGCATTGACACAAACAAAAAAACACAAAAACAACATGACGTTATTCATTGTTCTCCCTTATTTTATAGTCAACATATATGAAAAAACAATGTGATATGTTGTGATATTATAAGTGAACATAATGATTATTTTTTCATAAATTCAGCTGAAAGGCAAATCAACAGTTTCTTTATATACATGTAGGGGAGGGAGGGGTTGAACAATGCTAAAATAAACTTTTGAAATTGGAGCAATATCATAAACATTTGAGCTGAGGAAGTTTCATCACTCCTCTCTTGAGGATTTTTCTCAACACTGGAGCATATTCTCATTTTTACTATTTGGAGTAAAATATGGCAATTTTTTCACTTTGAAGTGAGTAAATGCTTTAAGGAATTAAGTCACACTTTATGCTCAACTTTCTACGCTAGGCCTTGATACATATTTGCAAAAATGAATTCTGATGGTATCAAAATCTTAATAATCCCAAACTTAAATTGTTGTCTGTAATAACATCAGTCTAATTTTTTGACAGTTTCACTTATTTCACATTATTTCCTCTATTCCATAAGTAATTAATGGTCATGCCTTTTCCCAGGATATTTTCAAAATCTTAATTTAGAATTCTAACTAATTGACTGATGCCTGTTTTTATTTCATTGTCTATATGTTTCACTTTTTCAGCCTGATTTCTTTTTCTTTGATTATTATTCCGAAAAATTTTCACTATTCAGACAGTTTTCACTGTTCTGACAGTTTCCCCGATTTTGGCAGTTTTTGATATTCTGAGATTTTTTTCTATTCTGACAGTTGTCACTATTCTGGTAGCTTTCACTATTCTGAGAAGTTTTCACTATTATAACAATTTCCCTATTCTGACAGTGACAGTATTCACTTTTCTGATAGTTTTCTTTTTTGATCAGTTTTCACTTTCTAATCTTACAATTTTCTCTTTTCTGACAGTTATAATAACTCACAATGAATGGTGAAACTGACAAATGTGATATATTTTTCAGGTGGCCGTATACAGCTCATTGCCATGTGCAGAACTGGAGAAAATCCCCGACGTCCAACCTTCCCCAGTTATCCAAGAAATTATGGAACGAAAACGCCTAATGGAGGAGACAAGTTTACGACTAAAGCAACGCAATAATAAAGCTTTGAAAGCTAAATTTATCGCAACATCGACCATAATTCATCAGCAATTGCGGCAGCGCAAAGATAGTCAAGTCTCGCACAATAGTCTGAAAGTTTCTGTAAGTAAACGCAGAATGAGCCGAATACGAGGACAATCCATAACTGATGCTACTGTTAAAGTACCAGAAAAATCAAAAATAGGGCGGGAAAAAGTTCCACAAGTGAACGAGGAAACTGTTGCCAAACTTTTAGAAAAACTTGACCTTGGAAAAATTTCAGAGGAATAAACGGAAATGTCAAACTTTAACTTAAAAAGTCAAACTATCACTTTGAAAAATTATGATATATTTTATAAATGCATGAACAGATGTTGAAGCTGTGTTTAAGCTTTGTAAAAATGTAAAAGTAGAATATTTATTTGGAAAATATTAATCTTCGGCAAAATTTCATGTTCAAGATTCATTATGAACATTGTTCTAGATTCACAGGTATTTTAGGTTTATGCATTCAATTTATTATTTGAAGAACAGTGTAAAACACCACACTAAAAATATAAATGTATTTATTTAACATCTTCTTGGTGTTATATCTTGGTGTATTTATTAATATTGTTACCATTTGAGCAGCATTTGGCATCTGCATTTGATATATGTAACACTTGTTACACTTTTGTAACCATTTGCAGGTAGTGACATTTTCCTGTTACAGAATCTTAAACTGATTTCTAGCCTCTGCAATATTCAGGGGATCTGTTTGTTAATACATATTACATGTAAATATCTTTATAACATAAGAAACAGAAAATCTTTAAAATAAATGCAATAAAATACTATGAATTTCTAAACAATTGTCATGGTTATGCTGCAATATATTATGGATAAATACAAGGAAAACTGATCCGAAGGGAAACTTATGATTTTGTTTATACTTGTCACATTTTTCTGTATTAATGTCACCACCAGAAGTAGTGACATATTATTAAAATATCTAACTTTTTATGGATGGTGTTTGGTGGTTGGTGTTCAAAGTTCGACGTCTGTAACAAATTCTTACAGCTTCCAATAACTGTTGGTTGCATTTTGTCATGTTAATGTCCTGTTTCAATCTAGCATAATGTAACTTGTTTCAAGAAAGTAACTCGCCTCAGAGCCTATGGTCTCTCACACCATAATGCACAGTAACTAAATGTGTACCCATTTCCAAAGATTACATGAGACAGTTAAGACTAAAATTGTGTTATGTCCCATCTTTACTAGATACTTACTAGTTCAGTACCCTCAGACACCTGTTTCTAGAAAGTATGTTTCAATCAGTTCAATAATCTCTGGGACCTGTTTCTAGAAAGTATGTTTCAATCAGTTCAATAACCTCTGGGGCCTGTTTCTGGAAAGAATGTTTCAATCAGTTCAATAACCTCTGGGGCCTGTTTCTAGAAAGTATGTTTCAATCAGTTCAATAACCTCTGGGGCCTGTTTCTAGAAAGTATGTTTCAATCTCTGGCGCCTGTTTCTAGAAAGTATATTTCAATCAGTTAAGTACCCTCAGGGGCCTGTTTCTAGAAAGTATGTTTCAATCAGTTCAGTACACTCAGGGGCCTGTTTCTAGAAAGTATGTTTCAATAGAAAGTATGTTTGGACGTCAATCAGTTCAGCACCCCCAGTGCCTTTTTATTGAAAATACCATGCATTATATAATTTAAAAATATCTAAGTTTCAAAGATTGTAGTTTTCACAATGATATTGAGAGAATTACAAAAATATCTCAACTCATATAATTTAATGACGGACGTCTTAAGACTTCATTTGAAAGAAATCAGTATTTTGTGTCGCATTTTTGGGTGAGTCAATTTGATTTAATTGATCCTGCATTAGTTATCATTCACAAATTTTTCTTTGAGATCACGGATGAATCTAAAAACTGCATGCAAAGTTGTACTCCAGGTCAGAAAATATTCACAATACAAATTGGCTAAAATCATTTGACTTATCCCATAGGGACTTTTATTTAATTTCATTCATATTTTTGTGACAAATTCAACATTAAATGGAGAGCTTAAACTCCAGGTTAAAATAAGAGAAACAGTACGTGAACATATACTACATGACATGTATTATTAACCCAATAGATAAATGGCCCTCTATTTGTATGTTCCTTCAAGTACTTAACCATTTGCCTTATACCTTGATACGCGTTCGGACTCCTGTTAGGGTAGTGCCAATCCCTAGAGGATCCCTAGTGTATGAATTAACGTACAAGTTCTCGTAAATGTAGATGCATCTTGACCCATTTCCTCTAAAATTAACGTACAATTTCCCTTAAATGTAAATGCATCTTGACCCATTTCCTCTAAAATTAACGTACAAGTTCCCGTAAATGTAAATGCATCTTGACCCATTTCCTCTAAAATTAACGTACAAGTTCCCGTAAATGTATGCATCTTGACTCATTTCCTTTAAAATTAATGTACAAGTTCCCGTAAATGTAAATGCATCTTGACCCATTTCCTCTAAAATTAACGTACAAGTTCCTTTAAATGTAATTTATGCATCTTGACCAATTTCCTCTAAAATTAACGTACAAGTTTCCGGAAATGTAAATGCATCTTGACCCTTTTCCTCTAAAGTTAACGTACAAGTTTCCGTAAATATAATTTATGCAACTTGACCAATTTTCTCTAAAATTAACGTACAAGTTCCCGTAAATGTAATTTATGCATCTTGACCCATTTCCTCTAAAATTTACGTACACGTTCACGTAAATATAATTTATGCATCTTGACCCATTTCCTCTAAAATTAACGTACAAGTTCCCGTAAATTTATGCATCTTGACCCATTTCCTCTAAAATTAACGTACAAGTTCCCGTAAATTTATGCATCTTGACCCATTTTCTCTAAAATTAACGTACAAGTTCCCGTAGATTTATGCATCTTGACCCATTTCCTCTAAAATTAACGTACAAGTTCCCGTAAATTTATGCATCTTGACCCATTTCCTCTAAAATTAACGTACAAGTTCCCGTAAATTTATGCATCTTGACCCATTTCCTCTAAAATTTTAATCAATTGGAGACATTCCCAAAGCTTTAACTTGTCTCTTAATTGCTGGGATAAGGCTGTCTTTGAACCTCGTCATCGTGTTGTCAATTATCATTTCATCTAGAAACTGTTTACATTTGCCTTGTTGTTCCAGTTCAAAATGACACTTTCTGTAGTGAAAACTCAACCCCACATTTTTGCTCATAATCATGTCCTTCTGCGCTAAAGGAGTTATCTTCCAACAATGATGAACGTGGAATCCAAGACAGGCCATTGGTTCCACAATTGCTTTAAGAACTGCTGGGAATGGGTTACCTGGCGCCAGATGGCGTTGGAACCTCAATGTGGTCACTTTTGGGGACTCAGATTCTGTCTGTGGGAAATGGCTAAAGAAGAATATATTTCTGAATATGAATGTCCTATAATCTTCAAACCCTTTAGTTTGTTTAATGGCTGCCATCATATCGGGTAACGTTTGATGAAGTAGTGGAATTATAATCTCATCCGGGTCTGTCACTAAGATATACTTATATTTGTACATATTTCTGTAGATGCAATCATTATATGAATGTGGCTGTAAAATCCTAATATGGTTCGGTTTATGCATTGGTGGAAAGCGAGGAAAACTTTCAAACGGTGTTGGAAAATCTACAAGCTCCATGAAACCCTCCTGAGAGTAATGCTGGAGAACTTTTGAGGTTTCTGGGGATAAATTAGTTATATAGATTATTGCTTTTGAAACACCCAAGATTTTATATAGTTCCATCATTTCAATAATAATGTACGGATCTACTCTGCCAAAATATCTTTGACAAACTGCAAAATCGTTTTTCACTTTGGGTTTTGCAGGTGCTTGAACTGGCATAAAAGATGTCGCTGTTTTAGTCCTAAAACTAATGGAAACAAACATAGGTATCTTGGTATTTCGGTTCAATTCACAACTCCAAATAAATGATCGAAATGCTTTATTATGGAATTTTATAGGTCTCTTTAGTTTTTCAACTCCAAGTAATATCCGTTCGGCTTTTACAACTAATGGCTTTTCAGAAATGCCCCATAGGTGGCAGTAGATGTCTCCAAATGCGGGGACCCCAACTTGCGGCTCTTCTGTGATACTCAAAACCTGCACTGCTGCTTTACTGCCCAAAGTTGGTCGATCATCATAAAACGCAGAGAGTATATAGATCTCTATTGAGTCATTTGTCCTTTGCCAACTTACAGCAGATGGCCATTTAATTGAGGACTTTTCCTCAAATGTATAGGTTCCTTCTGATTTTGCCATTTCGGCACTGACATTTCTGTTCGGATCCTCATTAGTATCATGATCTTGAACGTCATCAACGTTGTTATCACTTATCACATTATTATGGTCATCTTCAACCTTGTCACGTTCATGTTCATCATCTTCAACAATGACTGCGGCTTCAACATCATCAGGTAATTTCGTTTTTTTTAAATTATCTATGGAGATTCCCTTTTTAACGAGGGAACTGCTTTGGTGAGCCATTTTGAAATGTCTGTACACTAGGAGACCTACGATACACAGCATCAAGATTGTATTCCATGATACTTTGCGACCACCTGTACGCCCTATAAGCTGGGTCATCTTGTTTCCTGTAGTATTACGATCTGGAAATATACAAACAATGCTTAAAAATGTTGATTATTGGTCGGTGAGTTTCCACCATCATTCAGTCGAAATTTTCCAGAAATATGTGAAACTGGAAATATCAGTTATCAGCCATAATGAATCGAGACATGTTGTGATTGGTGAACCTACCAAAATGAATCAGGCGTAATCAAAATCAAATAGCCACAGAACCATGAAGCAAGGCGGTCGGCAAGACTTTAGGATGAAAATAGAAATACAACGCCTGGATGAGTGTTTACATCAGTGTTTAGTAATTTGACTATATTTATATATTTATAGGATCAACCTTTAGTCGGATTGTTTCGCAGTTTAATGTCATTTTTTAAAAGAGGCCATCACAAAGAAATGAACGTTTAGCATGTTAGCTCCATATACATTCCTTCACAACCAATCACTGGTTACTGGTGAAATGAGAAACACTTGGTCAAAAAACTTTTCTTAAATTGACGTGTATTTCTGCATTCTACATTGTAGAACAGAGTACCACATTAGTCATAACAGATATTTTGCCTATTGTGGCCTTATGCTGCACTATATTTTTTAGTTGTACATTGATTCGTTGATTTCATCACTATATGCGTTAAGCCTCGGTCACATTTGCCACAACGGTCGTTGCTTCGCAAAATCGATATAGAAAATCCACACCTTAAGGTGCTATGGAAGTTAACAGGACTATGACAAAACAAAAAATGTCAAAACCATGCTGGATTTTGAAAATTTTTGAACCAAGATAACAGAGTTCTGTTTGGGCCTCCAGTCGGTTTAACTAGTTCCACACATCATTTACGTGACTGGGAACACAATGGAAATGGTCAGAATGACCATAGACATGATGAAATAACCTTTTCAGCCCTCTGAAAATGTGACTGAAAAAGAGCTAAGAGTAGGTGCTCAGGAAAGGTCACTGAACAGAATCTTTTGACTTTTTCAGAAAATGTGCCCAATATATTGCTCTGAATGATACAATTTAAAAAAAATTCATATCATTCTTAGAAAAAGAAAAAAATGAATTTAAAATCAATCTATTTTCCTTTTAACTACAGCCATTGTTGTTTCAGACGATTTTTTCAAATTTCAGATTGTATCATTTAGAGCAATATATTAGACACATTTTCTGAAAAAATCAAAAGATTCTGTTCATTGACCTTTCCTGACCACATACTTTTAGCTCTTTTTCAGTCACATTCTCAGAGGGCTGAAAAGGTTATTTCATCATGTTTATTGTCATTCTGACCATTTTCATTGTGTTCCCGGTCATGTAAATGATATGTGGAACTAGTTAAACTGACTGGAGGTCCAAACAGAACTCTGTTATCTTGGTTCAAAAAAAATTCAAAATCCAGCATGGATTTGACATTTTTTGTTTTGTCATTTCCTGTTAACTTCCATAGCACCTTAAGGTGTGCTATGGAAGTTAACAGGAAATGTGCTATGGAAGTTAACAGGAAATGACAAAACAGTTTTTAGTAGTAATTTTTTCCCAAAATGTTATTTTCCAGCTGTACCTTACCCATGTCTTTATATTCCATTTAAGTAGAAAATAACATCGACTGAAATATATTTTTCAAAATTGTAAAAAAGGAGTATGAGAATGTTCAGCTGTAGAATACAGAAACGATCAATCACTTACTTGATTTCTGTTCTCGACTTCAGTCAATCCATTGTACTGGACGTTTTACATGTAAATGTTACTGAATACACCAAAATCACATCACTCTGGGCATTCAGCCATGGATAGGGCTCAGTGCACATGCTAATATTATGAGTTTAAATACGAGCTATGGGGCGAGTCAATATGAAATGTGCATCGATTAAAACTAAAATTAAGTAATCAACGTACCACAGTACAATAATTATTTAATAATATACATGTTATATGTGAATAAGAGTTTGACCTATTATTAGCCAAACCACAAGTAATCCAAAAAATATACAAACGTTTTGGAACTAAAATATGAATGCATTTCAATATGATATTGCACTTTGGTCGTGGTGTTGCTTTTTGTTTTGGTTGAACGTTGATTCGCAGTGTACATCCATCAATTTCCATATAATGTTTTTAAATGGATTTATTTATTTGATATTCACACATACTGTAGCTAGGCAAGGTGCGTCCAATTCCAGCTAGCCAATCAGAACACATTATTTCATGTAAATGCATTGCATTATACTACTTTAAAGCACCCGGGCTATATTCTAGTTTTTTAGATTATATTTTAGATTATAATCCTATTTAATACGTAATAATAGTATACATTACAATTTCAATTAACATAGATTAAAGGATTTAAGCACTCGATGCTTTATTTGTTAAATCGTGTAACACGTGGGTTGTTGCTTCTTTAAACCGATGTTTAAGACAAGCATTCTATCCACGAGTTATATATACTACACATAAAGCAATGCCTAAGATGATTACTACATGTATAGGGTGACCCAAAATGCATTCACCCTATGTGGTCGTCATTTCTAAAATTGATAATACACATGCTTAATTTTTCAGTCATATTAAGCCGAGTTGATGACAAATCAGTCCTAAAAGTTTGGGTTTTGTCATTTAAATGGTATTTTATTGCATTTCAAAAATGTGTTCTATATGACCATCTCGACGTCGCAGGGACTCCCAAATGTGGCGATTATGCGGACACACTCCTCTTTTGGGATAGTTCTGATGATCTTTGCAGTTGTTTCTGTTTTCAGGTGTCTTGTTATCTGGGGGTTATTTTCATAAACAATGGTCCTTCAATTAGCCCCACAGATATCAGGAGATGACTCTTGGGCATTACGGTCGGGTTAGTGTGTGTCAACTCAGGATTACATCTTGACCAGCATTAGGAAGACGCAGGGGCATCACTTGTTAGAAAATATCGTTCAGTTTGGACGGGAGCACCTTACATGCACATATACATGGTTTGCATTCATTTTGGGTCACCCTGTATATAGTTAAATCCTTTTCACACACGAAAAAGCAGCTTAAAAACGAAGTAAAATAAAAAAAATATGTCCAGGCATATCAGGTCATATCGACATGCTGCTTATTTTATCAAGTTTCTCGATGCTTAAAAGTGATTGTTAGTGACGTTTGCCAAATCATTTACTCATACAAGGGGGTGTGGCATAGTATGGAGTATGGGATGTGAATGGGGTATGAAATGCAAAAAAATAAAACTCGAAAGACTATTGACGTCACTGTAAGGAGATAGGAGAGACTTTAATTACTTGCTATGGTAAGGGGGTGGCCCCGGCTAAGGTCGATAGAAATAATTTTTAAATAAAGATGGCATGGTAATCGATGTGTCTTTATTTATAAACATTCTCTGAAAAAGATAATACTGGATTTTGTTGGTGCTGCCATCTTTATATCGGCCCAGGACCTATGGGGGTGGCATTGAGCTGAGAGGCTTCCTCATCGGGAGACAATCCCTGTGAGACAATGGACAACGGAGGTTTGTTCAGCCCACATGTTTAACCTATATAAAGATGGCAATAGTGTAGTTGTCTCTTTGAAGATGTGTAAACAGATTTGATGCACTGCCATCTTTTTATGACCACTTTTACTTAAAAAGTTTAAGGCCTCCTCATACGAATCAACTAATGGCAGCCTTGGGTAAATTGTCAATTCTGGCGATTGTGAATGTAAACATGCGAACCGAAGTGCAACTTTGCGCGTGCTTCCGAAGTAGTTCGAAGAGTTCCGAAAGGGTACTTCATGCCCGTAGCCAGCTTTTTGTAAGGGGGGCCTCAAACATCCCCCCAGCAAACCGCACCCCCCCCCCCAAAAAAAAATTCCCCATGCTAAACCAAGCCCCTTTTTATTGTAAAGGACAGTGGCGGATCCGGAAGCTAACAAGGGGGACCCAAACTTCAAGTAAAAAAACTTTTTAAGGCCCTAAAGCCAAAAGGGCCATAATTTAGAAAATTTTTGGCTCGTGTTTTGAAAATTTGGCCTAAAATTAAAAAAAAGGTCCCAAAAAGGTCAAGTAAAAAGTCAAGTAAAGGCCAACTAAAGAGGCCCTACAATATTTTTGGCCCAACATTTTTTCAAGGCCCATCCTAGGGCCGTGCGTAAAATTTTTGGGGCCCTAAAACCAAAATTCGGGCCAAAATTTTGAAAATTTATAGCCCGCTTTTTGAAAATTTTGCCAGAAATTGAAAAAAATAAGGTCCAGAGGTTAAGTAATGCCCAAAAAGGCCCCTTGAAAAGGCCTTTTTGGGGGGTATTTTGGGTCAACATTTTTTCCGGGCCCATCCTAGGGGGGGGGGGGGGGGGAGGGGGGCGACCCCATGCCCCCAGTGAATGTGGGAAAGAGCATTTTTTTCTTCAAGGAAGCAAAAAGGTAGGTCCACATTTTTTTTAGGAGATATCAGAGGGGGGGGGGGCTCGTACGAGCCCCCAGAGCCCCCCCCCCCTGGCTACGGGCCTGTACTTCTGCATACGTACGTCCCAACGATATACAACGTACGAACGAATTTTACTCAAGTCCTATTCGCCAATACACGTACGCAAGTTGACATCGGGTGGTTTTCGTTCAGATGAATGAATGAAAGCTCTTTGAATAATATCAATTTTTATCCCACGATTAATGTGTTATCTGTACAATAACAGCTATTGATATTTCTGATATTAATATTGCAATCCGTGTGATATTTTCCAGAAAATCGTTTTATCAAACTCATATGCATGTGATATCGTTTATCTCACGCATATCCGTGTGATATCACATTTGCATTTCGCGCCACAATATTGTTGGAAAATAGGTCAGATAATTTATTCTCTTTTGAGAAAATAGGTCTGTCAGTGTCCTGGAAATTGGATCAGAACATCACAAGGTGATTGTAATCATGGGATAAACCCAATATCACATAGTTTCTCGTGATATCATTTTATCGCCTCGTAGATATCAAATATCAACTCAGCGATAAAAATGATATCACTCAAAATGATGTGATATTCTGTATTTATCTTATGTGCAAATGAACCAAATCATGACTTTAACAAAAAATAACCCATCCCTCACAATTTATTAACTTAAAATCTAGGTATATATCAAAGAATAACTGTTTTCAACTTTAATATCTAATTTTCCTCAATTGGAGGCATTCCCAAAGCTTTGACTTGTCTCTTAACTGCTGGGACAAGGCTGTCTTTAAACCTCGTCATCGTGTTGTCAATTATCATATCATCTAGGAACTGTTTACATTTGCCTTGTTGTTCCAGTTCAAAATGACACTTTCTGTAATGGAAATTAAGTCCCGCATATTCATTAATGATTACGTCAATTTGTGATAAAGGAGTGACCGTCCAACAATGATGTACGTGGAATCCAAGGCATGACATTGGTTCCACGATAGCCTTGAAATGTTGAGGAAATGGCTTGCCCGGTGTTAAACGGTATTGAAATCTCAATGTGGTAACTTTTGGGGACTCTGTTTCTGTTTGTGGGAAATGGCTAAAGAAGAATATGTTCTTGAATAAGAATGTTCTGTAGTCCTTAAATTCTGTATTTTGCTTTATGGCTGCCATCATATCGGGTAATGTCTTATGACGCAATGGAATAATAATTTCATCCGGGTCTGTCACTACGATATAGTTATATTTATACATGTTTCTGTAGATACAATCATTGTATGAATGTGGTTGTAGAATCCTGATGTGGTTCGGTTTTTGCATTCGTGGAGAGCGTTCAAACGGTGTTCGAAAGTTAACAAGCTCCATGAAACCCTCCTGAGAGTAATGCTGGAGAACTTTTGAGGTTTCTGTGGATATATTAGTTACATAGACTATTGCTTTTGAAACACCTATGATTTTATATAATTCCATCATTTCAATGATCATATACGGGTCCACTCTGTCGTAATACCTTTGACAAACTGCAAATTCTTTTTTCACTTTGGGTTTTGCTGGTAATTGAACTGGCATAAAAGATGTCGCCATTCTAGTTCTGAAGCTAATGGACATAAATGTAGGTATCTTTGTGGTTTGTTTCAAATAACAACTCCAAATGAAAACGGTTTATTATTGAATGTTATGGGTGTCTTTAGTTTTTCCAGTCCTAGTAATGTCCGTTTAGCTTTTACCACTAATGGCTTTTCAGAAATGCCCCATAGGTGGCAGTATATGTCTCCAAATGCAGGGACGCCAACTTGCGGCTCTTCTGTAACACACCTGCACTGCTGCTTTACTGCCTAAAGTTGGTCGATCGTCATAAAACGCAGAGAGAATATAGATCTCTATTGAGTCATTTGTCCTTTGCCAATTTACAGCGGATAGCCAATTAATTGGTAATTAATTTTTCTCTTTGTTTATTTTCTGTTTCTCCATAGATATTAGGATCAACAGTAATGTTTTGATCTTTTTGCTTTTCACCATTTATTTTATTGTCTACGCTATCATTAATTTCATCATCATGCGCATTGTCATTGTCATTAGCAACATCAACTTTGTCTCTTTCGCCACATTCGTCTTTGTTTTTACTGCGCACGGCGGCTGTTTTTCTACTCGTGGATGTCGTTCTCCAGAAAATTGAAATGGCCTGTCATCTATTTGCAATTTGTGGATCATATTGAAATATACATACACTATGAGACCGAACAAACACGGGATCCAGATCGTATTCCATAATTTGTGAGGCATGTTTGGATGTACATCCTAGAATATATGAACATATACAAATAATTATTACCTGTACCAATTAGTACCAAGTCTATTACGGGGAAGGGAATGGGACTTTTAAGAGGATCCATTAGTGACTTGGAACTCATACAACACAGCGAAAGATATCAATTTTATATACCAGGTATACGAGGGTTGTCCCAGAAGTAATGCACTATATGCTCTAACTTTCTTAAATATTCTTCAATTCAGCTGAAATTTTGTGT